CCCGGCTACCCAAAATATCATGAATTCGGTGTTAAACAAAGTCTAAACCATTCAGTGAACTCTTTAGAGAAGGCTTTGATCCCTGAAACAATAAAAAATGAAGATAAAAATTATGCTGGCGTTAGCTTTGACTTTGATTATCGTTGCGTTATGAGATAGAGAATGGAAAGTCGCGGGAAAAAAAAAATGAATGAGTAAAGAAAAGTGTGAGGGGGTCGAGAGGGTGGTGAGAGTGGAGAAGGTGAGGGAGGGGATGATGTATAGATGAGCGACATCGGTACCAAAGGCGAGTTGTCCGGGTGGTGGTGGCGACATAACGAGTGCGCACGGGACCTGTCATCGGGCTTTGTAAGTTCACTGGAGTGTTGACGGGATTTAACAGAAAGAAGAGAGTGAGGGAGGATGAAGAGGGTGTCTCGGTTTGAGGCGCGCAACATCGAGTGCACCAAGGGGGGTTGAAAATGGCGTGGGGGTTATCCTGGCGTGACGGCACACCCACGCAGGCGCCCCCCTTTTATACCTCTGGTACACGGCTTTTCTCTTATTTTTGCGCACTCTCCTATAACAAAAGTCTTCCCAATTGTCAACTATATACCATCTGCTCTCTTTGATATCTTTTACCTTTTTGTTCACCACGCTGAGACAAAAATTTACTATAAATTAGACCTCCACCCCAGCGAAATGCGAGATCAAATGACATTCCCCGACTTTTCCCTGAGAAAATTTATTGCAATACTATTTTTTAAATATAATTAATTGAATAAATGTATGGATATAATGTATATGCGAATAATTGTGTGACGTGTACGGGACATACGACATTTTTGACAGAAACTATTTATCATATATGGAATAGATATGGAATTCTGGATAATTAATGGTGAGGGTAATTATTTTAATGAGCCAATATCAGTAATTAAATTATGCGTAGATACCACTCTTTTATTTAGTTTTTTAATGGAATCACCGGCGACTGATGCCAATTCTTCTGAGACACGAGAAGACGTTTATGTACTTAAGAAAATAAATTATCATTATTATTATCAGTAATTTCATCAGCTGCAAAGAAAATCTCCTCAACGTCTCCACCTTGAATCAATACTTTTCCGCGAACATCAATCGCCAAACATTAAGTTAATTAATTAATTATACAGCGATTTAAATCACTCAAGAATTCACAATTATTTCTCTATTTCCCCATAATTTCCAATAATTTCCATAAATATTAATAAACATGACACGGAGGTAAAAATTAATTAAAACTTCTATAAAATTCATCGTTTTCAATTTAAACATAAATTTTGTATAAAGACCTATCTATTTCTGGTGAATAGAAGGGTTTATTTAATAATCGACGTGGATCCCCCCGATTCCCGCCAATAAATCAAATCGAATGGAGGCCAAAGCGATCAAAAATTTACGCATATTAAATCCACCGAAATTGACATTCATACTACTTTCTCGGTTTTGAATACGCACCAAATGTCATCCCAAAACCAGACCTTTTAACCCCAACATTAACGTATTGAATGGCACTTTTTCCATTAATGGGGTTACCTTCTTTGAGGCCGAGTAGAAAGCCCAAAACTCGTAACCATATGCGTAAATGGGCCCTATCATGCATTTCTCGAGGTATTCATGCGAGGGGTTGACGGGGGTAATTTATCGCCGTCCTGGGTCTATAATTCAATGGCTCTCTCCGCGTTATACCCAAAACTCTCGTAATTTTCTCCCAACTAAAAAAATCCACAAGCATTTTTTCACAATTAAAACATTCTCATTATTTATTTACTTTTTAATGCCACTGGGTGTTAACGACTTTGACTTTTTATCTCCGATGGAAAAAAAAATATTAATGTCATAATTTGTCGAGGGTGTGCGGAGAACGCCCCTTGGCACCCCTCGTAAACTTCTTACCGGGAGGAAAAAAATTCTCAGAGCAAAAGCTAGTTCGTATGTGCCTGACGCCTAACCCCCTGCGGTCCCATCTCTTTTTATGTACCCGATGACTCCTGGAGGCGTGTCGACGCGCTTTCGTACTTTTCAACCTGTCATTCTTCAACCCTCTTCCACCCCAATGTCTATATGTACTGTGTAATCCATTATACAACCCCTGAATATCATAAAACTTAATGTTTTTCATTCTTCAATTTTTTTTGCAATGCGGGAACGAATAATATAATTTTTGCAATATACTTCAGCAAAGCAATACGTCAATTACGTCATCTCCTCAGGTATTCGGGAATGAATTTTCACGATTTTATAAATTTTTGACATTTTTTGAATTTCTCAAATTTTTTCGCCCCCACCCCCAAGTCTAAAAATAATAATAGAGAGAGTCTTTCCTTCATGAGCAATTGTTACAGAAATTGAAAATTCAGGTTTCTTTTTTTTTTTTAATAATAAAGATAGCGTTTTCTCCAGCGGTTCACCACATTTGTTTCCCTCGTCCAACAATAAAATGAGTTTAACGTCAATGACGCGTACGACAGATTTTTATGGGCGCTGGCTGGTGCTATGCTATATGCAAAATTACGTGCCATCTGTCGTCCATGAAAACCCGCGCGTCTTTTTACCCCCAGCCCCCAGGATGTCGTCAGGTGGAAAATCGGACTGTTCATGGTGCGTTAGACCGATACGTGGATACGCGTCTGACCGAAAAAGTAGGATGTGCCTTTTTCTCCCCAGTTTTATTTGTCAGATGACAATTATTCAGAATCATGCAGATGTACGATGATGAAATCAAGTGGTTATTCTAGGACCTGGGGAAATCAAATTAATATTTCGAAAAAATTAAAGCTGAAAGCAATTCATCAGTCGATTGAATAAAACTCAAAAAATATTAAAAATTCATTTACTACATTCAACAAATTCGATATAAATCTATTGCACTCCTTAAATCCTGACTATTTTTCTTCTTCCATTATTTTCCAATGACCACAATTCTAAATTCCGAAAATCCCAAGACATCAACCTTTCCTTCCAACCCTTGGAGAACTCACCCCTTCGCAGAGACTCGGACTGCTGAAAAAAAAATGAGTTACCGAGACAGAGACTCCCAGATCTTCGCCGCCCCAATAAAATCAGCCAAAAAATAATGCCTCCACCAGAAAAGAGCTGGAAAAGCCTCGGCGCTGGCTATAATTCAAAGGAAACCGTGAATTTCCTTACAAAAATAAAAAAATACAAACCCACCCCCATCTATAATGAAAGGGAAAGAGAAAGAGACGAGGCGAGGGCAGGTGATCCTGAGAGTAAAAAAAACGAGGAGAGAAGAAAAAAAAATAAAGACCCTTTATACATATTTCTATACACAGAAAATAAGAGGAAAAAGTACATGCTCGAGTGATAGCGGGTAAGATTATAAAATGGCGTCTCTCATCCTCCGGAGCATTCTTAATTCCAGTCTCCCCTTCTCTCCACCCCTGGCCTTCCACCCTTTGACCCCTCCATCCCTCCACCATCTGGCAAAATAAATAAATAAAATGCGATATACTAGTCGCCATATTTATTTATAATGTGAGAGCGATGGAAAAAATGGAAATAATGAAAAAAATGGAAAAAATGGAAAAAATATTTGGTGATATATTTTTCAATAAAATGTTCCATCGGTTCTCCCAATTTTTCATTTCTCCCCGAATGCCTCGATATTTTTTATCCTCTGTTTGCGCACATTGCGGGACACAGCACGCCATACTGGGGGCGGGTGATAGCCCCGACCAATCGTCACCCTCGCGGGGGCGGCTAAGGGGTTGCGACCACACCCTAACCATCCCACCTCCACTCGGGTGGTTTTATCGGTGAGAGCGGAGGGTAGGAGAAATCAAATACACGTGCGCACGAGCATAGCCGCACATTAACCAGACAGTCGTGCGCGTGCTGTCGCACTGTCAACTTCTAGTATCCATTCTCAATTATTTAATTTTATCTTATCACACTGACTAATAATTAATCAGTGTCCGTAATCACTAACAATAAACCTCATTAATAAAATTATCGATCGTAAAATTGTGGGGATTTAAAAAAAAACAAATTCATTTGGTATCAACTCGTTATATCAACATCCTGACTTTAAAAAAATATATTGATTTGTATTGATATACGAAATGAAAGAGTGGAGTGAAAAAATGGGTTTGAAGTTGTTGAATAATTAATTAATTAATCGGTTAAGGGATTAAGTGGTTGAACTGTTGTGATGCTTTTGAAATAATAATTTGTTGAGAAATCGTTCGTGATTCAGTGAGAAATTGGGACACCGCGGGTTTTTGTGGAAATTGACAATTGAAATTAGATAAGATCGGAAAGTTGAGCGATTGTAGTGAGGATATTCAGTGGCTGGTGTGAAAAATTGATCAGCAATACGCGCGATTCGATTAGATAAAAACGAGCGATGCCCGTGGCCGAGATTCTTACGTAAGATTTCACAAGCCTTCTGGGTATACCCAAAAGATATTGATATAGCAACACCAGAGAAATGCGTAAGGAGGGATTTCAATTGATTAGAGACTCAAACCTCTGATAAGTGGAATTTTAGTCTATTTACTGGTTGTGTTATGATTGGGATCGATATGTTGGCCTGCGAGATGTTGACACTTGACAGCGGAATTTATCGCGGCCGTGGGGAGGTTTTGACACCACCGCAAAGCAGTCCCGAATCACATCATAGTCACGTGAATTCGGCGAGGGGTACTCACTGTTTGGACCAGGAAATATCATTGCCACCAAATATTCCGGATATTTTACTTTGTAAGTCTTTCCGTGTTGGCAGATTAAACCTATCGATTTAAAATTCATAGATAAGAAAAAAAAATGCCTTCGCGTGATTACAATGTTCCAAACTTATTGAAATTTTAATCACACTGAATTTTCATTGATATGCGATCGCCGTAGGAAATCATCGAACAAAAAATAAACAAACAATAAAAGTTATTCCTGAAGATGATCTTTCCCGAAATAATTGATGAATTATATTGAATTTTTTTGGTACCTGATTGTTTCAGCATCAATACCAAAATGCGGTGGTTGCCAAGAAGCAATCCTAGACAGGTACGTCCTGAGAGTCCTAGAGAAGTGTTGGCATGCACGTTGTCTAACATGTCGTGACTGCGGTGCTAGATTATCAGGCAAGTGTTTTGCCCGAAACGGCCACGTCTTCTGCAAGGATGACTTCTTCAAGTAAGCATCAATTTTTAATATCCCAAATCTACAGAATCCACACAACCCGTCTCTCAACTTGTCCTAGAACTATTGATTGCAACAAAAACCTTTTTCTGCCTCAATTCTTTATCCTCGAGGGGTTTGAGCGCCATTTTTCTTCAGTAAGAAAGTTACCTCGCCATTTGTCACCCCTTCCTAACGACAAATTCGATTCACCCGGGCAATCAATTACTCCAACGCCCTCCGAAGATTTTTATCACCGGGTGTTTTGATTTTGCCGCGAGATTTATCGGCTGGATTTTAATGTGTGAATGTAATGTCAAATATTGTGTGTTGTTGGTGTGGCAGGCGGTTCGGGACAAAGTGCGCTGGCTGCGGCCAAGGATTGGCACCATCCCAGGTCGTCAGAAGGGCCCAGGAACTTGTCTATCATCTCACCTGTTTCTCCTGTGCCCTGTGCTCCAGACAACTCGATACTGGAGATGAATTTTATCTCATGGAGGACAGAAAACTCGTATGCAAACCTGATTACGAGCAGGCCAAGGCTAAAGGTAATCAATGCACTCATTAATTATTCCACAATTATTAATAATTCTGAAAAAAATTCAAAAATTATATCACATTTTTGCATCTTTGCATCTTTGCATCTTTGCATCTTTGCATCTTTGCATCTAGCAAAAACACCCGCTCAGCAATGAAATATCGTTGATAAATAAAATGGACCTGGATTATTATTTATTGGTATTATATATTTCATGTGGGTGTGTTAATGGAGTTTTATTTATTGCAGAGCTGGCTGATGGGGGCAGTATCGATGGCGATCAGCCGAACAAGAGGCCGAGAACGACGATAACTGCTAAGCAGCTGGAGACACTTAAACTTGCCTATAATAACAGCCCCAAGCCTGCTAGACACGTCAGGGAACAACTATCGCAGGATACTGGGCTGGATATGCGTGTTGTTCAAGTTTGGTTTCAAAATAGGTAAGGAGAGATTAAAAAATGACCATTTATTTTTTATTTTCCATTTGATATTCAAGAAAAGATGACATCGAATTATTTAGTTTTTCAGATAAAGATTTTTTCGATAGATTGGAAATTCAGGGAAATTATTACTCGCTTTTTTAAAAATATTATTCGAATTAAATTTCACTTTATCGTTGTTAAAAATAGCAAGTGCTATTTTTTAATGCTGTATTTAATGTATTTTTGCAGGAGGGCGAAAGAGAAGAGACTGAAAAAAGACGCAGGAAGAACGAGATGGTCCCAATACTTCCGGAATATGAAGGGCAATGGTGCTGGTGGTCATTCCCCAAGACATGACAAACTCCTCGACAAGGATGAGCTCAAGGTCGATCTCGATTCGTCATTTGGTCATCACGGTGAGTAAATTGAAATGAATGAAAATGAAAGAAAGAAAGTATGAATGAAAAAATGTTGGTGATGTATTTCGATGGTATCCCCGGGGCTAGACGACGCGAAATTCAAGGTACACAATGGGCGCGCTCATGGCACAGACGGAGGGTGGGTGGGAAGGTTTTTGGTTCTCTTCAAATATTCAGGAGATTGCTCGGCTAACTGCCAGCCAACCGTAGTCCGAGATTTCACCAAGATTGCAAGGGTGGAACGAGACGAGGAAAAGCCGAGCACAACGCGACGCCTCTGGCCTTTTTATCGCTCCATCCTGTAGTTTATTGGATTATTTTTTTTTTGTTATCAAATTAATCCAATTTTGAGTCTTCATTATAAATTAAACATTCTAGGGCATCATTTCTCTTGCGAATTTGGTTATATATCAGAATAACAACGCAAAATTTTACAACTGAAAAAAATATCGTTTCCAAATATTACGGCAGGAGATCATTGCAAATAAAAATATTTCAACAAAACCCACATTATTTTGAAAGATAATAAATTCTCATATTTGATATGCAATTGTCAATTATCCCCGAACGTTTACTGGCTACAACTCTCCCTCAATATACCAATAATTTTTTTAATATTTAAAATCACAAAATCATTTTATGACCGACGAGCGGAAGATACATTATAATATTTTGATCTGCAATATTTTTTCGGGATATTTTGAGGGCAATATTATTATTGAATAAAATTTTGAGCGGTCACCGCGAAAGTGAAGGAAAATATCGAAATTTTCCACCCCAAACTACTAAAAACTATCCAAATACTCTCTCCACCACTCCCCCATCCAAATTCCATTATCACATCCATATAAAACTCCTAATTATCCTCAACCATATGACAGTCTCGTCGTTTGCGCCCTTTTTTTCCATTATCTCTTAATTCAGATCTTGAAAACAGACGCGGGTGAATCCCCCCGATAGATAACAATATTTTTTTGGGGTAGGGGTCGTTATCAGTGTTAGAAATCGGAACAGATGATACGCCTATGAGTGGCTTCTGTTGACTTTCGAGTTCTCCATTTGTGTACGAGGATGACCAAGCAGGAGGGATATATTTATTTTCATTAATGATGAAAAATCTCTTGCAGATTTGAGTAATGACAGCTACGGTACCGTTGTCAATATGGGACTGGAGGGTGAGGGTTCGAGTCCAGGTGGTGGTGGCAGTGGAAATGGAGGTGGTGGTCCACCCAGAGGCTATTTGGGTGGTACAACACCACCTTATTTATCAACGTCCAGATCACCGTCCTTACCACCACAATTTCCTTACCCTCCAGACGCTGGCCTCTCGGTTTACACAACTATTGGTAAGTATCTTATTCACAAAAATGATTAAACAAGAAAAAAACCTCATTGATACCCGTTTACTCAATTAATTCACAATATTAATTAAACATACCCCGATTTTCCTGATTTCAGGTGGACCAGGTGGAATGGTACCAGGACCAGCATCCGATCTAAGTAATGAGTCGAGTGGCGGTGGCGGAGGTGGAGGTGGAGGAGGAGGATATCCTGACTTCCCACCATCTCCAGATTCCTGGCTTGGTGAAGCTCCTCAGCATCCTCATCACCATCCCCACTACTCCACATAACCCCCCAAAAAAAGGAAACTCATAGAATCACCGAATATCGTCTAGAAGAAACAGGGGCTGAAGAATGGAGTGCAAATGGTATCCAACTATCAATGACGCCTGAAGAGTTTCGACTCATTTTGAAGCAGTAAGAAATACCTCTCAAAATGATTCATAACTTGAAAATTCTATTCATGATTCAGGGTCATTTAATTCTGAAATGCGATACATTTTGTGCCCAGTGTCTTCCCGATTATCGATTGGAGAGAAAATTTGCGATTAAATTGAATTTTTCTCTCGATATTGATGTTCTCTTTAGACGATACTCGCCACCGTCCCTAGACACAAAAATTTAAGATCCTGTCACCAAAAAACGGCTCTATTACTTATAAATTATATCACGTAACATTCGCATCGATATTATTAATAATAGATATATATATTTATGTACAAGTTCCTCGTTTTCCCGTTGCGATTTAGATGGAAAAGAATGGAGAAATACATTGATTCGTTTAGTTGATAGTTTTGGAGATGAAATTACTTGCAAATGGACTTTATTCTCATTTTTTTATGTCAGTTTTCTTCAAGAAAAAATAGTATAGAATTGTTTGACACAATTATTTTTTCGTTGAGAAAGTTCTACAATAAATGGGATGAAGCTATTTGCGGATTTCAACATTTATGCACGCGAAGAATTCCGTTGTTTTGTGGGTTGAGGAAATCAGTGAAACATTCTCGCAATCTGCGTCGAGAGACTGTCCAGGTTTTTTTTTGTTTTGGAGAATTGAGTACCAAAATGGTAAAACGAGATAATTGAATTAGACTTCAAGATTGGATTTAATCAGATGTGGAAAGTGAAAAGTTGATCGATTTTTTTTTTACATTTAACAAATTTTAACATCTAACGATTAAATTTAAAAAACTCGTTTGCTGACTTTAAGATAGCCATCTTGTTTTCTTGAATATAAAAAATGTAGATGAGAACTCCTCAATTATTGATTTATCTAAAAAATGATCGATTCGAAATTTCTTTAGAAATCAATTTCTTGAATTTTCTCATATTTAACGAACCTGTAGAATTCAACTTATCTCACTTTGTCGCTTCCTTACTGAATTAATTTATTCTCCTTCCGTTCGACGATATTGTCACTAATTCAACTGGAAAATATCTCAATTTACGTCATTGTTTCATCATTTGGCTACCGGGATTGTTCCGGACAGATGAAACACCGATAAAAACCTCTAAAATGCGCACTTGTTTCCTCGATCTATTTGAATAACGGGGTCATCGTCTGCAAAGCTTGTGTGGGATCGACGAAATTTTTCAAAAGATGTCACACTGTAAATATTTGAAATAAGGAATTTCGATGATAAGGAAAATTCTATTGTACATCAGTATCGTCGCGTATCGCGATAAACTTAATGTCAGGTGCAAAGAACCGTAAATTGTCCATTATAAAGTTTCCACTCGAGACCCAAAAAAAAAAACGAGAAATGAAGAAAATCCGCAATTGATTGTGGAGAACGCATTTATTATGATCGAGAAATATTTCTCGTCGTCCGAATGAATCTGCAGTTTCCAGAAAGAATAATCTGGAAAAATTCCCATGAGAACTGCATAAAATGCTTGTTTTAACATAAAGTCAGGTCAAATCGACTGTTGATATTGAAACTAATTTAGTGAACAATTTCTTTGTAAATTCATTTGGAATGCGTGCAATGTAAAAAGATTTGAAAATGATAGTCTCGAATTAAGTCACTGTACATTCCCCGTTCGGCGTTTATCATTTATAATGTGCGAATTGAATCACTAATTATAGAATACAAGTCGAAACAACACAAAGTAGTCCGACAAGAGTGGAAATATGAATTATTAGAGTAATTGTGAGATGAAATGTATAAAGTGATAAAAAAAATTATGAGTTCAATGGACAAAACCACTTGGACGTGATTTCGTCGTGTTCGCAAGTTAGCCAGAATCAGTTATTACGGATCTTTATATTATTATCTAGTCAGCAAGTGATAATAAAATTTATCATAATCTAAAAAAATATCATAACTCATTTGCTCTCCATTGCTCTCCCTTTTCCTTGATTCTATTTTCTCCTCATTTTATGACGAAGAGTGTTAAAAGAAATGATAAATAACTTGAAACTGAAATTCTTCATTTGAAATTCCACGAGGCACTCAGAACTACGAATTTCACGATTTTCTTAAAAACTGAAAATGACGCAGTGATATATTGGCCTTGCCATTAGTTCACCTGATTAAACAACACCCGGCTTGAAATATATAAACAGGTATCCGCGTATCTGTCGATTTTCCAGATGACAAAAATTATTTAATTCACTGAACCATAAATACGCAGTGTACGAAGAAACATTTTCTTGAATGGAAAGCGGCATTGGTCAAGCAGTCAAAAGTAATGATCTGGATTTCAATGATTCAGTTAGGAGTAAATAGGAAACGTATTTAATATGAATAGAACAAAAGCATTGATTGAGAAAATTTTAATGGCACTTCACTCGTATGTTTATTTACAGATTTTCAACCATGAGTAGATATCTGCTATATACAACTATATAATCACCCCAAAATTTACCATCCATCATATTTGAAAAAAAAAATCATTTTCAAAAATTACATACAAAAGAAAAATTCCAAATTGTCATTTTCACGTTTCACTTCAATTATTTACACTTTCCAATATACACTTGAATTTCGAATGATCGTAATTTCAACATCTTATCAATTACATTTTTAGAGTCTTAAACCTTCACTTTGTTTATACTCACTTTTTGCTTTATTAGAAAATGCCCATATATCTTAATGTAGGAAAATGTTACTTTAATGGTCGTATTCCCTCAAAGATTTGTCGTTGAATTATCGCATATCAAAGATAAGTACCAATTAAAAGAATTCAGTCGATCGGATCATAAGTGAACCGCAAAAAAGGTGGAATACGAATATAGGAAGTAAGAGTGCAATTAAAAGTACGCAATATCGTTGAAAGAGTAACGGTAATACCCAATGGTAAATTCGGAGAGAAAGATCAATTTCGTTGATCGAGTGTTCTCCCACCGTTTTCGAAAACAAATAACACTTTATCTCACGTCATCAGTTGTCGAAGGACTCTTCGTATGTCCTCGTTTTTTGAAGAATGCTCTTTGTAATCATAAGTTGTTTAGTGATTGCTTTCTCCACATTCTTTTTATTTTTGTTCGATGCTGACAGGTGTTTAAATGTATCCTCCAGGGCTCTCTTCGTCTTCATTAATCGTCGCTTCAGCGCTTCGTTTTCCTGCTTTAAGGCTTCTACTTCGTCTAGACCTGTAGATCATTTAATCATTTCACTACGACAATTTCAATGAATCAGTAGCAAAGAGAACCTCTTGCTACGAAATAATTCAACGATTAAATGAACAGCAGTTCAATTACAGAAAAAAATAATCCTTCATCGTAAATTAATCGAATAGTTCATAAATCTGGTTTATATTGATTTAAACTGTTGTATCATTTGAGTGTTGATTTTTATAAACGAGAAAATATTGACAGGTTTTATTTCGGTTACTTTGCCAAGCACTTGCTCAGTACGTTAAAAATCTTCAAATGATTCAATTATTTCCTTTTCATTAATTATAAAAATGGGTAGAGAAGTGGTTAAGAAGATACAGATGAGGCGAAAAAATGTGAAATAAAAATCTCTACCACTTCATTACCAAATTCATTTTCGATGAACATGACAGATGATTTTAATGGCAATGATTGTCTCCAAAAAATGATGATTTTAATTAATCCATACATATGAATAAATACATGTCAGAGTATTTTTAATGAAAATGAGTCACGAATTTTGATTGTGATGCATATCAATAGTTAAATAGGTAAATAAATTGCATTCCAGTGACAATCGAGTGCCAAAAAGCGAATAAAACTCAACTGTTTGAGATACATACTATAATTATGCCCACCTATAAATTATAAACAGAATAAATTAATTACAAAATTTTCCACAATTCACCTAGAAACACCAAAAGATGACGAGAATCCATAAAAAATAGAAAAATTACCTTCAAGGTGTAGCGGGCTTTCCCTGTCTAGGTCCCGCAGCCCTCGATTGTTGTTGCAGTGCTCCTCGTCGCTCAATAGATTTGTCATGGATTCCGTAATTTTTAATGTGTCTTTTAGGGGTCTTGTCGTGGATACTGCTGCATCACTCTCTATACCGAGATCTGGAGAACAACTGGACTTACTGCGACCAGTTGATGGTGGATAGTTCACGGGATGCCAGTACTGAGATCCATTATAATGAAATACTTGTAGCAGATCATCACATGTCTGCTTGAGAGTGCCATCCGCCGGAATGGAAGAAATTCCACTAGAGCTGGGGGCAGAATCACTAGTCTCGCAAACCACTACCTGCCTTCTGAGCTCTTTATTGGCTGCCTCTAACTCCTGCAGCCTGCCTCTCTGAGAGTCGTTGATGAGGTTCAGCTCTGCCACTTCCTTTTCGAATTTTTCCTTCAGATCCTTGAGACCAGCCTCAAACCTCCCCTCAGCCTTCCTGATCTCTTGCTCAAGCCGCAACTTATCGTTCGTCAATTTGGTGTTTTCCACGAGGACCTGACTCTGCGAAAGGGTGAGCCTGTCGAGTTCTTTATTCAGCATGACAACGTTGTCCCTCACCCCCTCGTTGTCCTCCTCCAGCTTCTTCACTCTCATTCTCAATCCCTCGTTCTCCCTATTCAATCCAACCATCATCTCAGCATTCTTCCTCTCGTTACTCTCCTTGTAGTGAATATCCATCGTCATGTTCTCAACATCCGTGATTTTCTTCTCCAGCTGGACCTTCCTCACGCAGTTCTGCTTGCTATCCTTCTTGATCAAACCCTCCTGCATCTTCCTGTCGATAGAGCCCTGCAGTTTGTCGCAGAAGCTCTGACACTTCTCCAACTTCAGGATAATAGGCTTTAATTTCTCGTCAATGTCACTCATCGGGGACCTCCTCATTAGGTCGTTCCTGAGCTCCATCAGCTCAGAGTATAAAGAATTATTCGTCTCCTTGAGCTCCTGGAGATGATAAGCCCAGTCAATCTCATTGAGATCATTCTGATACGTCTTGTGATAAGGAATATAATCCACTGAGTCCTCAGAGTCACTGAAATTCTTCGAGTACTTGGAGTATCTAACTCGGTTCGAGTACTTTTCAGGTATCTCCTGGAGGCCAATTCTCGCCAGGGAAACACTCCTGTCGGGCTCTGAAAATGCCTCAGAGTCTGATTTCTCGTCCATCACGTTTGATCGACTTCGCTTGAAGTCCCTACATGTGCAGAGATCCTCCAGGGTAAGCTCCCTCTTTGAAAATGAATTGACACCCTCCAGAGCGTGCACAAAGTCTTCAGAGAGAATCCTCGACCCCACCAGCACGTCCAGAACCATTTTCTTGTATTCATCATTGATCGAGTAGTTTGAGCTTTTCAGCATCTCCTTCATGAATTTCACGAGAGATTTCAGGTGCCCTCGTAGCAGCTCACAGTATTCCTTGGATTTTTCAGACTCGAAGCCATTGGATTCGTCACTCTCGATGTCGGTTTTCGAAATTAATTTCAACCATTTCAGGTACTCGACTTCCTTTTCGAGGTCGTTCTTCTGAATCGACAGCTGTTGGACATGGTCTGCGAGGTTTTTTATGTCCGGGAGTGACTGGTCCCTGCAGTTCAGATACACCAGATCCTCTGAGAACTTGACTTCAATGCCTACATCGTTCAGCTCCTTCAGGAGGAGATCTAGGTGAGAGTTTATCGAGTCCTGATGGGACTCTGACTTGTTTCGAGTTCTCTCATGTGACTGATTTGTCATGTGATTGTGCAATTTTGCAATCTCTTTGTTCTTGGACCACAATTCGGTGTTCACCAGCTTCTGGAGATTCTGGGTCTTTATCTGGAGGTCCCGGGAGAGTTGGTCGATCTTTTGATTCTTCTCCTCGATCTCTTTCGTCTTGGAAAGCAGCTCTTGCTCAATTTCGGGGGTAGGCACTGGTGCAAGCGAGCTTGAGGTGATGTGCTTGATCTCGTTTTCTTTGTCGACGAGCTCTCGTTTGATCTCGTCACGCTCCAATTCCAGGCACTCAATTCTTCGTTGTTTATCAGCTATCTGATCACGCAGCTCCTAGAAGAGTTTATTGATTAGGAGTGGTTGGGATAATGGGTTTCAATGCTGTTATGTTTAACGAGGTGATCGAGGTAGGGAGATGAAGCTGCGGAATGATTTTATTACCAGGTATTTTTAGACGGATGGTCTAAGGACACGTGTCGATTTTTTGTGGTAATCGATGGGTTAAATACCTCAGTTTTTTTTTAACATTAAGTACTCAGGGCTAAGGAACTGTTTTCTAAACCAAATAATTTCCAGAATAATTTCCAGAACTTCAGTTATTATTATTTATGAAATATAATAGAGAATACGTTTTATATGGTGGAGTAATATTATTTTCATGGGAAATAGCGAAATGGAAAATTAATTAATTGCACTAATTTTTTAATTGCAGAATTAAAAAGATTGAAGTATCAGGGTTGATTCGTCTTTGGAAGTTTCTACTTGAAAGTTCGAATAAAAGGGGATAAATAAAGTGTAAGAGAGACTTTAAGAATTTTTTAATATTTGCGTACAAATAGTATTTTTTTTTACCTCTGACTCATCGTGTATTTGTTTCTCAAGTCGATTCTTCTCGGCTTTGATCATATCAATTTCGCCTCTGAGGTCGTTTATCTTGATTTCCATTTCCTCGAAACGCTGCTGAAGTACATAAAAACAAACAAAATATCTACTGTCAATAAAACTCGACAACAACAAATCAAGAGATCGAGATATTGAATAATTAGATTTTATTGTAATTTCGATTGTGCCAGGTTACAGAATAGCATGAGAATTACACAATGATTTGATGCGAGGTTTATTCAGATATTGAGGGAGGAATTTATTTGTTCTTTGCCCATCGTCTCGGAGACACTAGTGTGACAACAACAGGCTCCTAAAAAATAAATGTGCAGTCACTCGTTTCATCTACCAATAATCCCATGAATCCACATCGTCATATTTCTGCATGATTTATTTTCATTTGAAATTGTGCAATAATTCGCTGCGAGTGTTTAGGGGCCCAAGGAGAGACAATTATTTGAATACCGAAATACATCTTTTGTCATTGAAGAATTTCGAAAGCACCGCGTCACTCGTACCTACCTCCATTCGCAGTGATAGACACAAACAGGAGAGCATTATTCACAAAATTACTTCAACAAAGAACAACAATATTCAATGAGTAATAATGCCCTATCGATATCCCTATCCCATCAAATAAATCAATTTCGCCTTTTTTATTCAGTCATAAAAAAGAGGAGACGTAAAAATAGTCTCCAGAAAAAATCCAGATTATTCGAGCTCAACTCAATTTCTTCAACTATTTTGTCTCAAAATAACGAAGAACAAGTCATTTCTTCTGGTTAATTGACTCATTATCATCGATAACTGACGATTTAAAAAAGCCAGTGAAAAATGGATAGTTCTCAAATATTTGATGGGACAAGTGTGAAAGTGCACGACACAGAGTAAACTGGGCAGAATGAATATTCGTAAGGTCTGAGCCGCTGTGGAACGTTTCATGCTCCCCACCTATTATTAGCATTTCGAGTAAAGGCATCCTCAACACCCCAATTCTCACATGTTGAACCTCTCTTATTTTATCCAAATGACGACCAGGAAATTGATAAATAAAACAACCAAGGGTTAAAATATTGAATTGATCTGTTTTCGCAGTTGATTTCTCTGTGTTTTTTTTAGAATCAACGTATGTCTTAAAACGGAGTGCCTAACAATTCATCATGAGTGTCCATTAATTGTAAATTTAATTTCAGTAGATCGTTACAAAAAAAAGCAGTAAAAAATAATGGAAGTCTTAATGGAAGCACCGATGAGTAGAAGCTATCATGCAGTGTTGTCAAAGCAAAGAGGAAGAAGAGGAAGAGTTATTCTGAAAATAAAGAGAAAAAATAACGGCTTTCAGCACTGGTGGACCAAGGGAAACGTCACATTCATTAATTTTACAATGTTTAATTTAATCAAATGAAGATTACAACATGAATCGTCTAGTTTATAAGTGATCAGTTGTCTTATGGATCTAGAGGCAATTAGTTTCGTATTTTTAGGATGACGTATGAGAGAGTTAATGTCATGAGGGTAATGATAGTGCTGTTCCTCCTCGAAAAAAAGAGAAAGCATTTGCTAGTGTACCGACCTGACTCGATGACTTCTTCTCCAGACGATCTTCATCCATATCTGGGGTCAAATTCCGCTTCACCGATGACAGCTGGGCATTTCTTTTGGTTTTCGAATCAGTTTCTCGGAGTTTACTGGACTCTTGTTTTAGCTCTTCGATCTTTTTCTCTTTTTTCGTTAATTTTTGCTCAAGCCGACTCTGACGAGCCATGAATTCCTGGATTGCAAGCAAGGCTTTTGTATGGTCTGCCTTGACTTTTTTTAAGTCCCGTTGGGTTGCTTCCGCTGTCTCTTGTACATTGCACAGCTTTAACATAAGCTGCTTCTTCGTTTCTTCTTGATCTCTCAACTTGCGATCTCTTTCCTCCAGTTCCTGGGAATATTTCAGGCGTAATTAATTTTTTTACGACAGATTGTCCAATCGTTTCGAAAACTGTTCTCGCTGATCGAATTAAACTCCTTACTTTTCATAATAATAATCCCAAATAGATATATCAATGTATCAAACACTCAAAGATTTTTAATGAATGCAGAAATAGAAGATCAACCTCGATATGCCACACAGCGGTCCCCTCATTGATAAAAAAACTTATTTTTCATTTCATTTCACTTTATGAGATATTCTTATCCCGAGACGACACAATCTCTGTGAAACTTTCCCCTTGACCTTAATATTCCATCATTGACGACAATTCTCATTTTTTCAAATTAGCAACTTTAACTTTAAATCGAAATTATATGATGAAATAAAATTTTGGTCAGATCCTTCTTTATAAAACAATTTGATAGCTGCAAAGGTTTTCTTAACAAGTAGTATAAGAAGCTGAAATAAAAGACGCAAAAAACCAACCTTCACCAACTCCTTAATATCCTTCTCATCGCCAGAATGACTCTGCAAGGGGCCCCTGGATCTGCAGTCCCAATCAAACGGACTGGTGCATTTACTTGGACTGACGATACCAGACGCTTGTCCAGACCTCTGACCCGACCTTATCCCCGGCGAATCATCGTAAGTGATTGGACTGGTGGGTGGTGACATTCTCCTCACAAGACTGTTCTCAGACTGATTCAACAGGGCTCGATGCTTATTATTGAGTTCCGTGAGTGCATCGTCTCGACACTTGACAGAGACTCTTAACTGATCTATCTGCTTCTTCCTCTTCTCTGCGACCTCAGCGAGCTCATCGCAGGCTCGACACTTCTCCTCCAACATAGATATCTTCTCTCTGATCAGCCTGTCCTTCTCTGCCAACTCATTCCTCAATTGTTGAGCAGCACTCTCCCGTCTGAGAGCATCCTCTTCAAGCTCCTTGATCCTCGTTCTCAGCTCCTCGATGTCACTGTCACGCGAAGATGTCAACTTCTCTCGATTCTTCACTTCCGTTTCCAGACGAGCTCTCAGGGTATCCCTCTCGGTCTCCAACTCTTGTGCCCACGATCTCTCATCCTCCAGACTCGCTGATAATTGCTTCACTTCGGCTTCTAGACTCTCCACGAACTCCTCCATCTGGATCAGCTTCTCCTTGTTCTCCAGGGCTGCTTCTGGAGTGATACCGAAGGCCTCTTTGTAGTACATCGAAGGCTCCAGCAGTTTCTCCTTGTACTCTGATAACTCTGCAATTAAATAATTCGAGGAATTCATTTCCATTTCGCGGAATTCAAGAGATTCGGAAATGATATAGTGAAACGAAATGAGTAAATTCAATTCTGCTTTATTTTTTTTTGAAAATATCTTCGCGACTAAGAGAGCTAGTGAATCTTTCTTAATCCTGGAGATATTTGCGAGAAAATCAGCGAAGGGGTAAATCGGTTCATCTTGATGTTCCACATCAATGCAGAAATGTTTTTATGATTTGATTCATTCAAATGCTCTATTCACTTTAAATTGATTAAGTGACTATTTTACCTTGTTCCAGGTCTTCTATTCTTTGCCGCTCAGCATCTAGGGACTGCTGGTATTGAATTTGATTTCGAGCTGCTGCCTCTTTCTGCTCTTCATGCAGCTGGAACGCTTTGGCGGCTTGGCTAAGAAGTTCCTGCTTCTCAATCAGATCTTTCTTCAGGGATTCAAGTTCAACCTACATGAGTGGACAAATCAATTAAAGTGGCTTCTTTTTTTACCATTTTTTTCGAACAGCAATTTTTATTTTAACATCAATAAAACATTTTGCAATTAAAAAAGACAAGATCATCTGATTTTTTATTGTGAAACCATAGGTTGTCATGACGAAGGCAAAACGATTTAATGAATCTTGCTCACGTAAATTCATATTTCCGTTAATAAAATGCACTTTCTCCAGATGAATATTTTATTTGAGTGCAAAATAGTAAAATTTATTGGTAAAAAAGAATTCTGAAGAAATATTAATTTAGAGTAAAAAGAATTCCTGTAACGATTTAAACTTACGTTCAGCTCAATATTCTTTTTAATGGTATTCTCATCTGCTGAACTGATCCCCATCTTTTCCTCGAGAAAGTAAACACGTAACTTGAGATTGAAATTTTCTTTCTGTAATATTCCCAGTTGATCTTCATAATCCTTGATGGTTCTGCCAGCGTGACCCGAGGCAGTCCCATTGGGAACTTTTCCCGGTGATCTCGGATTTGTGCCTGAACCGAAAAAAAAATAATAATTAATGTATTTTCAGGGATGAAGAGGAAGGGTGAAGTTTCTGTCGTCTGTAACCTCGGAAATTCGACATTTGTCCAAATGTCAGGTTTAATTGGTTTAAGACTACATTGCAGGGTAGGCGGATGGTGAAAATAGGGAATAATGACTGGACACTTGAGATTCACGTCGCGAGCATCGCGGGGAGATTGGATGATTATATTAATTGACACGATTGTACTTTATCCATGTTAAATTGTCATCAATTCACGCGCGTTTGGCACGGACAAAGGACATACTTCAGATTAAATCAGGAGTCAAGCTATGGGTGCAAAGCAAAATTGAATAATATTTTTTAGATATTAAAAAATCGCATCATTAATTGTATAACATTCTCCCATTTTCAACACCAAAAAATTGGCTTAATGTTTTTAATGTTATTAATCTCCATCAAGAAATTCCTTCAATAATGGAGATTTTTCAATTATGTATTTAATTCGTTCGAAATATTATTTATTATTCATTAATTATTCATCCAGAAAAAAATTTTCTGGACCGATTATATGCTGATTTTATTAAATTCATAGAGATTTTATTATTTAATAATCTAGAACTAAATTGAAATAATTAATTTTAAGATCAATCGTTAATGATTCTATGGGAATGATCACGACATGAAGAGACTTTTTTTATATTTTCGACAAAAGCTCATGTTCCCGGTACTGACGTAAATTGGGGAAATCGTCTTCCCCAGCTATTTTATCGCCGAAATCGCACACAAATTCTGATGAGGATGGTGCACAATTTCAGAATGTTCTTCCGCATTCTCCTCACGAGCACTTCAAAGGCATACGTCAAATAAAATCATCAATGAAGCGGCGCCAGGAGATAAGATCACAACTAGAATTATAAATTCCTTTATAAATTTCAACCTAAAAACAAGAGGAACTGGAAAAATTTTAATTTCCTGTGACAGTTGTCCCCCAATTTTTAAACTCTCGATCTACACTATCTCATCATGAAGTCTGAAATATTTGCGACGTAATCTGACTGGAGTATAGAATCGTTTAGAGCGATAGTACTGAGGAAATTATATAGAAATCTCGGGTAATTTCTTTGTAATTCACATTTAGACTTGTTATCATAGAGTTCTAATTGGTGACCCGATTCGCTGTCTTGCGGGTCTATTTCAAGCTTGAACATTCATCTAGCCACCTGTTAGGAGAGAAATTAATCACCGGGTCGATGGCAATCGTCAATGCGTCTCCCTACGTGTGATACTCATGACTGCTCACGTGCCAACTTCGTAGTGATCATCAAAAACTAGCCGAGCCGTCCCGACGAATGCACTTTTTCACCCTTTTGGCCAAGTACCAAAGACAATTGCAGCCTGTGCGACCTATTATTATTCCTCTTGTTTTTCACGACGTACTCACATTTTCTTTCTATTTCCTTCATACGAAACTTCGCATCACTCTCTTTCTGATCCTTCGGTGTCAATTCGAAAGTTCACGACTCTTTTGGCACATAAACCGAAGCCAATGGAGTTCATTTTATTTCATTGACATAAATAAAGGACATCAAAACTAATTGAACTTAACGATAACAAATTGTCTGATTGAAATTTTTGAATATTTTTAAAAAATATAATCATTTAATTTTTATTTTAAAGTTCATCATTTATAAAGAAGACAAATCCGGGATTATCTAAACATCAATGAGCTTTTTCGGTGAGTCTCTAGGTGAACAGAAACTCTAAAAACAATTTAGGTAACCGTTCCCATAAAATTTCACTATAATCTACGATGGTGTGATTTAAATGATGAAAAAACAAGCTTTACCAAACATGACTTCTACTTTATTCGGTTTATCTTCACCGGCCGATTCTTCGCTGACAGTCGAAGATTCAGCTCTAGATTTACTACATCCCATAACACGTGGAGCTTTCTCTTCCAGTTACTCCTCATCTCTCATCACCCTAGCACAAAGACTCTCTTTAGATATTCCAATCGAGCAATTTTCCACCCTTTTCTTGCTTCCAATGGTCGTTAAGAGACCATCTTCAGCTGACAGAATAGCACTGCCACCGAATGGCAACTGGCCTCACTCAGCCAAAAGTCGAAAACATCCAATCGTCATGTACATAGCTAGCAGTTTAAAATTAATGTTCAACTATATTTCGAGGAGACGCAGTTTGCAGTCGTAACCAGAGTATGAAGTCCATTTTTTTATATCCACACAAGCCGAAACCGATGGATCCCACCCTGGATGCATAATTCAAAGTAAACGCATCGAAAAGGAATTAATGAAAAATTTCATGTTTTTTCAGTGAAAGATGTGAATCAACATTTTTATTAAAAATTTCGGATTCCAAATTCCATTCGAAAAATATTATTGTATTTTCTTCTCGACTCTGAAATATTTACCGAAAAATTGACATAAAATTCATGTAGTCAATTCGTTTGTTAAACTGATGAACATAGAGGGCATATTCTTATTTAAATTAATTTAGGAGCAATTAAAATGAATTTAAATAAGTTGGTGGTCTCGAAAAAAATCAATTACTAATTGCTAAACCCTTGATCTATATATTGTTTAATATGTATATTCAAAAAATATGTTTCAAGTCTATTTAAGAGGAATTATTTAGGCGCCAGGAATTGACGTAGGGTGAGACTGCATAGGAATGGAGAAATTGAAACAAGAGGATAGAAAATAGGGGTGAAATTTCAGAGAGGAGTGTGATGGGGCATTGGTGACTCACTGGAGTGGAGTTCCGATGGCTTTCAGTTGCAGTTTTAAGCATCTGGCCCCCCTAGTCTATCAAATCCGAGACTCGGGCATGTCTGGGGGCTCGACAGTATTTATAGATGACACATTTAGCACGAGAATCGGTCGAACTCTCTTTACTTCAAACCCATCCATTTCTCTCTCTCCCTCGTCCATCCATTTATTTCTCATCGGTGATTATACGCCCGGAGGTAAACATTTTCCGTTGACGATTTTTTTCTTGAGAATATGGAACAACCGGTTGGAGGTGTTTGGGAAGAGACGAGAGATGGGATGCGCTAGAAATAAATTGGAGTGAAGAGTACACGCCTACATCCAGTGTTTGGGGGACGTTCAAAGACGGGAAAATACTAACTGCGGATTTCCTGTAACCTGAGACATGCTTGGGGACAACTACAGCATGCTCGGAGTATTATTAGAATTTTTTACATTTTTACGTGCTCTTTCTGGCTTGATTACTTTTTTTGTTTTACACCGCAATTCAGAGCTGGAATGTAAAAAATCTAACTCCACGCGAGATCTTTGGTATTTAGAAATTCATCTCGGGAATCAATGCCGAACATAAAATGTGTCGTCACATGACTCGATAAGTAATTTTAATTAAGAAAAAAAGGAAAAAATAATAGAGAATAATTTTTAATGCAGCCATGAAGTTCATAAAAAATATCTGAAGGACTCCATCGATCGGATTATCCAACCCATTGATTACACCATCACTTTGGCAGACTGGTGATCAGGTCCGAAGTGCGAAGAATATATATCGGGGATATAGCCTCTTTGGCAAATAATAAAGCTTGAGAGGTGTCGTTTTCTGAGAAGGATGTCACTGAAGGTCCGACACACGGCGCCTAGTGCAAATACCTCAGGTCTACCGATTTGGGGTCGAACAATCAGGTGTCTTTACCTCGGATCTTCACTTCACTCGATAAAAAAAACCCGAAGCACTGACTCAAGGTCACCTCAATCATATATTTCATTAGCTTCAAACAATATTAGAGTGATCATTCAATTATTTATTTAAATGATATTGAAATAAATCTTCAAGTCTTCAATGCAGTAATTTTGAATGATGATATAATTTTAATCATGATTCACTTTCTTTCTTTGGTTGTCTACATTTTATTTGGAAATTTTTCGAGATTGACAAGTTGCATGAATTTTTATTAATTAATCTCGTAGTACTTCTGTTGTAAAAAGTAGAAGTCATCGTCGTGGGCGCGTGAGGCTCGAATGAACTCTTGGCTTGATATTATTTTCGTCGAGCCAAAAATGAAAAGTCACCAAAAGGAACGGAAGATGAAGTGAGAGTTGTCCCCTGTGTCGTGAGTAGAAACAACCGATTTCCCAGAATTTTATGTGCCATTTCGAGCTTCTACTCGAGATGCGTAACTTGACAAGGCGTCCAAGAGTCTCGCGAATCTCCAGGCGAAAGTCAACTGATTAATCGTATGGTTAAGTGAAAGAGCAGCTAAATAGGAATTTTCCGAAAACTGGATTATTAGTCAAGCTCAACGAAGGAGGGGAGCGAATCATTGGAAAGAGAAAATAGAATGTAGGGGAAAACGGACACCCATTGAGAATTTTTCCCTTTAAATTTTTACCAGTTTTCTATGCTTAAACAAGGATCAATAGATAAATAAAAAAAACGGTTAATAATAATGTCCATCGTCGAATGGGTCTGAAATTTCCAAATCCATGGAAGATCTCATTGAAATTAATATTCAATTCTTAAAAATGGGGTTCAATATTCGTGCTGTTCTCGAAACACCAATAATTATCCATGAAAAATTGAATTGCATCGAATTTTCAAGATGAACAATTTTTTGGATAGTTCTCCAAACTCTTTCTCCAGGTGTCCACTTGCAAGAAAATTACTACGAAAAAAAAATTGATGTAACTCCCCGAGGAAATTTCAAACTGAACGATCAATCATCTCTTGTAACTGCCCCAAGTCCCTCGACTTAATTAAACGAAATTATCGAAATGGTTCTCCATCATTTAAATTGGAAGAGCAGACACGGTTGGCTGCCATTGCAATTACACAGACAATAAGACATAAGTGTCTCCATTGTCTCATACCATGTGATACCCTCGACCCTCAGTCAATATCTCGAGCATCGATAGATCGGAGCTATCGAGGTCGACATTAAAGAACAATAATGAGTAACCGGAAGATCATCCACTTCTTATCGATAAATGAACCACCAGGTAATGCCCCGACATCTGGGGTGCGCCTGGGACCCGCATCCGGTTTTCGTTTTCTCGAGGACCACTATTTTATCTTGAGTATCGATTGTTCGCCGGTTGTAAAGATCAATTGAGCGTTGATTTTTTATTATTATTTAATTTAATGAGCGTATTTACCACTGCCCAGGTACGTCGTCTGGTTCATCGTGATGTCTTGTAAAGGCGGCATGTGAGTACTGTAACAAAATAAAAAGATCATCATTATTAAAGATAAATTTTTCATTGACCAATCGACTGAATTCACTTCTGGGAATTGCCATTCAAATTTCAGTACTTTCTCACAAAAATTCAAATTTAAGACAGTCTTCAAAATTAATAGTCAACCACTCATAAAATTTCTTTTCGTTCCATTTCTTTCTATTTTCATCTATTTTCTAAGCATCCAGTAGATCTACCTAAATATTCCCATAACACACGCTAATGACAAATAAATTTTTTTGTAATTATTAAATAGATTTGATATGAGATTTTTTTTTTCGTGTAAGCACATGCAAGGATAAAACATTTCTGACAAATCGAATACTAAAAAGGAATCAATATTTGCCATTTGGTTCATAATTTTTTATTTATGGGTAAACAGTACTTTACTTTCAGCACTCGATATTATTCTCTTTGGAGACATGACCGATTCGCTCCACTCCGTTGACATTGAAGTCAACTAGACAAAAAGACAACTCTTGGTAATTTCCTCAAAGGTCGCTGCGTAAATTTTGTGAATGGGGCAATGGCCTCCCCTCGAAAAAAAAAACGAACGCCCGTCTAAAGATCTATTCTCGAACGGTGCTAAGAAAATTGACTGGGGAATTCTCTCTTTTTTTCCACTTCTCCCAGTGATTAACACATTCTCCAATTTCCATGATTTCCTGAGTTACTACACCGGAAAAAATGTTATTTTCCAAATACCCGATTACTTGGCAGAAGTATTCAATTTCATTTTTATTCATTTCAGCATTTTTTCAGTTGAGTAATTTTTGAAAACACTTTACTCCACAAAATCATCATCATTCTGATTATAATCTTAATTAATTGACTGATTATTGATTTTCAAAAATCCCTCCACGGTGAAGAATGAAATAATTATTATTAATTATGGCATAATAATGACTGTTGGTGAAACAAATATATTTATATATAATGATAAATACTATTTTGATAAGTCCCTTGACTTTCTGAGGCCCGACGCATCACTCCCCTTCAATTAAAGATTTAATTATCGCTGAGGTGTTGCGTACGTAATTATTAAAGCTCAGCAATGCAGGATGGGGTAATAAGTCAAGAGTCATCGCAATAAGGAAATGTAAGTGACTTTCCAGTAAGATCTAATATAGATCTCGCCGAAATCCTCCGAGTTACCATGAATTCTCCCTAGTTAAATGTGAAATGGATAATTTGTGGAGGCCTCTGATTTCACAGACCCACAGATGCGTTAATCGTTTCGTTTCAGCTAATTTTCACTGGTTTATTTGCATTTTAAGCGTCGCCATGCATGACAGATTGACTTTTTTTTCTGTCCATTTGATACCTGACAAGTTCGTTCGGGTATTGACGTAAGGAGCAAAATAGTCTCGAATCATAAATTTCTCTGCTTTGATTGTTTCATAGATCTTTTGTCAATATTTAGGGGAAAAAGAGGGCAGAGTTAATGAGTTTGCAAAACGTCATTGGTGATTGGATATCACATTGCTTAAGTTTCTGGGATATATAAAGGGACGAGATCTGCTGTTTAGACACTACATTTTGCGCCTTTCCCGTGGGCTCAACTAGCAGAATGTATCTCAAGGTACGAAAAATTTGTTATTTTCATTATGAAGTCTATTTATTTATCTCGCACTAATATTTCCGGGAGAAAAAATTTTTATGAGGCGATTTCACAAAAAAGTATGGAATAAACAGAAATTTTTATGTGCGTTGTCCGTATTTTCCTGTAAATATAAATAAAAATTTCGTTTCCAAAAACGTAAAACTGATTTTTTTTAAGGGAATCAGAGTTTCACGAGAATTCCAATAATTTATAATTTTTTAAATTTCATATAATTCATTTAAACTAGAAAATTTCACGAACAGAAGTTTAGATTTATGGAAATTTAAATAAATGGATGAATTTCCTTCCTTCTAAGTGAAAAAGTCTTGCATATTTTTTTCAAAATCAAATTCAATTGTGAACTGTCAATGGAATTCCTGATTTCTCTGATTGTACTTTGATGAATACTATGTCACTCGAAAATCCTGAAAGGTTGAGAGAAAACTGACGCATAATTATGCGATTTACAGGCGGTAGGACTTTTAGTGTTGGCGATAGTAATCAAGGAAGGGACATGCGCCGGTCATAAGGGGTATTCCTTTCAACATCATCATGGTCCTGTGACGGGACACGACCAGAAGGTTACGTGGACTGATAAACATGGACACCATCACCATGATTACGTAGCTGAACCCCATTACAAATATTCTTACGGAGTCCAGGATCATCACACTCATGATATGCATGGCCAGAAAGAGCATGGAGATGGTGAGTAAAATTTCAAATACCAAAAAAATTCTACGGGAATCCCCAAGCATTAAAAGTCGGATAATTCCGGAAAAACGAGGAATTTTCGGAGAATAATTCAAAGAAAATGTCCAGCTTTCCCGGATTTTTCCATGACGTTATGAATTTTCAATGAAAAAAAAAGTAAAAATTCATTGAAAGACTTGTTTAAAATTTCCGAGGCTCTCACCGAACATTTTTAATAGTGTAACTAATTAAAGCATTGGGCTAATTTATTTAATAGATCATGGCGTCGTTGGAGAATATTCTGTGCACGAACCCGGTGGCAACGTGAGGACAGTGAAATATTTCTCAGACCACAACGGATTCCACGCTGAAGTCCACAACAGCCATGGCTGGATTCACCACTACTGAGTCACCCCATAATTCAACAAATGTTCACAAGTCATTCATTCAATAATCTGTCACTCCCGTTTTATCTCTGATTCAACTGAATAATAACCACTGATTCAACCAAAAAATTGCGAAATTTGTCATCGGGAAGTTGTATCTTATCGGAGGGGATAGGAGGGGACTGAATGCATTTATCAATCGGTTGGAGTTTACTTTGCGTATTTGTCGAGAAAGATATAAATCATCGGAAATAGATCGTGAACAATGCACGGATAAACCACCCATGTACACCGCGTTGTTTATCTTCGGGAAAATAAAGGGTTTGGATGCAAGTGTTTACAGAATTTCCCCGATTCTCGCCAATTGAAAATACAATCCCAACTCTGAAGAGCAAAACTGATTTAAAATCTCAACGAAAGGAATTTCAAAACGCAAACAAAACGAGGAGCGTTTTACAAACTCTTGTGCTCGTTGAAAAAACGAATACGAGACTATAGTCTATTTAAGTTTGATATTCCATAAAATTTCCCTGGCCCTTGACGCTCATTTTCCCGTCCTTGCACTAGAGTTTTATTTTTCGACGAGCGCTTGAGAAGTTTCCTAATTTTCATAAAGTATCAACCGAAAAAACCGGAAATTCGGTTGGGAGAAAATCATTAGGGGAAAAAGAATGGATTTCCCTGTTGATGCTCATGCTTTCCGGCGAAGAGCAACGAAAATAACATCCCACTGGGAGGTGAAGCACGAACTCTTTGATCCTCCCTTCTGAGATAACCAAATGTCACTGATATGTAATTAATCCTAAACATCGTCACTCGCAAGAGAGGAGTCTACAGCTTATTTACTTGGTAATAACAAGTTTATTTTCTTACAACTCGCGCGAATTTTGAGATCAACATCTGCTCCCATGTAAATTTCCATACACGATTATCTTGTACACCTTACGCTGTACTAAATCGTGGAGTTAAGCGTAAATCTAGATCCAGACTTCTGGGAATCTTTGCTTGCGAGTTGAGGAGGGAACCCTGAGAAAAAACGCCGGACGATGATCGCACGGAAATAGATTGGAAGACTAACAGAGATGTTGTGGAGCAGCCCTGAATGATGCTTCGATGAATTCGCAATCAATCGGGGATTAGAGAATATTTTGGAAATTACCAGTCGTTACAAATTTTCCGTGAAAATTGTCACTAAAAGTTTGGAAAATGCCTGACCTTCACGTGACACGTGATATTCTCCCTAAATTTTGCAAGAAGTGGTTCATTCAAAGTCCATGTCATTGAAAAATCCAAATCAAAATTTCAGTTTGATTGTCGATTTCGGGTAAATTTCCACCATCTCGTAGTTTCGCCGAAATAAAAACTATTTTCGTGAATAAAATAGAAAGTGAACTTTGGATTTGAACATGAATTATCGTGGTACAACAGTTGTCTCGAATCCTACGACTTTATTTTGAACTCATCACTTTTTAAAAATTTTATATCGCAAGCGTAATGGAGTCTGATAGACAGGATGAGAGCGCATTGTAGCGAGAATTCTAAATGGTACACAACTGGTTTAATTTACGTGGGTGTCACGAATGATAAAGTTCACGGAACTCGCGCCTTGAAATCAATTACTTCTTGCAGGCAAACAAGAAATTTCCGACGGCATCTAATCATTTTCTTATGAGATGATTTTTATTGGACAGCCACTTCAGGGTGACAGCAAAAAAGGTAAATTCAGATCAGCTGTGAAAACACTCGTTCAGGGCAGTGAAGGAAATTTTTGGTGAAGTTGATGTGAAAAAATATAACATTATTGCATTCTATAATTATTTGAAGACTCCTAAAGTTTCAATGTGGTGCCAACATTTTCCTCTGAGATTGAATGAATTTTTTTCTGAGCTACAAAACGTCATCGACAAAATGTGAGAACGCGATATTATTACCCGTCAATCAAATTGTAAATCCCGAGTTGAAAAACCAATAAATGAATATTATTGCACATGCATAGTTGGAACAATTAATTTTTTTCTGAGCATCAGCATTTTTTTTTTAAATTGTGTCATTTTGTGTAATTTTTTTTGCGTTTCAGGGTTGTAAAGTGTGATTCATCCCCACAAAAGAACAACTGAGGATTCCGAAGGGTCTTATCATTTTTCTCGGAGTGCAAGCGATCTCAGACAAAACAGCTGTGCCCAGTGTAAACAATCTTACTCAGCCCCTTGCTTACGTCACGCCAGTAGGCAATTTAATACTCTAGAAATAAAAGATATGTAATCCGGTATAAATACACGTACACCCGACAATTGAAGTTCTAACTTTGGACACAGAATGTGATACTTGTTCGTGCAATCTCGATTAATAAATAATGAGCGTTGGAATGGATTGAAAAGGTTTCAATTAAATCCTCCGATGGGATGTTATGAAAGTGCCCTTGGACGAGACAACAGTCGGAAGCTGATCAATACTTGTGGTGGAGGGGCCCTGGACCAGTTCTTACCCTCTTCAATAATTCATCCTCGAAATATGAAGAAAAAATAAGGAATTCTCTAGTTTCCCTCAATTCGTCAATACACTTATTAATTTAAAAAAAATGTCTCCCCTTATCGATAGTTTCCGAGATAAATGGATGACTAAGAAAAATGATATTTCAACATTTCAACTAAAATCAGAAAAAAACAGAACTAATTCAATATCGATTAAGAGATGTACGTCCACATAAAAAACAGAATTTCTCGTAAAAACAGAACTAGAGTAAAAAAAACTTGTCCTCTTCATTCCGATCCCCATGATAATTACTGCGACACCCGATGTAGAAACCGTTAATTTTCAACATGCAAAGTTTCCTCAATTAACCGGTTGTTAAACCATTTAAACAATTAGACTCAATATTGCGTAAAATAAGTCATCAACCCTCATTGAGCGCGACGACACGTGGGAGAATCCATCACCCACCGACGTTTTTTTTTTCATAGGTGTAGTAGAACGTGGGTGATGTTTTATATTCTCACGTGTACGTTTGTTCCGTATGCGGGTCAATAGGATGCGATCGAGAGTCGATACTGTTATTATATCCGCGTGGGTAAGCTCAACAATAACAACATCCGATTCTCAACCCAATGAATAAATAACAGCAAGAAATGCAACGCAGAAGAAATTAAACCAAGTCAGAAAACAACTGCGCAGTGCAGACCAGATGATTTTTCAGATACCCACGTTCTGAATGGGCAGCAAACACTAGGCCAACCACTGATTCTACTTGAGGATGGATTATTTTGTCCACCCATGGATTATTTCTACTCAGCCATGAACAAGGGTGGAAACATTCCATTATTTCACCCATTAAACCCTTGAAATTCCCTCAAACCCCTAATTAATCCTCAACGATACAACAATAATAACGGAATCATAATTTTCCCGCGATAATTTAGTGCTCATGTACATCATAAACTTCTTGTCCGTTCTAACGTGCACTTAATTAATAACGAGATTAAAGTCATACTGGAAGTACTTTTTAGCATGACATTGAGCGTGATTCAGCAGAGCTAGTCTCCAACAGCATCACCTCTCGATCATAATTATCCTCAACCATTTGAGATAATCTGATCAACCAACGAATGACTGAACCCCAGATCGAACCGAGTCAACCAACAACAGATAAACTAATTAGTCATGCTCAAACTCACGTTCTGAATGGACTGCAAACGCTGCCCCAACCATTGGTCCGGGTTGGAGATGTTGGACTACTCGGTCCATAGCTGTATCCTCCAAAAAACATTGCTCCGTTATTTTATCCAACAAAGTCTCTAAATCCCTCAAAACAACCCCAAATCAATCCTCAACAGCAGCAACAACAGTGTCACGAGTTTTCCCGCGTAAATATAGTCTTCGTGTATATCATAAACTTCTCTCGGGTTTTAATCTACACTTAATTAATACTGTGATTAAACTTGTACTGGAGCAACTCTTTGGCACGTCATTTGGCGTTAGTCAGAGTCATTCTTAACAAGACCTACAACAATCCTCAACAAATTCAACAATTACACTCCTCCCAATGATCACCAATCACGATTAATCTTCAACTTTTAAAACACCAACTGACTGTTTATCACTCTCCTTACCACTGACATCTACCAGTTCAACTTTTCCACTTGTCCAATGAAAAATAAACCACCCGAATGAACCGTCTTATCACCAACTATGTCACGTAGGTCACAGTCTCCTGACTCTGCTGGACCGATCAATCCGTACGGAGAGATTTTGTGTCACGTGGCTCACTGATATCACCCTCCACAGCTGCGTTTTATCCGTCACAAAGACGTTTTGGTCTGAATAAAACAATGATTACACCATTATCAGTCTTCTCTTGATGATTCGTTTAGCGAAGAACAACTTGCGCTTGACAGACGGTCTCATCTGTTCCATTTTCTCAATTAGCAACGAGATGACTCGAGTTTAAACATCTTTAGCTGAACAACAACCGCATTATACCGATATCATTGATATTTAAATGTACTTCACGTGTACTTTTATTTGTAATAGCTGAATCATCAGCTGGTGCTCCGGTTTACGGACGGTTGTGAACTGAGGCAGAAGCAGCGCGTGGATGTATCCGAGAGCAACTCCGAGGGATGAAACCCAGGAGAGGGGAGAGCAGCGCATGAAATAGCATAAGTGATTCTCAGGGTGAGGGGGGATGTGGGGGTCAGGGGGATGACCAGGGGGACTGCATCGATCAGGGAGACAGTGGCTCTCATTCATTCGCGACCTTTGAACTTCAAACAAATTTCAAATTCGATGGAGTAATCAGTGGAATTGTTTTAATTGAAATTTCTGTTTGGTTTCGATTTTTCGGGGTGGTGGCTCGCTACTAAATATCCGCATTGGTATCGATCGAGCCTCAAGGTCAGGGGTTGCATGATGCTTGAGAAGTTGACGGACGATTGGACGACCAGATTGTGGGACTAAGTGAGAGATCATTATATGGTCATTTTACGAAGTTCGCGGGAGGCCCGCGGTGGGTGGGAGGTGGACAAGGGGGAGGAAACTGACGAGTGACGCGGGTGACCTGTGGCCCCATCCGGGAATTGATAGCGGAAGGAGAAAACAGTGGAGGAATTATTTTCATTAGGAGGTATTACATGGAGGAATTATAATTGATTTTAAATACGACTTTTTTTTCAGGAATTAATGAGGAAATCAGAGTAATTGGAGTGAATGGAGGAAAATTTTGAATTTAAATTTGATAACATTTGGTTTTGAAAGGGCGCATGCCGAAAACGGTGAAATTTCCTTGTCATAACCAAAGTTATAATGCAATTAAAAATTGTAGGGATTTTTCAAAGAACTGAGATATAAATTCCACTCAATTTTTGGAAAACCTAAAATTTAATAAGAATTTTCATAAATAAAAGCTCCATGAGTGTTCATATGCAATTTATTGCAAATATTTTAATTCTAGATAAAATCCTAAATGAATTCTTCTGTAGTGAGGAAAATCTTCTGAGCAATTTTCCATGTTGCATTGTGTTTCCCATAATTTCCTTCATCTTATTCAGAATGTCTCAAAGTTTAAATGTTAGCAATTTGGAATTTCCTGGTGAATTGCCGGAAGGGCCATTCCAGAAACCGCAATAATCACTCCTCCACTTCCTCGAGTAATTTCTTTCCCCATTGACTTTCCCAATTTCATTCTGAGATGTCCCATTCACGTTTATTCATCCAGACGAAATTCCAGGGCGAAACCCAACGACAGAATACACAGAGAACTGACTAATTGGGAATGGGAAATAAATAAAGGGGGAACTGTACCGGTTCCAAAAATATGTTCACCACTTGTGGTTGACGAGGACTTGACGGTTTAACTGGAGTTTCCAACAGTAGCAAAATCCTCTACAGAAAAAATAATATTTGGGTACTCACATGTCGAAGTTTATCGACATCTCAGTGTCGTCTGGGAATTCACGCATCATTATCCTCTCTTCTTAATCCATTCACTCTACTTTTCGTCAATTAAATCAAATTGAGTGGCACAAATACGGGACAAAACGTCTGAACAAAACAAACACAACATTTGGAGGGCCAGGGACAAACCGTCAACTTTTGAAACTACAATTTCCGATGCTAACGTCGTAGCGCTGGTGTCGACTCAGTCGTGACAAATTAAACGGAATAAAATTCTATTATTTCTAGTTAGGGGGTTTCACTTTTTTTAGGAACTTTTCGTTTGAAGGAAAGTTCCGAGCGGATTTTTCTATTATTGCTCAAAAATATGTATATTGAACTATCTAGAAGGAAGAATAGAAATACTGGAAGGGTAATTACACAAAATTTTAATAAAACATATATTATTCTGTATAATTGATACGAAAGAGAATGGGAGAGTTCGGCCTGGGAAGATATAGAACAAAGGCAATAATTTCAATTTCTAATCGATCTCAACTCGGTTTTTTATGATAAATGAATGAAAAAATAATTTATTCAATAGTCAACAAATTCACTAGGTGATTCAATCTTTAGGGGATCCTGAAGATTCGGCTTCAGACTCTGTTGTTTCCCACTGATATTCTTCAGTAACTACAGTCTTATCCCCCAGATTTTCCTCCTCTGCACGAGAATTACTTGTGTCAGAGTGAATGGAACCCTCAGCCTCATCCCACTTGGATTTTCTCGAAGTTTGTTTGCTCTTTTCCCTTGATTTGTGCCTCTCAGTTCGTTTCGATGCCTTATGGCTTCTTCCATTCTCCTTATTGGACTCCCTATGACTTTTCTTTTCCCTTCTGCGGGAACACTCACCGTCAGATAAGGAACTTCTTCGTCTCCGAGACCCCGAAGAAGATGGCTTTCGTTTTTTACTTCTTTTTAACCTCTCCGAACTGTCTCTTGATTTTCTTGAGGATTTCCGATGCTCTCTGGGTTTCACTTCGCTTTCTGGCGACTCTGACCATCTCCAGTCCTTGTGGTCTCTCTTGGTACTTCGGACCGAATCGTCCCATGAGGATTGACTCCTGAAACATCAAGTGATCAAGTTTCAATAGGTTCTATAAAAAATATCGCGATTTTCTGGTGAAAATATTATATTATCTGCCGGCGGAATGAATCAGAAGTGAAAAACAATGGAATCCGAGTTCAAATATTTCTTCGAGTTCTGGAAATAAAATTGTTTCACACCAGAAATTATCGAAATGTATTCAATTTTATTGAAGAAATGAAAGTAAAGACTGACCTGCGTCGACTTCTCTCCGTTCGCCGACCAGAGGTCTCACCCTCTGGCTTCTTGGCCCACCTCGGAGGGCTCTGTATATCATACTCATCCCTGGGATTTCTGAAGGTGTGCAAAAAATTGCACATTTTGCCTTTGGGGCAGTGAGCAAGTCCACAGACGGCTGCCCTCCAGGAGCTGATATTAGCAAATTCGCAGTTTATTTGTCTCCCAGCGTAATATCGACCATTCAGACTTCTCCAGGCCCTGGCAGCCTCTCTCTCAGTTTGATACTCAACGTAAAGATTTCCCCTCAGGTGGACCTCAGTATTACGACAGAATTTGAGGGTTTTGATTCTTCCGAAAGACTCGAGCTCCGGCAGAACGTCTCGATAAAATTCCCTAAAGTCTTTTTGGGTCTCGCGACTGTCGTACTCAAGGCCGATGTCAGTGTCGTACTCGTGAGAATTCCTCTCGAGGGAGAAATGCGTGTAGAAACCTGGAATCACGAGGATCTTACCCAGGGCGAGTCTCCGGTGATTCCTCGAGCAGGATTCGCCGTATTTGCAGGCGGCCGTTTTTGTGAAGAAAGGGCAGAGCTCCTTCCCGGGTTTACTATCAATTACCTCTCGCAGAAACTCGGGGGTCTTCGCCCTAGAGTCAATATACCCGTCGATTTCGTTCTTGAGTTTCTCTCGTTGCTTTAATTCCTCATCTTCGCGATTTTTCGCCTCTTGTTTCTTTTTGTTTACGATCTGTTGCTTCGCCTCGAATTCCTTTCGGATTATCTCTTCCTGACGAAGCTGTTCTGCTCGGGCCTTTGAACGCTTCTCCTGGACAATTTTCCATTCTTCTTGCGCCATTACCTGGGGTTGAATTGACCAAACAAAATTATCATTATTTAATTTAAAGTAGGCTCCTGTTATAATCGCTTAAACAAACTCCTCTTAAGATATATTGACCTGAAATTTGTAAAACTAAAATTTTGTCTTAATTTTTTTATCAATTTGTCATCTTTCTTTATTGTCTATTGTCTTCGCTTGAATAATTTATACCTCTCTCTCAGTCCATAGACGTTCCTGATGATCATGCTCCTCTTGTTCTCGCCTTTGCTTTTCTTTCTCAGCTGTGGCCTGCTCTTCAATCCATTTCAAATATTCCGCGCTTCTCTCCAGTGCTTCCCTCAAACGATTATCATCCGCTTCAACCTCTCGAGCATGTTTTCGTCGTATTTTCCTCCTCCTCTCTTTTTTCGCCATTCTCCTCCACTCTTTATGGGACAACGACTTCTTACCCATCTCCATGCCCCAGTGACCAATGGAGAAATCTCTCTCATTTGTTTAATAATATAAAAAACAACCATCAGCCTAACAGCAGGAAACACCGGTTAAGTTCACTCCACTGCCTCAACTTCTCACTCAAAATCCCGAATTTCATTCAATTTCATACAAAAAATCGTCATAATTGCAGAAACATTTCAGCATTTCCTCTGTAATTAAATTATAAATTTTAGCACAACATCATTCAGATAACCAATAACTCTTAGACTCCTTCCAAAATCAAAACACAATGTCACAGTGGAAATTTTCAGAACTAGAAAATCGCCCAGCTGGTAACATATATCTCTGACAACAAAATACAAAAAGGGGAAATCGATGAATTCCCGCTGCAGTTTTGAATATAATTATATTTTCTCGGATCCATTGTCAAAATCATTTGAATTATCAGTTTACTGAGGAAAAGGTAAAATTTCGTGTTGCTTCATCCCGTGTTCATGTGTTCATGGAGATTGCGAAATTATAGGGAAAATTTCTCAGAGGAAAAATTCGCAGAGGAAAATTTCCATTTCGCTATCTTGTAGATACCGGGAAATTATTAATATGTCAGACTAAATTGACATTTCATTTATTTATTTTTTGAATAGTTAACTTACTGGGAGAGAAAGCCGTCGATTGATATTTCGTTGGAGGTAAAATTCTCGAGTGAAGAAAAAGATGTGGAAATTCTGTCGGGCGCTTGTCAAACTCCTGGTTGGCCTGATATTCATCAGTTTGACGAATATCCTAGTTTACGATTCTGTCTACGTAATAATGTGCATCCTTGCAGTACTAGGACTCGCCAATTTCATGACCAGAATTCAGATTTAGCGAAATTGTGGGTAAGTTTTAACTTCTCAGTCTTTTCTTCCTGACTTTCACGATTGAATTATCTCACCGTTTTTTTTTCGGTGAAAGAGTGATAAATATATAATTGATTGTACTAGATAATGATTTTTGGGAATTTCTCAATGTGATTAATTATTCATAGAACTTTCTCAAAGTTGTAACTAATGTCTGGAGTAATATTACTGTAATTACTGAAATCTAATGGGTTTTTCGTGGAAATAATCAGATTAACGAAATACGGTAATGAGAGACTAAATACTGTATGTACTTATATTCCTCATAAGATAAAATATTATTTTGAATTTAAATCAGTATTAATGATAATTGATTTATTAGATTATTATTGTTGAATTATTTTGAGAGAAATCAATTGAAAAACTGAATATTTTTCTCAAAGGTGGGGATTTTGTAAAGAATAAACGCCAGCGGTATCGTAGTACTGCACCCCAAGAGAGGGAGGGCGCCATGCACAATGGGGCTACCTACAGTCACTCTGAGAGCCAGACTGCTACTGAGTCGGCTAACGGGTAGACACCCCACCATAGGGTGCGACCCCCTCTTTCTCTTGGGGTGAGGTACCCCAATGCCGGTTGGGTCCCTCAAACCCCCACTGAGCGGCTCAGTACGGGTGGGGTGGGCTCAATGGTGGGGTGGGCTCAATGGTGGGGTATCTGCCCGTCAGCCGACTCGATAACTGCCTCAGTAGCAGTCCCGCTGTCAGAGGGGCAGGTTGATTTGATGAATTTTATTTTCTGAAAATTAAAAATTTTTCAATTTCAATGAATACCTCCTCGATTTTCATGCTCCCCTGATACTTTTTTGAAAATTTTTAATTTTTCAATTTCAGTAAATACCTCCTCGATTTTTATGCTCCTCTGATGCTTTTATGAAAATTTTGAATTTTCAAATTTCGGTGAAATACCTCCTCGATTTTTATGCTCTCCTGATACTTTTTTGAAAATTTTGAATTTTCAAATTTCAGTGAATACTTCTTTAATTTTCATGTTCCCCTGATAGTTTTTCAAAAATTTCGAATTTTTACATTTCAGTGAATACTTCCTCAATTGTCATGCTCTCTTGATACTTTTTCAAAAATTTCGAATTTTCAAATTTCAGTGAATACCTCCTCGATTTTCATGCTCCCCTGATACTTTTTCAAAAATTTCAAATTTTCACATTTCAGTGAATACTTCCTCAACTGTCAGGCTCTCCTGATACTTTTTCAAAAATTTCAAATTTTCAAATTTCAGTGAATACTTCCTCAATTGTCATGCTCTCTTGATACTTTTTCAAAAATTTCGAATTTTCAAATTTCAGTGAATACCTCCTCGATTGTCATGCTCTCCTGATACTTTTTCAAAAATTTCGAATATTTGAATTTCAGTGAATACCTCCTCGATTTTCATGCTCCTCTGATACTTTTTTGAAAATTTTTCATTTTTCAATTTCAGTGAATACCAATTTCGTAGCACATAAAATAAAATTCACTCAGTTGACTGGGCCCCCTGATACCGGGACAGCTACTGAGGCAGTTACCGAGTCGGCTGACGGGACGACACCCCCATTGCGTGTGACGCCCTCCCTCTCTTGGGGTGCAGTACTACGATGCCGCTGGGGTCACTCCAACCCCCAGAACTGAGCCTCTACTTCAGTCAATCCTCTTCGTCTGCGTCCGTCTGCTCTTGATCGTTCGAAAACTGGGTCCTGGCCAGTACCTTGATGTACACCCAGATAGCACCACCCATCAACCGAAATTACGTCACAATCTTGCCAGTATGGCAGTATCATGTCGTGCAGTCTCTCATTCAGGTATGACAGCCTCTCATCTACCCTTTAACGAAAAATTAAACCACTCATTGTTGACTCGTAAAACAACTCGTGACGTCGTGACAAAAAAATGCGAATTCGGCATTCAGTGAAGTTCGTGAATTTTCAAGTGACTCGTTTTATTTGAGTGACTCATTGATTGGTGACGTTGACAGGTGGGTTCTGTCACTCCCAAAAGTGTTGATAAGAGTGGATGAAAATGTTCGCGGGTTTGAAAAACAAAATACGTGAGGAAATTGGGAGTGATGTGTCCACTGTTGTCAGAAATGCTGGATCAGTCAGAGGGATTAACTCCAGACAAATTTCACAGGTAATCTCCAGTACATTTTTTCACTTCATTATGGATAATGACATTTTACACCCACCGGGAGTTTCATGATCAATAATAAACTCAATCATTTTCTAAAATCTAAGAAAAAAATGAGATATCACTCGACTGTATAAATTACGTGTAATTAGGTAAACTAGTTGTGTTTTATGCGACAACTTTGCATATCGTAATGTTCGTTTGTTAATTTCAGTAGATCAAAAAAGGAGGCAAATAATGATGAAACCTTGATGACGTTTTTAATCACTCTGTGCATTTTTTCTTTTTGGATGATTATGGTTTATTATGGATGATTAAATTTCACCCCCAGGGCTTGATTTGATTTTTGAGTAGAGCAAGAATTCGTGAAGACTTAAACAATGGTATCAGATTATATAAAATACGTGGAAGGCACGGTGGTTTGTCTTGTTTTTTTTTCACTCATTGAGATATTGGACTGTTCGATGGTTTGTTTATTTTAGTAGAACACGTGGAAAAATGTTGGTTTGCCTTTTGTGGACATTCCAGTCAATTCATGTATATTCTGAGGATTTTCTGATGTCTGATTCTATTTGATTGAGATTAATCGAGGTCACTTCGATCTGGCACAACTGGAAATAATCAATCGAATCAATGTTCATGGATATTCAATATTTTACCAAATCACTGCTCTCTGGTATGATTCAGTTTTAATTATGTTGTATTCATGTGAACTTTATGAATCTCAGTCAAGTGAGATTTATCACTTTCCGGATGGAAAATATATACAAGAAGTTCCCCTTGAATGTCCTAGAATCCAGTTCCAGCGGTTTAATTCAATTTCTCTCGCTTCGCTAATTACGGAAATTTTTCAAGAATGAGTGACTTTGATTCCCTCCATTACAGTCGAAACCTTGAGATTCTATTTCGTCTTATAATAAATATAATTCCTCATAATAGATTTCTCTAAAAATATTCTGATTTAAAAAATCTGAATTTTCTTTTTAATTCCTCTTATTCGCTGTACTTTAACTGTTCTACGAATGTAAATATTCACATCCTATACAAATATTTGAAGATATTTATTTTCGCCACATGCACTCCATAAGATTAATGTCCACAATGAATTGTTTTCGAGAAGAATTTAATTTTAATTATATAAATATAAATGAAATAATAAACGTGAAACGAATCGAATTGAATAGTTAAAAGTTCGAAAAATATTATTTATCCGATAATTTGAAAAAAAAAGATCAAGTGCGAGTATGAAGCTCCGGCTAATTAATTGGCCCAATTATTTGAATTATGCGTCATAAATTGTCCTCATTTCAGACTGGTTCTTCCAGCAGCATAAGTGGCTCTCAAATATCTCTGGACGAGTTTCGTGACAGCAGTGCGATAACGTCATCCCCAATTCTCCATCGAAAAAGAGAAAATAGTTTGGATTTCAAATTGAGCGATGGCACCCAGTTGACACCCAAAGATATTAAAAAATTAGAGAGTCGCGAGGAGGAGTGGCGGAGACGTCTGATGAAGAAAGAAGCCGAGTTGCAGAAGAAAATTGATAAAAAAGATGAAGAGTGGCGAGTCAAGCTGCTCGATAAGGAGAAGGAGTGGAAGAAGATCCTGGAGAAACAGGAGAAGGAGAAACTGAAAATCGAGGAGGAAAGACTGAAAGCTGAGAATGCCAGGAAGTCCCTTGAGCTCGCCCTCAGAGACGCTGAAGGTATCAGTTTAGTGTTTTTTTCATCAATTTTTTTTATCGACGTGCGTCAGTATTGATGTGCGGTGTGTAATCGGTCACTTGTATGTACATCATTTGAATGGTAATTCACACACCACAGGTGTCCCGGGAAATGAAATAATCGTTTGTTTTTTCGTTTTCAGAATACAAAAAGAAACTTTATAGCTTTCAAGAGGATGCTGAACAGCTTGAGGGGTTTCAAACACAGGAAATGGCCAAAATTAAACATTTAGTGAGTATTACTTTTTTTTCATTCGGTTCTTATTTATTTCATTTTATTCGCCTCCATTGCTTTATCCGACTCAAGTCTTTTCAATAATTTTATTCAATAATTCATTCATCTATTTTGATATGGAATTTCAATTAAACTTATTTCTTCTTTTTGTTTTTAGTTATTAGCGAAAGAACAAGAAGTCGACGAAAAATCCCATCACTTGAAATCAGCGCTAAGTGAGATAGAAACGTTAAAAACCGAAGTGTCTCGACTGCGAAGATACGAAGATGAACTGAATAATGTCCAGGTAAGTTTCTTTCCACAGCTAATGAAAATTCGTGCTTGCGAAATTACAGAAATGATCGTCATGTCTATAGTATAGACTACATGACAATTATCTCGCTTGATATTTGAATTATCATATTCGTTTGAGACTTATTTTTTATTTTACTCACTACTTTTATTCATGAATCCACTCATTCGCTCATCATGTGGCTCATTATAATATCAGTAGTGATATGGTAATTTAGGATGAGAAATTGAATATTTAGGTGGGGAAGACACGTATAGGGATTAACGTTTGAGGCGTTTGTGCCTTTATGAAGCTAATATGAAAAACACGATTGGTTAAAACTACACATGACAACTCTGCTTAGCATACATTGTCAACTAAATGATCGAAATTGTATGCTTTCTCGTTTATTCCTTGCCCATTGCGTACTGGGCTGTGGAGTTTAAGCATTTCAGCGTTTTTATTTCAATTCGTTTTGATTTATTGAGTTCTTGTGGAATGGAGAGAACCTCAAACACTAATATTCATTATCTTGAATCACTTTCTCATTATTTTTAAAATTTAATTACGAATATATCAAATTTTTGGGATTGTGAAAAAATTGATGCGTCGAAATTCAAGTTATTTTCACTATCAGAAACGAGAATTAGAACACCCATAATTAAATCGGGAGGAAATGTCAAATGATATGTTCAGACCCGGAAATTCTATCAACTCTTCGCTCGCAAATAGATACACATTGCAAGTTCGAGTGAAAATTATTCCCACGAGAATGAAAATTCCAAGCAATGAGTTAATTCGGTACTGTAATAGTTATAAAGGCCTGAATAATAATATTCGAGCAGATCTCTCGATTCCACTGAACACTCAAGTTTGTTTTTATTTTGTGCTTTGTGTTCTACCGGCGTAAACGTCTTCCTGTGAGTTCTATTGCACTTTTTTCACGCTCCTGAAACCACAAAACAGCTCGAACAACTGAAACCGTGTGTTACGTGAACATTCCATAGCGAAATGTCAAAATGTACGGTTTTGACAGCTCCAATGAATTTTCTAATGTATAAAAAACGCGCATGGAGAATCGGAAACAGTTTTCCCTTACGAGATACACCAGATGATTAGGCGGTTTTTTTCCGCTGATTTGTCGCTGCTACTGCTGGAAAGGCTGGAGGTACGTTTTTTACAAAAAAAAGAGAAAAGCTTTGCTGCTTTATAGCTTACAAATTCTCTCTTATCGCTTCAAACCGGTGTTTGGGGTTCTGACTATCAATTCTGTGATAATCCGCATGTTTGGATCAACCAGTTGAGACTAACAATCTTATCTTTTATATTCACATAGGGCATTTATTTTGAGCCACACATTAATCTTATCGTCTCATTTGGATTATTCTCATTATTCTCTTCGTTAAGACTGGCTTTTTTATTATCTGTTTTTTATAAATATTTCTTTGGGGTTTTCATTTGCTTTTGTGCTGTCTATCAAACAATGAGAAAGTTTCATATTTTAATTGGGGGAATTCAACGAAAATTCTCATTCAGGATTTATAAAGAAGATCATGAGTATTTTCCATGAGTCTCTCAAATATATTCAAGATACTTTCAATAAAAGTTTGAATATAATTTTTTATACGAAAATCGAGATATTTCATTAGCAGAAGGTGGTACCTCGATATTTCATAAATACTGATCAATAATATCATTAATTATGAAATATTTAGTCGGTATTTACGACTGGCTGGATTACAGGATTTTACGACAAATTGAAAAAATTAAATAAATAGTAGTAAGAACAATTTTTTGAATTTTTTGAGAGTATCTGAGGGGTGGAAAAAATTAGTGGACTGAAAAGAAGAATATGTAATGCCTCAATTAAAAGGGGAAATTCTCATTCACACAACAAACTGATCGACCAGAATGTGCGAATAATGCTTTTTCGCAGAAGCAGGCAAACTCAGAGTCAAGCCCGATACGATTAAAAATACCGAAAAATGGTAATTTCAGGATGATATGGAAAGCCTCCGGCATACGACTCAGCGTGAGAAGGCCCAATTGTCGGGTGAATTGGCACAAACTAAAGAGGAAGTGCGTCACCTGATGGTCAAGGTGTTTGTTCTTGAGCAGAGAGTGGCCCTCGAGTCTAACAGTGAATCAAGTGTTGATGAGAGAATAGCAGATCTGATGAGAGAGAGAACATTATTAGAGAGAAAGCTGGAGGAGGCGCATCTCCATTTGTCGGATATCAAGACGAGTTGGTCGGGGAAGATTTCATCGTTGGAGACACAAGTTGGCAGACTGAGCAGACAAGCAGGTGAAGAAGGGCTTGAGAGGCGAAGGGTCGAGGAGGAGAAGGAGAAGCTCAAGCAGAGGGTCAAGCTGTTGGAAGGAGAAATTGAGGTGAACAATGTTGTAATGGCGACAAAAGATGCTAAGCTTTTGCGCATGGCGGAAGACATCGACGAGATGGCAACGGAACTTAAAGAGCTCCGTGCCAGCGTTGATGATGAGGTCGAAGAGTTTAAACGACAAATCGTGAGTTACCGGGATTTCTAATTATTCAGGTTGTCGTGGATTTGCATGAGGGTAGCAATGCAGCTAGGATACGTTTTGTTTTGTTGAAAATATTCTATTGTCAGCGAAGAGTAAGTTTCTGGGCTCGGCTCAGAGATATTGACGGAAGTGCAAGCTGACGTGTAGTTTAGTGGCCCAGTGAAGTTTATGAAGTCAGGAGAGTTGACTCAGTTCAGTAGATTATTATTTGTTGGAAGGAATGCTTAGAATCTTTGAATATTTTTATTATCTAATCATGAATTGTTGGGATTGTTGCATCAGTAGCAGACATTCCATGTTCTATTTACACTTAATTTTTAGTTACTTTCACGGATTCACTTGCAGCTTTTATGTGATGGCGTATTTCTCACCCTGTCTAAATTCCAAGAACTTTTTAATGTGGTTTTTTATGAAATTTGTTTATTCTCAGTGTAAGGGCATGTTGAGGAGGAGAGAATCTATATTTTGTATATTTAGAAATGATGAGTACGAGTTTTATGGAAAAACGGGAAAATACGTTAACTTGTGCTGGTATTTTAGTATTTTCTTACTCCGAGGCTCTTTGTTTTACGATCTGATCACGAATATTTATTCATGATGTATTCAAGGCCGCATTCAAGGCCGCACAATGTAGCGCATGATTTGCCTCGCTTTATCGCACAATTCTTCTCCTCAAACTATTTCAACAGCATTTTTTTATTTGGTTTCCACATTCGGTTTTAATCATTCCGCATGCGAAGCTGTTGATCAGCTTGTTGCTATTATTTTGCCATCACCCAAATTAATAAAAAATAGTACATGACAGCTAAACACAGATTGAATTCAGTTTTCGTTGATCCTTGACAAAAATATTCTTCAACACTACAGAATTATGGAAATTTGGCAGCTGAATTTTTATGTATCACATTGTTATGTAAATTTTATTCACGGAAATAAAATTTATGAAAACGTAAGATTCATTATTTTTGCTTTATCTTCATTTTTGAAACCTGATTACTCTATCCTCTCCTGTCACCCACCACTCAGCTTTTATTTTTACACACGATAAAACGACACTAGCGAAAATATCCCGGATTGAATAACCCACATTCCTGGGTTCGCGTAATTTAATTATACAAGCGATGTTGTAGTCATATTTAGATTTTTAGCACGGTTCCCACATGACAACCACATTTCATTATTTTGGGGCTCAGTCATTGTGGGAATATTGAAAAAACTGCAACACCTTATGCACTATTTTATGGATAATTACTCTGAACTCTTTATGAGACTTTCGTCGAACGTTAAATCCTCCCATTGCAATAAATTTTTAATTATATATTACATGATTACTTAAATGTCTTCCATCTTTCAGAAATCACTTGAATATTTTTCGTCAGGAAATTTTCAAAGTGAATAATATAATTATCAGAAATGAATGTCTTTCTTGCGGAGGGATATTATAAATAATTTATTCATATTGTAATTCAATCATTTTTAATTACTTGTTTTTCAAAGGGAATTTTATTAATTACACAAACAGGGTCTGACATTTTCAATATAATTGAAGAATAAAATTCGTAATTCAATTCCAATCCCCGAATATACTCTCACTGGAAATAGGTGCAAAATCTATGAATAATGAAAAATTCAATCCACTTTCTCAGACATCGTCGAGCAAAGACCTGGATAGACTAAAGTCGGAGTTGGATGAAAAGACAAGACAACTGTCCGAGACAGAGAAAGAACTGGGACAATTGAAATTAACGTGCGAGGGAGAAAAGGACAACAATTCCTCCTTACACATGCAATTAGCGCGATTGCGCGAGAATCTTGAGACTGAAAGGACATCGTCCGCCACCCTGAGGCTTTCTTTCGAGAAAGAGCGTGACGAGAAGGACCTGGCTCTCCTCAGGAACGCGCAAGTATCCCAGGATTTTGAGCTTGCCATGCAGGAGAAGAGAATCCAGGAAACCGAGAACGTAGATCTCCAGAGTAAGATTGAGAGTCTCGAAATGACTGTGAAGAAAATGAAGCATGATATGGATGAGTCCTGCAGGAGTTTCGAGGAGGCCCAGGAGAGATTAGTTGTTTTCCAGCGAGCCGAGGACGAGCGCAAGAACAATGAGGAAATGGAAAGAACTTTGAAGAGTAATTTAGCGGATATGGAGGAGCAATTGAACGATAAGACGAAGGTCAGTTTATAATTCTCTAGAATAAAGTGTGCACGTTTAAATTACGCATTACAAGTAGTCATTAAATTTGAATTCGTAATATACCTCATTCTTACGCAGTGAAAAAAGAAAAGAAAAAGTATTGCGTGAGAATTCTAATTATGATGGAGTTTCGAAAAATGGAAATGACTTTGGGTTCTAGACGATTAAAGTGCTCCAACAGAGACTTGCGGACATGAAGAAGACGCTTCAACGAGAATTACGAGTTCCTTCATCGTCGTTGGACAGTGATGCTGAGCCAGCAGCAATACTCAACCCCAGCTCATCGAAAACAGTCACTGCCAAACATTCCAGCGGCCAAGATGAGGACGTCAACTTTAAATATCTCAAGCACGTGCTTATTAAGTTCCTAACCAGCAGAGAATACGAGGTAAAACAGAGAACGAGGCAATTTTCTCGAGTAATTAATGGGTTAACTATTATGTTGAGACTTTTATGATTATATTTAATTCCCCTAACATAAAAAAAAAGAAATCTCAAATTCAAGTATTGACAGAATTTTCATTAACAAGCAAAATCATCAATTGAAAAAATTTCGGGAAATTACCAAAATTGTCTTTAATTCGCTTTTGTTTTAAAATTTTTTTTTTTCAATAATTGATTTTGTTGTCTACAGGCTCTTCATTTGACAAGAGCTGTAGCCACACTTTTACACTTTTCACCAGAGGAAGAAAGACTGCTCCAGGAAACACTGGAATGGAAGATGTCGTGGTTTGGCACACGTCCAAATCTTGGATTCGGTCAGACAGCAAAAGCCATTCCCCCCAGCTGATAGTGAGGTGTACTCTCCGTTCAAGGAGAAGAGTCTATTTCATTAGGCCAAAGTGCCACAGACTTCGAATCATATTCCATTGATGAATTACTGCTCCCACTATCACGATCTATTTTCGGGTAGAACTTGAGGGATTGCGAAAGCAGGAGCTATCAGAATTCCATGAATTTGAAAGCCAAGAACTTTTGCCAACTACTTTAGATCGATATTTATTTCTGTATTTCATGTGTGAGGGTCTTCGTGATGTTTATGTGAATCTCGTTTTTGTACCAACTGCTTGTAAATGTGAATGGGAATTTTCATGCGATTATCTGAAGTTAGAAAATTATTTAATTCCAGGGAAAGGAGAAATCCCAGCGATTAGACGTAATTGTGATACGCTTGACTATTTTTTCAAAATGAATGCTGACGATTGGAGATAATTGTTCAATCGATTTGTGTTTATACTCCTAGTAGAAATTCATGAGATTTTGGAGGGAGAAGTATTAATAATACATTGACAGTTTTAACATTTTCATAGGAGTGGTAGAGGGAAGAATAGAGAGAAGATAGGAATCATTTTCGGAATGACACGTTGAACGTGTTACTGTGCCTAATTTAGACATCGCACCATAGATTCAAACTGTCGATGAATTGTACATTAAATAAAAAACATGGAACCAGTCAGTACTACTTTACTATTATTTTCCAAAAGTCCAATGTTTTTTTAGAAATGACCTCCCGAGTGAATAAGAAATATTAATGAAAGCATTATTGCCATTGATGAATTATTATTGCCTTTCTATCATTATTGATTACATCGAACTGGTGACCTTGTAATCATAAAGATCGGAAAATAAATAAAAATCAATATCTTTGTTTTTTTTTCATTTTTTTTATTTAACACTGAATGAAACTGGGATAGGCACATGGAGATTGTTGGCATCCTGGTTGCTGCTGTTGACAGCTCGATGGTTGTTGACAGCTCGATGGCTGTTGACAGCTAGGCGGTTGTGGAATGATAGCATTGATATCAGGACAGAGCAGACGGCAATAAGCAGCCATTGCAGATTCTCTGGCCTTGTCGGCATTGTAGAATCTCTGGAGAGCCTCCGCCATGTCTCCTAAATCAGTCAATTTCAAAAGAGCTGCCCTGCCAGGTCCGCAGACTGGATAGAGCTTAGTCATGCACTCCGGTCGTCCCATGCAATTCCACATCATGCATCTGTCCTGAAGGCCATTCCTCTTTATGCAGTCACACCGGTACATCATACTGCTACGAAGCTCAAAGCTTTTGCAGGGTTTCAGAACAATCTAAAGAATAATTCACTCATTTTTCGATTTTTCCAATAATTTCGAAATTTTCGATTTCAGGGCAGAACCTTTTGGCAAAATATGAGAATATACAAAAGAGATGAAAATCCTAGAATTTATTGTCAAAATAATTCATAATGGAGCAGTGAATTTTTATAATTTTATCACTTAAATATTAAATGGAATAATTTTTTTCAGATATTATTTATATCGTCTTACCGGACAATCTGGAGACTGCGGCTGAGCTCGAGAGACGCAGAGAGGAGGAGCGCACGGGTTCTCGTCCCATTCGCAGGGTTTTCTGTGGAAATTCCAATCAAGTACGTTTGATATAAAAAATTTAATTGTTATTTATACAGAAGGGCTTTGATAGGCTTACTTTTTGTCCATGGAGCTGATCAGGCATTTCAACTGAGACAGGAGCTCCCGACGACGCTCGCAATTTTCGTTTTTACCGTCACAGGGCATCTTTTATGATTTTGATCAATTGGAAGAAAAATTCACAGGAATTTTGGATTGACGTGGAATTTAGAGGGGGAAAGGAGCCCTCACTGCTCCATTGCACTGGAGATTCTAGGTTTTTCTGAGAAGAATATTTATTTTTTTATTTATTATAAAATTATCGTTGTCAGACTATCTCGGACATCTTGAGAGATGCTTCTGTTTTATGGAGAAGAAACATCTGAAGTATTGGGGATGTATTCAGATTGATTCATGCATGACAAAAAATAATGGAATAATCTGCATCTATAGACATTTTTTCGCTAACTCTCTTGGATTTACCATATCTAGCTCCCGGGTGATGTTTTATTTTTTCATGTAGACTAGTGATTTATTAATTATTAACAACTCTATTAGATAATTGATTTTTTAATGAATAATACCTGTTATTCCCCTCGGAGCGAAATTCCCACGAAAAATTCTAGTTCTAGTACTCGGAAAATGAAAAATCTCAGTTTTCTCTACCAATTTTTTAAAATTAATTTAAGAGAATATTATTATTATTATTATTGAGTGTGGAAATTATTGTTCTTGAAGATGGATATAAAAAGATTTGAATTGAAGAATTGAGAGAAAGTCGGACATAAATAAAATTTACTGGAAATGAATCCTGTATTTAATTTTTTATTTTTACATCAATGAGACTTCCGGTATTATCAACAGGCAGGATAACAGCTATTCAAGAAGCAGCAGCCGTTGCCATGCACTCGGTACCATTTCGGCGTGAACTGCAGAAGAAATTTTGAAAAAATGAATTTACTCCAACCCAAAACTCTCCGAATTCGATATCTCACCGTTTTCTCCCAGAGGTACTTGCGTCCAGGAATTGAATTTTTCACATCTTGTTTTACGGATAAATAACTTGAAACAGGGATTGTCTCAGCGACGGAGTTGAAAGTAATGAGAGGCCGTTTATCCACAAAATTCCAGGAGGGTTTGCACTCGTGAGGACTAGGGCACACGTGCCAAGCACCAGGATCATCCAGAGGGTTGTACTTTACTCTCAACGGTTGTCTCTGCGTTTTCCTGTTCAGGGTAAAAAATTACATGAATTGAGTTTCCGTATTCCTATTCAGTATGCATAACACACTGGGACTTTTTACTCACAATTTCTGCATCTCTTGGAGAAGACATTTCGCTCGGTCAATTCCTCCCTCATTACCGCCCGGATTGCAGTTGGAAAATCCCCAGTTTCCTATCGCCTCAGCAACACCCGTTCCATTACCCCGGGAAAACTCGTATTCGCATGGGGATTGCATTTTCACTGGGAATTTATGTTTTTATTTGTTCAATGTCTTCGGCTCAGCAAATTACCGGGATTCCAGCCTTTTATAAAACAAAAGCCAATCTATTCTTATCAGATCAGATCTGTAAATATATCTTCTCTCGGGAACTAGCATTTATTGCTTCACTGATGAATTCAAAATTTTATCCCGCGCGCACTGTGTCACGGACTGCGCATGCCTGCTGCACAGCTGGGCACTCTGGGTTTTGTTTTTAATTATAAGTAATGTAATTACTAATAGTACAGGAAATTCGAGTCAGAGAATTCCAAAAAGATGCATTGTTTCCTGAGAAAATGTCTCGTGAATCAAGTGACAAAAATCAGTAAGTATTTGCAATTCATCGACTAATAAAATATATTGTTCAAATATTATAGGTTAACCCGAAAAGATTTTCTATGTCCACCAGCCGGGGATGGGTCTATGAGGCCCCCGAAACTCTCGAATGTATCAATTTTGTAACGTGAGTAATTTTGTTTTTCCCCAGATAAAAGATGTATCAAGTTTTCCTCGAGTATATCTGAGAACCCGAAGACAGAATCATGTGTAAAGCCACAAATACCAAGAGTCTACGGTCAACCGACTCCCCAGAGTCATCCCCATCTTGTTCGACCCGGAGAGCTCGTTCCAGGAATAAAACTCCATGAATTTAAAGAACGCAGGACGAAACTGTTTGAGAAAATAATAACCAAGGGGTACGTTGGTAAAACATCCTCTAAACACATACTGATAATCCCTTCGGCAAGCAAAGTCTACATGTCTGATAAAATTCCGTATGTTTTTCGGCAAAACACAGACTTTATGTATTTTTCTGGCTGCCAAGAGCCAGATTGCGCACTAGTGATGACAATAGACGGTGACAGCTACACGACGACAATTTTCATGCAAAATAAAGATGATAAAACGGAATTATGGGACGGTCCGAGAACAGGGGCGGAGGCTGGGGCTGAATTATTTGGAGTCGATCAAGCGTATCCTATGAAAGATCTGGAGTTATTCGTCTCGTCCTTCGTTAAAGGGCACCAGAACAACTGTAACCTGTGGTACGAGGAGAAGGAGATTATTCAGATGGACGTCCACAGGAAAATGGCGCAGGTCATCAAGACCACTGGACTGAAGAGCAGATCCTCTCCTAAGACTTTTTTTCATGAAATTCGGCTGATCAAGTCTGAGAGTGAGGTGGAGCTCATGAGGGAGAGCTGCAGGATCGGGTCGAAGGCCATTGCCAGGACTATTCAAACTGGAAGGCCTGGAATGAGCGAGCATCACATATTTGCCACAGTTGATTACGAGTGCAGGATGAGGGGGGCTGAGTATCTTGCGTATCTGCCGGTAGTTGCTGGGGGGAGCAATGCCAATGTCATTCATTATGTGGCAAATAATCAGATCGTAAAGGATGGCAGCATGGTTCTCATGGATGCTGGTAAGCACCTCTTATTCTTTTTATTTTTCCAATATAAAGTATTGATTCCTTCGAGCCATTCAATATCATTCGCGATATCAACAATTGATTGGTGAAAAATTCAATTTATGAAAAAAATTTATGAAAAAAAGAATGCGAAGAAATTTTTTTTGCATTAAAAATAAAACAGAAATTTCCTCGAAGAGAAATTATTCTGATAGAATTATTCCATGATTAACGATATTATCAGACACAGCATCGAGAACGTAATGCTCTTCCAGGCTGTGAATACCATGGATATTCGTCGGACATCACGAGAACATGGCCCATAAATGGAACGTTCACTGATCCTCAGCGAGTTCTCTATGAAATTGTTCTGGAAACTCAAAAAATACTGATCAATCAATTGGCAGAGCTTCCAACATTGGACATGCTCTTTCACGAGATGTGCAGGATACTGGGGAGGAGGCTGCAAGAGGGTGGCCTTATCCCCAAGACCATGAATGATAATCAATTGATTTCGGCAGCCTATTTGTATTGCCCTCATCACGTCAGTCATTATTTGGGGATGGATGTGCACGACACTGGGACAATTTCTAGGGGTGTTAGAACACAACCTGGAATGATTGTCACTGTGGAACCAGGTCAGTCCTCCCTGAGGATTCCTCATGATATCTACAAAATTTTTAACTCACGATTTTCCATCCTGTTCTTCACTTTTTATTCACGATTAGTTATCGAATTCTGGAGGAATAAAACGTAACAAATCGATTAATTATTAAATTAATCCTTTGGGAGAGATGAGGAAATTTCATCACCGCATGAAATACTAATCTATGATTTTTTTTATTATTTCCAGGGGTTTACGTGAGCTCAAAAAATAAACTGGCACCACCAGAATTCTGTGGTCTTGGCATCCGGATAGAAGATGATGTTCTAATAACTGACAGTGGCCCTGTAGTTTTGACAGAACCCTGTCCAAAAGAAATATCAGACATTGAATTTCTCATAAAGTCCAATAAATCGTAATGACTGCTACATTTAATGTACATAAAAAATTCACAATGGATAAGTATCTCTGGAGAATTTTTTATTTATTACAAAAATACCAATGATCATTATTTAAAAAAAATGCCGAATATTCCATTGCCCAGTTACTCGAACAGTTGCTTCGTAGGGAGTATCCGAATATTGTAAATTTGTATCCAGTAAAGAATGACCAGCAGTAGAAGTAGAAGGGCGTAGACGATTAATGCTACCATCAACATCTGTCACGTTTTCTTCTGTTGCATGTGTCGAACGAGTTGTTTGCATGCAGATTAGTTTCGCAGTCTGACGTCAGCTCGTTTCAATGTTATAAAATTTGTGAGCTGCTTGACACGCAGGCGGGACCACACCAGGTGGTCGTGGAGTGCATGGATTTGAGCTGCTGCCAGGGCTGCACTCTCGGGATAGAGCACTGTAGTACAGCCGAGACCTAAAGAAATCAATTACGAAGAATTGATACGAAAGCGGAAGCTATTATTTGAAGGCAAGATTTTTTACGAATACAGCAGGCCATAGAACAAATAACAGAACCGTGCAACTACCACATGTGGTGGAATGAATTTGACCTGTTACACTCTCGTATCACTGAATTGATTATCAATATTGATTACAATTGCTATGTTTAATTGAATTGACCTTGAATCGCGATTGATTGATTTCGTATTTTTCAAACGCTGAAAGTCATCACAGAAAATGCCAAAAGTAATTGCACATAATTTACACAATTGATCTTACCTGAAGGAACGTTCAATGAAGACCAAACGTCTTGTTGGACGTTATCAGGCTTGACGGGTGGGCAATTGATGACCGGCAGTGCTGTGTTGCCAGAAAGTACTGGCCCAAGACCATTGGACCGCCCAGCAACAGCAACCAGTACCACCTAAATGAAACAGAAGAAAAAGAAAAAAAGTTACGATAGCATCGCGACAAGTACTAAATATAAAATATGTGGCGTCATTTCCCAATGTTTATTGTTCTCGATACCCACTATCATTATCAGTCATATGCCTTCACCCATATTAACGTAAATTCTGACCTTTTCCCCAGTTCCCTCGTACTCTGAGAGAATCTTTAGAGTCTCTGCTGGGGCCTTGTGGGCACTCGTAACGCGCAATTCTGCTTTCACTCCCAGAGTAGCTGCGTATCTCGCGATTTTATTGCAATGCTCTTCGTCCGAGGGAGAACCCATGAAGATGACGACTTTTGAACTTGGGGGTGGCACCAGGTACTCCAGCTGATTTGCCACCCACTCGAAGTTACGTTTCACTGTTGTCAAGTCAGCATCTGTTACCGTCGTCAAGTTCCTGTACACCTAGGGGTAATTAATAAGTCTTAACTGAATCGCTATTGGAGAACTCTAGACATTTAATTTGAATTTTTACAATCCTGAAAGATGAAAAATGCTTTTCAAATTCGTTTATGTCGTTCGATAAAATTACCTGCTTGTCCTTCATGAGTCTCTTATCACCAGAGGGCCAGAGCCTCCAGGAGTCACTATCAATAATATCGGCGACGAGAATTTCTCCATTGGCATCAATTCCAAACTCGATTTTCATGTCGATTAACGCACAGTCGCGGGTGGCCCATGCCCTCTCCAGCACTTCAAAAACAGTCAGGGTCGTGCGGTTCATGATATCATACTCGTCTTGGCCAATTATCACATCATTGAGCTTGAATTTAGCTGAGACTATTTGCTGGGCCGACCACTGAGGATCGTGATTTGCGTCGTCCTTGAAAAAGGTCTCCTGAAGAGGTGGATTGAAGCGAAAGCCCTCGGGAACCCCTAGACAATTGAATAAAAAAATCAAAGTTAACTATAAAAAGAATAATCCACTTATCTTCTCAAACAAATACCGAACTCAGTACGAGAACAAATCGATTGAAAAACAACTGTTTTATAAAAATGCTCGAATTTTTTCAAATTTTTTGTTTTGAATAAAATGATGTACCGGGGTGCCTCTTCAGGAAACTTCCAGTGGCCAATCGCCTAGTGACCCACTCAATGGGCACCATTTCACATTTTTTCGCGATGAATGAAGTCTCCCCTTCGACTCTAACGAAAGCGGTCTTAAGTCCGGCCTGATTCAGCAACTCAAAGACTTTGGCAGTGGTTGCTGTACTGATCGCGGCTTTTCCGGCAAGTTGATGAGACTTGACTCCATCCCCAGCGGTGATCCTGTCCTTGCTCTGCAACAGACATAGTGTTCGATCCTCCAGGAGCTCGAACACCTGCTTCGTCTTCCCTTCGATGATCAATTTTCCAGTTTTATAAGCTGCATACGTAAGCAAATACATTTTAATAGAAAAGTACTAATAATAATACACATCATGGAAAGGACTTGAAATTCTAATTGGCTGCTTTAAAAATGTTCTTCATACCCAATTGATTACATCGTTAAAAAATGGGAAGAAAAAAGATTTGTTCGAAAGCATCAAATTGACATTGAATCCGACAATTATTAAATAATTCCCATTAAGGCGCTCATCATTTTAGATAGTGATTCTGTAATTCGGAAAGACATTCGACAGTGTTAATTGTTTCTACATCAATTCAAATAAAAACCGGTCCACATTACTCGGTCTTCCATATCCCCCAAAGGGTCACTGATTAGCATTGATTGAAACCGAGAAATCTACACAACTGGTTCTTTCGTCATGCCCAAGGCGATAAGCCACTGAATTTCAATCCGCACATATAACGCGATATCGAAAGATTGTAGATGCTTACAAATAAAATTCATGGCCGTACATTCCCAACGGGAATCAAAATGTTTTCAGAGATCTTTTGTAAAGAAATCATTCCCCCAAAACTCATTTAAAAAATTCCCAGGGCTATTTACTGCTCATATGTTTTAATAATTAATTGTTAATTACCTGACATGGCTAGCACTCTCTCAAGCGAAACTAATCGAGAAATGTCGTCTGCTTTCGTATGCTCCAACTATTAGCCTCCGAAGTCTTCTTCCCCACCACGTGTCAGCCACAAACAGCCTTAAACCCTCATTGGTCGAAAAACATATTTGTTATCATACTCTCCCAGCAAATCTCGCAACCTCCTCTTCACAATATTCATATTTTCCATCGTTATCCGCAAATCACCTTATGACATCTTCGAGGGGGCTCCACAAACATCCGAATGTTTATCTCACAACACAAATAATTTATAGATGAATCATCTAAAATTCGTCAACACAAAATAGAAATTTGAAAAAATCGGAGCAACACACACACTTCTAGGCAAAATCTCAAGCAAGTAATTAACAATCACATAAAAAATCAAATCACCATCTGTCAATCATTGTTCGTAGAATATAAACAAACGTCTATTTAAATAGTAGAATATCATGAACGAATAATGAATAATTGAATGATTTCTCTAAAATAATGTTTTCCTCCACATTTATTTTCTAAAATTGCGATGTGATAGGGAATTGTGTCCCGATGGAAACTCCCACAGCTACACTTTGATGTCGAAACAGCTAAAGATTAATTTCTTCTTATCATTAATATTTGTGTTTATGTGTTGAAGGGATGCTGACACGAAGAAGATGAGACGGGAAATCTTGACTCTAGTCAAAAGTGTGGGTTCAGCTGTGGATTGTCGCCTGTTCCCGCTCATTCGTCGAACGCCACGCGGTGCGTGAGCACGTTGTCTAGGCCCTTCAGATATATTTCCTCGAATTTCGAGGGCACGTGGAGAACCAAGAACTCACTGACATTTTCCACTGCTCTTCGCATCTTCTCTGCATATTCAATATTTAACAACTTCCCCGGTACATCGTCTGCAGGGAGAGAATCACGAGGCAGGAGGGGGCTCGCTACAGGTAATCAATCAGGTTTCACTCGACCTTGTATTTTGGGCCATTCAACAAGTCAGTACAGTTTCTGTCAAAAACTCCGGCTTTCCACGTTCTAAATTTCCTCTCGGCCCACCCAAATCATTATATTGCAGATGTTTGTCCTTCAGTTGTATTGTTTTTTATTTATTTGACAATTTTTCGATTTATCAGGTGATTTTTTGTTTCAAGGGCACGACGTTGTAGTTCGAATACAATCGATTTTATTTGAATGAATTTTTTTTGTTCGTTTTTCTTGTAATTCTCACGTTTTACATTCCCGAATTTTGGAGCGATCGAATGTTCATATACAACAATCATTTTATCATTTATCGTGATTCTAGAATAATTTTACAGAGGATTGTTAAAGGCAAGGATTGATATTCAAAGATAAAAATTGGCGTTTATAGTTTTATTAATAATTGATGCTCCTACCGATTCTGAGAATGACAGAATTACAGAGTGTAAATTTAATCTGAAATAAAAGTTTCTGTAGTTTCTTTCCTGTTATGTACAACCGATAGCGATAAAATTTTCAGTGCGTCAGGATAATATGACCCCCTGTGCACTGCAATACACAACATATTGATCTGTAATGAGTTTTTTTCTCTTCATAATCAAATCGAATGGGGGGAGAGATGAATTTTGTAATTGATCGTTTGGTTCTTTGACCCGCCATTTCATCATCGAATTATTTGTATTTTCAACGGGATATGTGTCAATGGTCGAGAGATATAGAAATTGCGCTGACGGATGGTCGAGTGGTATCTGGTAAAAATTGAGTTTTCGATTAAATTTAATTCTGCTTAGATAAGGAGTGTTGCAAGATGACGATGGAGGGATGTTCAGAGGCAATGTCACGTCTGGCTGTTGGCAATGACGAGGAGAGATTGCCAAGAAGCAAGGGAGAGTTCAGGGGCCAGAGAATTTCAGGTTTGACACACGAGTGCGGAGTTTTTGGTTGCATTGCTGCCGGCGACTGGCCCTCAACCATTGATGTGGGACAAGTTGTCTGTCTCGGTACGTCACCGCGAAAATATTCCCAATCTTCCATTGAAGCAGAAAAATTATTGACGCTAATACCCGCTTAGCTCTGAGTCCATAGACTGATTAATAAATCTTTGACCTTGATTACTAGGACTTGTAGCCCTACAGCATCGAGGCCAAGAGAGTGCAGGGATTGTAACGAGCGAGGGAGTATGTGCTAAATCTTTTCACGTGCACAAGGGTATGGGGATGATTAATAACATATTCAACGATCAAAGCATGAAAAAATTGAAAGGGAACTTGGGGATCGGTCACACGAGGTACAGCACCAGTGCAGCCAGTGAGGAAGTTAATTGCCAGCCCTTCGTGGTTCACACTGCACATGGTGCTTTGGCTGTTGCTCACAATGGAGAACTTGTAAATACGGAATCACTGCGAAAGATGGTATGAATTAGAAATTGAATCAATAAAAAGTTCTCGACGTTTAAAATAGATTTTATTGATTGAATTTATCGTATAAATTTATTTGCATCTTTCCTCGTGTAATGATTATAGATACGCAACCGTCTCAAGTTCTGATAAAAATAAATGATGACGATTTGATCTTCAGGTACTCGGCAGAGGCGTTGGTTTGAGTACCCACTCAGATTCCGAACTGATAACCCAAGCCCTATGTCTGAACCCTCCAGAGGGTGAGGTGAACGGTCCAGACTGGCCAGCACGTATAAAACACCTGATGCAGCTGGCCCCACTGTCCTACTCCCTAGTGATTATGCAGAGGGACAAAATTTACGGAGTGAGAGATCCATACGGTAATCGTCCCCTGTGTCTGGGTAAGATCGTGCCAATCGGCAAACTAGCTGGAAACGAGTCTGAAGACGAGGACGACCCAGAGGGCTGGGTAATATCATCGGAGTCCTGTGGCTTCCTGAGTATCGGTGCTCGTTACGTCCGGGAAGTTTTCCCTGGGGAAATTGTCGAGCTCACCCGAGAGGGAATAAAAACGATAGACATCGTCGAGAGGCCGGACAAGAGGCCCCAGGCATTCTGTATATTCGAGTACGTGTACTTTGCGAGAAGTGATAGTATTTTCGAGGGCCAGATGGTGTACTCGGTGCGTATGCAGTGCGGCAGAATGCTAGCTGAGGAGTCACCAGTTGATGCAGATATTGTGAGCTCAGTGCCTGAATCTGGTACAGCAGCAGCTCATGGATACGCTAGACAGTCAAAAATACCCTTCGCCGAAGTTCTCTGCAAAAATCGTTACGTTGGAAGGACGTTTATCCAGCCCAGCACCAGACTGAGGCAGCTGGGGGTTGCCAAGAAGTTTGGGGCACTCTCAGAGAATGTCCGGGGAAAAAAATTGATACTTATCGACGACTCCATCGTCAGGGGGAATACTATTGGACCCATTATAAAATTGCTACGAGACGCTGGAGCTAAGGAGGTACATGTCAGGGTGGCATCACCTCCTCTTAAATATCCCTGTTACATGGGCATTAATATTCCCACCCGGGAGGAACTCATTGCCAATCGATTGGATAGTGTCAAGCTCGCTAAACACGTGGGGGCTGACTCCCTCACTTATCTATCGGTTGAGGGCCTTGTTCAGGCTGTCAGACATAAGATGGATAACCGAGAGAGCAACTACATTGGGCACTGCACTGCTTGTCTCACTGGAGACTATCCTGATGAACTCCCTGGGGATCTCGACTGGTGAACCTGCGGAGGGCTAATTTACGCCTTTTAGGAGCAACCTTCTCGACTCTTTTTCATAGAATACTTCAATTACAGTATTGAATCAGCTTCGCATGGATAGTACACCCATAAAAAAAAATCTATTAGCAACGTGCCTTCGTGTGCCTCCGTTAACTATTGACTCATATTTATTTGGACATTTTCTACTTTGCCATTTGTTAATAGTCAACGAATCCCGTTAACAATAAATTATTCGGTCTATCAGGGTACAGGTCTCCAGGTTCTCCAGCTCCGGGGTTTCAGGTCAAACGGAGGTTTTTCCAGTTTAATTTAGGTATTCATTTACTTTTAGTCTCCGAGTTCTCCGCAATTTCTTTATTGTACAAACGGGCGATGGACGATTATGAATAAACTGTATAACTGTATAACTGTATAACTGTAACTTTTAAGTTGTTATCACTTGAGAAAATATGGATATTCAAATAAAAAAATATAGAACTCCATTATTCTCTCGTTTATTTTAATTGTTAACAGACTACTGTCTGCATATAAATTCTTTTTTGGCATAATTCTTGGGGATCGAAATTTGCACAATATCTCAATTTTTGCAAAACCTGTAAAAGCGCCATCCCTCGCATGGGGTAAATATCACACTCTGAGAATTGACCTAGATTTTAATTTATCCTCTTTCATCAATCACTAACGAGAGGATTTAAAATAGTATCTTATGAATTCACACACAGCCATGTATTCTAAAAGGAAAGATCTAGAGTGAAATCCGGATAGTCTGCGAGGGACAGAATTTTCCAGTGGAGGAATATTCCGGAAAAGATTTCCTCGAGGAAATTTTCAATGGACTATATTTCCTCGGAGACGATTCGCGCTCATAATGGATAGAAAATTCAAATTTTGAGAATTCGAAATGTTTCGGGTGTATTTTTATATGTTTTATTTGTATGAATTTATAATATAAAAGAGACAGTCAATACGCGGAATAAATATTCATTTTTATTTATGTTTGATCCATAAAATGTCTTTTAACTATCGGTCGTTAGTAATCAAAGGCGCAATTTCCCGGATAATTACAACTTTTCATCCCTTTGTATTTATTCACAAATTTCTTAAAGGAAAATTCAAGATCAATTGAAATAGAGTAGAATCCGTAGTCGCATAATTATATTCGATAAATTCGAATTCGCTATGAAAAAATTCAGTTTACAGTAGCCGCGAGCACGTGGTGGGGTAGTTGCATATATTCGAATTCCCCGAATTCGCTTCCCCTGCAGCCCTAACACGCGACTGTAACATGCCTCTCCCATATTCGCACATCCCAAATTATTTTATTTAAAAATTATTCAATCACTCTGAAAACGTCCTGACCGTGCGCTAATTTTCCAGCGTTTTTCCTGAACATTTCCAAATTTCATAAAATATTAGAGAAAACAAAAAAAATTATAGGGCGTTCATGAAACTTGGTGAGTCATGAAATAATGATTAAATGGTAGAACGGTATATTTTGTTTTACTCCGTGAGAAAATTCGGAAGAAATTTATGAGAAATGTAAAAAAATTGATATTTTTTATTAAAAGGGGTAGAATTCTTGAAGAGATGACGATTGTTTGGTGGAAAGATACTCGTGATGTACGTGGAGGAGCAGCTGCAAGAGGGTGAATTTGGGGGTGAAAGTAGGGCAGAGGGTGAGGATAGGGAGGGTGGCCCTGAAAATAGTGGGGGATGTGTGCGCAGGCAGAGGATTGAGCGGTGTTATCAGGGGGTTATCCTGCAACCCCCAGTTGACTCCGGTTCAGTCGGTGCGATGGAGTATCGCGAAATGAGTATTGTAACTGCTGAAGAGACGACAGAACTTCTTCCCGGACAGGAAGACGAGGACGAGAGCTACTTCGTTGATTACGCCATACAGAAGGAAATCATCAATCGCAATAGGACGCCCACGAGTCGGAGATTATTAAGTCAGGCGGCTTGTGATACTAATTCCGCGAATAGTAATGTGCAGGGGTCTAATAAGGTGGTGAAATATTTATCCTTCATCTTGTCGTTTAGAACTGTTTCGTGGGGGTGGAATGAGAGGCAATTGCTTTTCGAGAAAAATTCAACAAATTTTTAGTTGTGATTTTGAAAAAGTTCTTCGTGTTTTTTTTAATTAATTATCAATCACAGTGAACTGTAGATGCAAATATAAATGTTATTGCATGAAAATAGCGGAATAGAATGCATGAAAAATATTATTAGCGGTTTAATTTCGCTGGAATATATAATTTTGGGGGAAATTAAAAAATTGTCTTCTCGTTTCATCACTTGGATGACATTAATTATCTGCTCTTTCGTCGTTTCATTGTGCATTTACCATGGACTTTTGTTCAGGACTTTCCGGTAATTAGTTTTATCCACACTTCAGGACCTAATTGGCCGCCTTCGCGAAAGCGCGAAGAGGCGCGTGCACTTGAGAATTTACGTAAACGCGTTGAACAATCTAAACTATGCAAGGTCAATCAGACGGAAACCAGTGGCGATGCCACTACTTCGCAGGGACAAATCGAAGAGACCAATCAGCAACTCGACAATCGGCCGAATTTGCTGAAGAAGGTGAGTTCATCCCTGAAATTGCTGCGGCTAAATCCATGAATTTCACTCATTGATGAAACCCGGGATTTTATCACAATCCATTATTGATCCTAAGAAAAAATCTGAAATTTCCGATTTATCTGGAAAACGGAATGGTCCAGGAATTTTCCAGGGAAATCCGCGCATTTTTTTCTCAGGGAATGAAAGAGGGAGGAAAATTCTAGTTTTTCCGAATGCGCGTAAATCATAAAATTACGGAAATTATTCGGATTTGAATGATGATTTTTTTTTACATTTCTAGGTGAAAAGATTTTTAATGAACTCACTGGATAATTTTATTGGGATTATATTGAAATTTAATTCGGTTTTTCTTCTCGTCGTATCAAGGGAATCGAAGAAACAGAGATGAAAAGTTTTCTGTAGGAAACTTGTTTTAAAATTTACCATCCCCAAAATTCAAGAAGTTCTGAGTGATCCAGTTAGGGGAGAGAAAGGTAGTTTGTGAAGCTTAAGAACATATAGAGTGTCTATTTTCGGAATGACATAATAAGATTACAGCTTTTAAAACTCAGCAGCAGCTCTCTAAAAAATCACAGTTGAAAGTCTCAAATGCAGCAAGTGCCTCAAACTTTGCGAACTATCGTTGAGGGTTGAACTCATGGAGTTTAAACTCGAAAAGTCCCAGAACTTTTTCAGAAAGGGTGTATGAATTACAAACGAAATCCTCAGGACATAAAAACTATATTATCACTCCTCAGGCACTCTTCAAATACTCAATTAATTTAATTACTCGCGCCATTAAATGCACTCACACAAACGATTCAAAAGCGAAATTTAAACGAAATTTTATGTGCAAATTTTATAAATTTATAAAATACAATTACACTAATGGCAAATCATGTCAATTATTTCTCCCATATAATAACTGAAAACCAAATAAAATAGAACTCATTACAAAAAAATGAAATGAAATTAATAAAAATAAACCATTCATTAATCATGTCAAATTTTCAATCATGCAATTAGATATATATCAACGAATTGAAGTGCCCAATTAATCTATATCAGTTGAAGGTGATCAGCAAGGAGTAGATTAATTGCTCCAAGAAATAGTGATAAAAAATTATGAATGAACAGTGATGATTAATGGGGATATGAAACGCTGGATGACATGTACACACATTAATATTAACAGGCAGGCGAGTTGGGGATCTGGCCAAGATTATTCTTTCTCCCTTGTTGGTTTTTGATTGAAACGAACTTGACCTAGTTCCTCTTTGGCTCAGATCGACCCTATATCTTCGTACTAAAGGGACTTATGTTTCCATGCCCCGAAAATTTCAAAGCCACTCGTAATCTCCAGCATATCAACCACCCCCAAAGGCTTAATCACTCTCTAATAATACCTCTTGATTTGAATTACCCATTCATTACTTTATCTTCAACCATTGAGCCACCGAAATAGAAGAAAACAGTTATTTTTGGTAATTGCGATGAATTGGAGGGAGATACCGATATTTTCATGAATACATTTTTTCTGGCTCTCGTTTTTTTCTATAAAAAATGTTTATGCAAAAAAATCGATATGTCTCTTGGATTGCGAGATATCGGCGAAAAACTGGTCTCGAATTTTTTTATCGGAGTTAACCACTTCGGTACTTAAATAAAATATTGGAACGATAAAATTTCAGATACTCAGTCACAAAACAATGAGCATATATCACGATATCACTGACCTGCAGACTGATTGGAGGGACAGCGAATTTATCACTGAGTGCTTGTGCTGGCATAATGTTTATCGTCAACGTCACAATGCACCAACTCTGACAATGTCTCCTCAGGTAAATACCCAACACCAGATAACGTGTATTCTCCTGAAAAAAAAAGCTGATATTCCTGTATGTCAAGTCTGTCGAATGCAAGGGGATGAAACACAATTCGTGACCCACTTTATGGCGCCATTGCGACCGCATAAATGAAACTTGCGTGTCATATTACACACGATTTGCCTGATAAAAGAAAAAATAATTGTTATGCTAACGAACGTTTTATGGTAATGCAGGGGTGGAATGAGATAAGTCCTCTGGAGGTGGTTTTTAATTTCAACATCTGGAAGGGGTCATGCATGAAAACATTTTCAGAGTGACATGTCACGGCTCACGAATTAAAAACTCAGAGTTTTATCCTTTTCATTATTTTCCCTGCAAACAGTTCAAAATAATTAATTACTAATTATTCATTGGAAAAAAATCGTGAATAAATGTTTTACTTGAATTTCAGATAATATAATTCTAATTTATAATGATTAATAATATAATTTCATTATTTTGTTAAACATCGATTGATTTATGGACTATTAATTTAGGAGAAAATATTATACGTCTTCTTTCGTTAGATTAATTTGGAAACTGCTGTTTTTTGCACTTGTGTCATAGAAATGATTTCGCATTTCGTGATCGAGGGAAATTGTATTATTTTTTTTCAGTTATGTGAGCATGCCCAAACGTGGGCGAATCACCTAGCCCACACAAATACATTCTATTATCGAAACGATCGGGAAATCGGGCAAAATCTGTATTGTCGTCCAGGAGGCGCAGTACCAGGTGAAGTGAACGGTCAGGAAGTCGCGTCTTATTGGTACTCAGCAGTGAAGCAATACGATTTTTTTAAAGAGCCCGATGTCCTCCACACGAACGTCAATGCCGGTGAGATTTTCTAAAATTCCTCTCATCTACCACAAAAGATCCTCGAAGCAATACAAAAAGGATTTGTCCACAGGTCACTTCACCCAAGTGATATGGGCCAGTAGTCAGTTCTTTGGGGTTGGAAAGGCACGAAGCAGAAGTGGAAAGATAATTGTCGTGGCCAATTATCAGCCCATTGGCAATGTTTCTGGGCAATTTCAGAGAAATGTTCTGCCACCGCTTCCAGATTGCGGAAATCTTCCCCTGCCACCGCCACCACGTGTCAGACAATGTGAAGAGCCCAATCTGTCAGATGCATCTAGCAGCAGCAGCAGTTCAATCAGCACGCAATAATACAGACGGGGTAACTGCTTTGTTAATTTTTGCACTTCGTGGGGTGGAGGGAGAAGTTGATCCATCAGTCGAATAACTCGGCGAACAATTCGCGTTCTTTAAGAATATTCTTTAGAATCATTTATCATTATTTATAATCATTTACAATCATTTACAATCATTTACAATTATTTACAATTATTTACAATCATTTACAGTCCGGTATCAATCATTGGAATTCTATAGAAATTTTCCGCTCCCCTTTTGTCCCCGAAAAAATATCAATTTTTAATTGTCTGAATTATAGAAAATACGTGGGGAATTCTCGGTGGTTTTTTTATGAAAAATTATGGACAAGTTAATTAATTGACGCATTGTTCGTTGGGAATGGTAAAGTACCCCGTTTTTTAATTAGTCCACACGCGTTGAGCAATGGAAAGCAGTGGACATTTTTAAGGACGCCTTAAGATCTGAAATGCGTAATCCAGTACCAGCATCGAGATATGAAATGGATGCAATTGCATTAGCCTAATGTTATGGGAAGGAACAATCCCAGGATGTTCACAAATATTTCGAACTGTAGGCGAAACTACAATCAGTTTAACAGATCGGCATATGCGCCGATGTATGCTCAGCTCGATTTAGGTTTAGAGGTTTTGAAAAATGGCTCAGCTAAGGATAATTCCCGAAATATGAAAGAGGGAGAACAGGTCTGAGGATATCCGAATCATTTTGTTTCAGAATAATATTTTATTAGCTGATTATTATACTCTTAGAGTTTTGCGCAATTTTCACTTTTTACAATTCTTTCATGAGCTCCGATTGAAAAAAAAATGGAGTCATGATTTTGGTTTCTGATGATTTGAGGATTCATGTAGAAAGAGTTTATGTTTTTCTATTAAAAATAATTGCCTTTTTTTTTCTACTGAATTTTTTCCACACGAGATGGCAAGAACCGTCCCACTCGGATATCCTCTATCTCCCAGTGATCAGCAGTATCAGGAGAATTTTAAATGATAGCAAATTTAAGTTGAACAATGCGGTGCCTCTAATTTTTAAGAGAATATCTATGTATAATTACCAGCTAAGCCTAGCATAAGTGTTTATCCCTTAGAAAACCGATAGAGAAGTAAGAGTTCTCAGGAGGAAAAATAACACTAAAATACAGAGAAAGCTTTGCGCTAATTATTCTTAACGAAAAACAGGTGGAAATTACAGAGAAATGACTTTACAAAAATTTGTTCATTTTGTAATAATAATTTGTAATAATTGAGGACGATTTAAGAGGTAGAAGCTATTGGGAATGTGTGCGCCGCCATTTTGGTTGAATACTCTAATGGATTCCAAAAATGGCGGCACTACCACCTCGCATTTTCAAACAATTATTAAAATTATTCATCTCCCTCAAATCAACTCCAATTCGTTTTATATTGTTTCTATGGTAGGAACAATTTTTTTTAACCACTTTGCGGATATTTAGTTTCTCTGTCAGCTGCAAAATCCCGAAGAAAAGTTTTCCCTGTGTCGAGGTGATATTTCTACCTTCGAGACTTTTAAGCAAAAACCGTGCAACGACGAAGAGCTTCCGTTTCCGCTCATCAAAGCTCTGGTATAGATTCACTATTTATGGTCGACGTAAATTATCGAATAAGTGCGAAGTGGCCTATGCATTAAAAAAATGTAGCAATCCCTATAACGACGTGTAAGTATATCAAATGAAAGTTGAAAGAAAGAATATGAATACGCGCAACAAATACATGAGAAATATTTACTGTTGAATTTTGAATATTCGCTTGAACGAACACTACGGGAGTTCGACGGCTATATTTTGAAAAACATTTTGAGCGTTTAGTCTCTTGGTTGTAGGCTAGCATCCTTTGATATAATATTTTATATGTTGATTTTTTTAATGATGAGGAGGGTATATAAACCATCGATTGCAGCCTATACAGCTAATGAAAATATGTTCATCTTGGAGAGCTCAACAGCCTTATGATAATGATTAGTACGTATTGTTGACATGTTGCTGTGGATAGATATATGTGAGCTTAAATTATTTATGGAATCTATTTCAATTAATTAGATAATCAATTTATTCATTACGTATACATCACATCGTGTGGACTAGCCCAGGAAAATCATGGAAAATCATTGGCTGGATTTTAAACTTTCTATCCAACACTACGGACATATTTTCTACATAAGTACTCTTAAATTTTCCATTTTTTATTTTTCAATTGCATTTCTTGAAGTTGGAAAAAGTTAAAAAGAACTTGTCGGATTAATCCGGAATTTTATAGAATTTCGGTAGAAATTCAATAGATATTCTTAGAGAAATCGCACTATCTATCAAATTTTTTCATGTCCACACTTTGTAATGAAGAAAATCGTCTCGATACTCCCCGGAGTAATTCGCTGACACCAATCAACTAGCAATTGCAATCAACTCTGAATTAGCGATTTTTCGTGATAATTAGGGAATAGATTATTAAAATACTTTTGGATCATACAATCGCTGAAGTTGTTGCTTGAAGCTGAGTCTTCCGTACGCTAATCAATTTTTTATATTACGAAATTACATAGACGCCGCATTATCGAAATAGTTTCGAGTGATAACCGTTGTTGAATGTTGAAAGTTGGAGTGTTTTAAGAAAAAGCTCAAACTAGTTCAAATAAATAAATGGAATATAAAAAAACAGTCTTGAATTTTCCTATTTTTCCCGCTTAAGACATCCCGCATTGCGATGCCTGGTGACGATATTTGAAAATTCCCGGGTCAGCTGGATGTTGACGGAAATCAGCTGATCTGACAGATGGACGGGTAATTGCCGTTTCCCTGAGTTATACCAGAGTTTTTCACTCCGAAAATCGAGAGGGAGATGGATGGCGTTCACGATATTTTCGAATTTTCTCACGCCTGTTGGGAGGATGTTTTTGAAAAAATTCCTGGAGCTGCTGTATATGTAGATCATGCAGCTGCTGAGTGTTTACACTGGTTCAAAGGGGATGGAGCTTATTTGGAGTTGATCCGTGCTGGAGCCCATTCCGTTCATGAAATTGCCATTTTCACTTTTCAGGTATTAAATTTATTCTATTCACAGAATTTATTATTTTCTATGATCAATGCAATCTTCAATTTTCCAATGCATTTCACAGACTGCTGACTATATTTATTGTTTATGCATTTATGCATTTTTAAATCGATTGTTCATGTTGTATGAAAATGTATTCCCGTTCCTCAGTATGTCAAAGTCCAAAACACAAAAAAGGCTGTGATTATCATCACTTCATCGGACCCAGCCTTTTACGAACGAACTCTTGAAACAATTATAGAGAAAAATACATTCCTCAACTGCGTGATAATATGTGCAGTTCATAGCACAGTTTTCAATAGCCACGGAGAGGAGCATTATGAGAGATTGAGGGAAAAAGTGTTGGGTTGGATGAGGGAGAGCGAACCGCATGGTGTAAGTTAAAATAGCTCTGTACAAATGATGAAGATGCATTCAATATTTTATTAGGAAATTATTCACATTGTTCTACAGGAAATATTTGCGGAGATTCTGTTCAGGCCGATCTTCACAGCCCCGATAACTAAAAATGTGTTCGTGACTCCACCGATGGAGAGACTGATGCCTCCAATTGACGGTAAAATTACAGAGGAACACGGGTCGAGTGTCGACTACTTCGTCAGTTCCCTCCACAGTATTTTCACCCACTTTGACATCAAAGAAGACATTTACAGTCTTGGAGAATTTAGTGAATATGTAGCAGGAAAATTGATGAATTTGCCTGCAGCTGTGGCAAGGAGAAAAATGTTGATGGGCTCTTCTGGTGTTAGTTTAATTCTCATTGACAGAACTCTAGATTTGTGTACAGCAACGAGGAGCAACACCGAATGCGTACTGTCGAGAATATTATGCACTCTTCCACATTTGAGTTATCACAATAATGATGTGGCTGTGAACATGGCACCACTCTGTCCAGGATCCGAGGAGAGTCCTCGATCGTTGACAGTCTCAGGTTGTCTCGCCACCTCAGACAGTCATAATTTCAATCTCCTCATTGCCAAAAAGCAAAAGGACGTTTTACTGACTCTCAACAAGTGGCTCATCGAGATGTCCTCCAGGGAACTTCAGAGTCCCAAAGCCAAAATGTCAACTCGAGTCAGCGCCCACAGTCTGGAGAAACTCATCCACAAAATCCGGGACAACGAGAGCTCGAAAAATCTTGCCAACTACAGTAAGAAACTTCAAATTACCCTGGCAGTCATACAGTCGTTGAAATCCGAGAAAACAGCTCAACTGGATTTACTCGTTAGTTTGGAGAAATTAATTCTACAAAATCTGGCAGTCAGTAGAGAATCAACGAGTGTTTTATCACAGGTAGAATCAATTCACACCTACCACATGCTTTTCCATGAATTTTCAAGAATTATCTTATGTAATCTGCTTTTTTTATGAACGTCCTCGTGATACTCTTAATATTAAGTCTTTTCCAAACTCCACAGATAAGCAACATAATTAAAATGCGGACATCGAGGGGACTAGACATGGAAAATCTCCTGGTACTTCTTATCCACATATACGCAATAGCTGGGACTGAAATTAATTTCCCTCAGCAGCAAGAGGATCAACTGAGGACTGCCTTGACAGAGGCCATCTTCGAAGACATAAAAAGATGCAATGAGGCTGTTATCACTCACGAGGTATCAGTTTATCAACAAACATTGCTCCTCCTGGGGGCGACAGACGATTCAGCAGCGAGGGAATACGCCAGGAAGATCACTCAGCAAATCGTCGACATGTTGCATCTAATAGCTTCCCAACGAAAAGACCTAGAGAATTATGGGTCCCTCATTATTAAACCGAGTCCTCAGGAGATGGCACAGTGTACAGGAGTCGTAGAGAGGCTCCTGAGGGATCTCATTCACCCCTCGAAACCGACTATTGGTGATTTAAAACGCAAGAGTTCGTCAATTATCTCTGCAGGATTCAATTTATTGACGAAGGGACGTACCCAACACCATCCAACCGACAATCCCTGGATAATAATCTACATTCTAGGAGGAATAACAGCAGAAGAAGCTCGATTAATCGAAGAATTATCCTCACAGCATCCTAAAATTCCTCGAATAACCCTCGCGGGCTGTAGATTACTGACTCCAATGGATACCGCTGACAGGATACTGCTGTCAAATTTCAATATCTGAATAAAATTCATTCATACTTCAGCTATTCGACAATTCACTAGAATAATCCAACGAATTCGGTAAATCTATTTATTTTTCTTCATGTATTTGGAAAAGAACTCCGAACCCATCGAGACTGACGTTTTATAGAATTTATTCAAAGCCAATGAACTCCATCGCCACTTATTCTATAATGCAGATTCTCTTGGTCCCTGGACGTTTCAATTTTGCAAAAAAATTCCTTCTCACAGCTCTCCAATGTCACTCTGTAATTAATCCTCTCAGGAGTGGGTTCTGCAGTGCAATGCGGTCTTTCTCGAGCGTTGGATCCAGTCTCACAGGTTTTCGTGTAGATGAGGGAGACTTTCGCCTGGAAAGTGCGTTTATGAATAATCTTGAGAAGGTACTTGACGTAATGGTCCAAAGTGCAGAGGCCATTGCGTTCCCTGTGCAACCAGTAGAACGAGGAAATGCTATCGATCATCATGAGACTGATAGCTTCATTCAGCAGAGTCAGATCCAACGAGTGCAGGGAGATGAGTAATTGGGAGTAATCGTAGCAGTTAATGGTGGTTAAATTAGCCAGGGAGTTGTAAACGATTTTCTTGGCTTCCTCGTCAGACTTTCTCCAGTTGTTTTTCAGGATGTGCAACATCAGACTCGACAATTTGGACACCAGGAAGTGGTGATCTGTGTTCAGGAAGAGAATACTGATACCCAGACCCCCGACTGTGGGGGGTAAAAGACATTTTGTCATCAATTGCGACATCAGGATAGTTTTTCCTGTTGATGTCTCTCCACAGATCTCCACTGTCTCTTTAGCCAGGAGACCGTTCGGAAAAAGTCTTGGCTCGATGTTCAAGAAACTCGGCTTCGATGCCAGTCGCGCCAGGAAACCAAAACCCGATTCCCCGATGTTTGGTGTTGTCATGTTCCTTCCTTGAATCTGGAAAAAAAAATTATTTGTCAGGATATAAAAATATTTATTGCAATCCTAAGGAAATTACGTGCAATTATTTTCAGATGATCCACGAAAACACTATTTCCATCATTTTGTAGATCTTCATCAGATTTTTCAACTTACACCAGTTTTATTATTCGGTGTTCATTGTCGAAGAGGCTTCAATCGAGCAATAAATTACTAAAAAAACACCTGGAGAAATTCTCACAAGTCGAATCTACAGAGAATACCCTGAAAATCCTCTCCCATCCCAACAATGCCTAAGAATTCTCAATTATCCAAAAATAGAACGTGTGAGGGTAATTCCCATTGTACAATGCCGTTCAAACCAACTTTGGAAAACTTCCTCTGTGGGAGAGAAATTGCTCATTTTATGTCGACATAAAATCGTAAATTCCAACGTATCCTCGCCGAGTATTACAAATGCAGGCGTACGATTGGTGGAAAAGGCGATATAATGTCGACCTAAAATGAGTGAAAATCCTTTCCAGGTAGTGGCATTTCAGCGGTAATTTTGGATCCCCTCCATTCGATTCGATGAATCGAACCCTCGATTTAAAGCTTAAAACAACACCCAGCCATTAGTTTGCGCCGTTAGCACTGGAAAAAAAATATCACCTAACCTAAAGTAGAAGATGGTTGTCTATCTATTGGGGGTGTAACTGAAGGCTCATTATCTGAAATAAAAAGAGTGTAGTATTATCGTCGACAATAAGCGTCTCGACTCCAGCGTCAAAGAGTAACGAATTGTCTTGGTATGTAGTACGAAGTGATACGTGTCAATATATTTTGGAGAAATCTCCATTCTTTTTTAATACTGAAAGTTGTAATCAAAGTCTACTCGAGTGACGTTTCCAGTGTGTAGTATTGTGCCAATGCCATCACCATTTGTATTACATTTTATCGTGGATTAACTCATATGTAGAAGAACGAAAAAGGGAGTTTATAAATTTTCGAGACTCTTTTTCTTCTCCACATTTCCATTATTCTTATATCGAAGGCTGTCGACAAATCGATCTTGCCTTCTTTGTCACGAGACCATGAACACGATTTCGCGATTTAACAATATTTTACGATAGAATTATTCATACTGACTAATTGAATTCGAGGAATTCAACTTTCTCTTCGTATTCTTGTTGCAGAATAGAAAAAAATCACATTCAGTGCTCTAGAAAGATAGCAGTGCTATGGTATGTTGCAATGGTTATCACATTTTTTATTATCTCATTTATTCATTCGGCAGTGAAGTCTGACAATTCGTGGTTATTCAAGTACCAGAGGAATATTATGGTATGCGTGGAAGATATCGAATGCTTACGATCCCTAGTTTCTGAATCCACGAAATATTCCTCGAAAATTCATTTTCCTAAGAGTGGGTTAACACCTTCTCAAAATCTCAATTTTTCGTGGTTCGATGGAATGATTTCATTCAACTTGGGTTTATTTTTCAAATAATAAAGATATCTTCGAGATGAGACTTCACTAGTGAACATTCGCTCTGTCAATCCTGAATAATTCCAAATTGAACAGTTCCTACATTAAATCTCAAAGACAAAGAAACCATTGAATTTCTCCCATCTCCACACCCTCCAGAGCCCATAAATAACCAGCATTGCCGCTTCCAGCGACCTCCCCTCGACCGTGACCCCGGTACCCAGTAAAAGTAGTCCGAGCCCACCAGAATGTCGTCAGTGACCAGCGTGGACTCACTGGGAACCTTCCACTGGGATATGCTGGAGCTAGCAGGTCACCTCCGTCAGGAGCGTCTGTTCGTGCACTCGGAGCAGCAAAACCTTCAGCTGCTGAATGAAAAAGTGTTATCACTCTCCTCAGATCTGGCCCAACAAGCCTGGATTACCGACCAGCAACGAGTAAATCTGAATCGTCTGATCGTAGCCAGGCCAGACTGTAGTCCAGCCTCGTGTTGCCAACGTTCCAATACCCTGGAGAGTAGCCACTTCGTCGATGCCTTTAAACACCTGAGATACCAATCCTGTTTGACTTACGGCGACTTTCTCTGCTCCCTGAGAAAATCACCGAAGCTATTGGCCTCATGCCTAGTCGAAGGTGACAAATTGATGCCCGAGGGCATGCAGAGTATCATCCAATCCCTCTCAGGAGGTCTCTATGGCAGCTGCCTCCTGCCCGAGGACAAACTCTTCGTTCTAAAACTCCTTCGTCACCTGGTGCTCCTCCAGATCGTTCCCTCCGACAATCCCAGAAGACTCCTACGTCATGGCACTTGCGCTTTCTCTCGTTTCTACTCAGTATTCCACGAGAGCCTCTTCTCTGCTAAGCTCTTCCTCACGGCAGCCCTCCACGGCCCCATTACCCAGCTCCTCATGGAGGACGAGGTGTTTCTGGATATCGATCCAGACAAGGCGCCCATCAGATTCCCTCCAGTGGAGAGAATGAAGAAATTCGGGAAAGAAGGCACACCTGATTACCAGTCACGTCTCCAACGCTATCGCCTGTGGACAATAAATTCTCTTGTGCGAATCACTTCTAGATTTATTATCAGTATTCGAGAAAATATGCACTGCTTCCCCACTAGTGTCTGCTGGCTGGTGCGACAAATGGCAGGACTTCTAACTAAAACTGGAAATGTTGACCAGAAGGAGGTGCACGCCATGTGCACAGACCTGGTATTCACTTATTTCGTGTGCCCTGCTATTGTCAATCCCGAGCCGTACGGCATCACCGATACCCCCATCAGCTATGTGGCGAGGTTTAACCTGATGCAAGTGGGACAAATCCTGCAGATGTTGTCGCTCATGAAGTACCAGACGATTGACTCAAAAGTCATGGATTTGTACAAGAGATTCGAGAAGGACTCAATCTCGTCAATAATTGACTCGATGCTTGAGGGTAATGACGATCTCCACGAGGAGCCCACCATCCTCGATAACACGAAGCTCCAGGGGCTGACAAGATCAGCAGCCCTCTTCACGGAGAGCGAATTGAATTCTTTGCTGCAATTTCTGCAGACTGTGAATACGAGGAATAACGAGGAACCAGAGCCTGAGGACTGTCGAAAGAAGCTGGAGGAGATGATGACGCAACTGCCATCTGGTAGTGTGCAGAAGGTGTCTAATATATCGCCAGAGACCCCCAGCAAGCGAGGGGGACTCCTGGGTAAGGTTTCTCAAGGTCGAGGCACCAGGATATCTTCCTCCTCGAGTGTTCCAGATGGCGCTGAGGACACCAACGGAGCGTCAGGTCCAGAGGAAGACCTTCCCGAAAAATCTCAGGACGTGCTGGTGATTCCCTTCGGGCCAGTCGTTGGCGAATCCGTGGGACTCCTCAGCGAGCAGAAAATCCTCTGCATGGGCTTGCAGAATAATTTGGAGCCAGAATCTGCACGATTAAACTCAAATCTTCGAAATGGCAACCAGAGACGCGAGAGCACAGACAGAAACGAAACCCAGGAGAAGAGAACGAGATTTTCGCTGTCACATGACGAGGTCCTCTTCGAAGGCTCCATCGGTAATACCTCGGACAACCTCGAGGCTGTCTCAGAGGCCGCCTCCAATCACTCAGTGGCATCTTCCCTGGAGCTGGAGACAGAGGACCAGAACGACAATCTTTCGGATATGGTGTCGGCTAACGTCTCAGGTAGAGGAACCCCTAATATCTCAGGAAGGGACACCCCCTCCTCCCAAATAACCGAGGGTGAGGCGAGACCTCTAGATCTGCCACCCCCCACCATCTCTACGAAACAGTCTCGATCAGAAATCGACGATAAATTCTGCAAATTCGAAATTAAAAAACTCATCGAGGGTGATGAGACAATTTCCCTGGTCTCAGATACCTGGTCCACTGATGTTCTGGCATCGGATTCCGAGATGGTAGAGCAGCAGGAACGCTTTCCCTTTCCCCCTCCACCAGCTGTGGAAGTGCCACAGGTATTGGCAGTGACGCCAGGGCCTCTGGACGTGAGTGAAACAGCGTCGGAGGCGTGGAGTACAGACGTCCTGGCAAGTGACTCCGAGAGACTTACGGAAGTCGATACAGATGATACAGCCAGTGTGGCTCGTTCTGATGATACTGCGAGGTCTGAGGTCGAGGTGGAGAGTCGAGGTGAACCTGAAGGTGGTGAGGAGTCCTCGGAGCCAAATGGATTTCAGATCGATGGAGCTGGACCCCTCTTCAGGCCCATCAGAGAGGACCCCATTGGGAGGGCAGCTCCCGTATCGGGGAATGTCACTGGACGTGGAGGCACTCGCTCGGATTATCGGAGGAGCACCATGGAGTATGTTGATAATAATGCCAATAACATAAGTAATTTAGAATATGGCAAATCTGTGAATGAAGATGGACTCGTGGGGCTCATCGAGAACCTGCAGATCGATGGCTGCAAGAGTAATGAGAGTCAAGGATGCAATTCCAGAGATAAACCATTGACTGTCAATGGGGAAGCCAAGCACGATGATTCTGAACTAATGGGTAGACTGAGCACGGCTAGTCTCGCCTCCAGCAGCTCTGGCTCTGCTTCTAGTTCAGATAAGCCTAAGAATGCCACGTCAACACCTGATGTTACTCCTCGAGTGACTGCAACTTCTGAGAATAATCCTGAGGGGAATGGAATAAAACCTAATATATCAACTGGTGCTATCCCAAAGAGCATCAGCTTCGATATGACAGCTACACGAGGGGATAAGGAGCTGCTGGATGAGGACCAGAAGAACAAGCGTGGATTCTTCAGTAAATTCAAATTCATGAGGAATCGAAGGGGAAAATCACCCCGAGGGGATGATTTGGCCAGGTGCTATGACGAGACTGATGGCGAGGGCAGACACAGACTCAGAAGAATCATGTCTGAGGATACGTCGAATTCTCATGGTGACAGCACTGAGGATATTCTTGCTAAATACAGGAGAAAACCCAGTGCCACCAGTGATACAGCATCTGTGGAGAGCAATCAGTCAAGGGCGAAAGAAGCTGAGGACGAACGATTGATGATTGATGTTAATAATGTTGAGCTGTCGTTTGCATTTGCAGATGCTAAACGCAAGTTGAGAATGGTATTGAGCACTGCTGATCTACAGCATATTCCATGGAGTGTATCCTCGGAGAGAAATCCTTGGGGCCAAAAGGAGAACGAACTCGTGGCTTTTCTACAGATGCAATTGGCTGAGGCTATCAATCTTCAGGACAGGGCACTCATCGCTCATCTCCATGAGACTCTTAGGTGTGTCAGGCTGTTCAATGATGACGCTTGCAGGAAGCTCTTCAAATCGCTCAAGGAGGACTACCAGAAACGATCTCCTTATATCGCATATTTGATAAGGTGCAGACAGGGATTACTGTCCACTCTTGCCCATCTCGAGAGACTTGGGGAGAGGGTTAAATGCGATCGAGAGGCTGTGAATAGTCATCTTGTGGCTGTTTGCGTGAGGGTTTTCATCGAGAAGAGAGAGCATCAGGTGCTGAGGTTCTGCGATGAATTTCAAAAGCTCAAGGTTGCTGATGAGAAGCAGGACCTTGTCGATCATTTTTTGGGGAAGATCAATTCTGAGATGGAGAGTGATCCCATATGGCAGGCTGCTAGTGAAGTTCAGCTGGAAATGGCTAGGGTTGTTGTTGAGAGGACTCTCATGGCCAGAGTCTATCATAATGCACTTTATCCTAATGGGGATGGCGATGTTTATAGGGATCAGCTCTTTCAGGATCATATCAAGAAATTGGCCAAAGTTGTCACACCGAATCATAAGGATCTCAGGATACCTAAGGTTTATCATTATGAATGCCCCTGGCCCTGGGCACAGGCTGAGCTTGCTGTCATATCTGCGTATAAGACACCTAGGGATAAACTCCAGTGTGTATTCAGGTGTGCTACCACCATTATGAATCTGCTTTCTATGGCTTCTGAGAGGGGCATCCCTGCTGCTGATGATCTTATTCCTGTTCTGGTTTATGTCATCATTAAGGTAATTTATTTGTTTACTTTTAATTCTAGTGATTTGCTTTTCACATATGTCTTTTGGAAGGTGAAATTTTTTTGGAATGATCACAAGAGATTTTCTTTTCAGGCAAATCCACCGTCGTTACTGTCAACAGTGCAGTACGTTGACAGTTTTTATGGAAATCGTCTCGAGGGTGAAGAACAATACTGGTGGACTCAATTCTGCTCGGCAATTGAATTCATCAAGACCATGGATTAATGACTCTTCTCTGTAATCTTTACATAATGTACAGGATATAATTAGCTGATTTATTTGTGTTTCGATATCGAGGGGGGAGTATACGGTGTGAGTTAACGTCAGTGCCATGGATTGACAATACGACTTTACACGGATGTTCGAGAGATTGATTCTTTTTGCTATTCTACATCAATTAGCCCTCGAGTGGGTGTTGTACAATTCTTCATATTATGGATTAATCGTGTTGGGATTTTTGGGTGCGAGGAATCGAAGTTCAAGGCTTTATTTTCCATCGCAAACATGGAATACAGGTTTATTAATTATAATTATCGATTCTACTTGTGGGATTTTTTAATGAGAGCTTAATAGTAACAATGGGATAAAATGCTTTGAGTTGATAACAACTCGGAATCTGTCTGAGATAGTCATAATTGTGTGAAGACTTTTTTTCCAGACTGAAACGAGATCTATAAAAAAGTTCTTATGAATATTCACCTGTCTCTGACAGATTTCGGAATATTTTCGGTATTTGCACGGGTCTTGGAAAAACTCCGTTAATTGAGAAATTTGAATCGATTGACCTTTTCATTATTGAAATTCAGATAAAGTAATTCAATAGGAGAATGATGAGTAGAGAAGTAAATTTAAATTTATTTGAATTAAATTCCTGGATTAGTAATTTATTTAGGAGAAACTGTAACTGTGAAATTTGACTTATCTTATTTTATCACTTCGTTATTTTTACGAGTTACACGAGTTTTTCTCTGACCCATCGGGGGAAGTCCTTGGATTAAACTAACCACCGAATGGTCTCGGTCTTGATTAATTAGAGCTACGCGCACACCAGGGTTTGAGATTTCTACGATAAAAGGGTTTAAGAGGAGAAAATACTCTGCATTGTTATAATTACTACGAATATTTGCGCATAATGACATCATCGCAAAATATTTTGCAATATGAAATATAGTGAATATGTATACATATATATTTTTTTAGTCGACGAATATATGCAATATCTTTGAAATATCATATATTGTAGGATATGCACAGTAAAAAAAGGGGAGCACAACTGGAGGACATGGGCATGAGACGTTCGATGTAGAGATTATATACGGCACTTTTGTGAGATTAGACGTATGAAAAAATTGATAGGACACTTCTTCTAATTCTTATTTTATTAGAGCTTTTAATATAATTCTATTTAATCATCTTTTGCACCATTTCAAAATAATAAATAAAAAATTGTGCAAGTCTATCATTTTGTTCAGAGATATTTCACAAAAAAAGGCGAAAGACTTTTATTCTTTTCGATGAAATCTCTCGGGCGTAAATGTCTCAATATTTTTTAGTTGCATATTTATTGGGTCCAGTAGGAAAAATCTGAACAGAATGAGTTATTGCAGAAAAATCAACATTTTCTTTTCTGTATGAATAAATGTATGTTTAAAAATGTGGAGATAGTTTCAATAATTTTCAGTAGAATTAGACGAAAAAATAAATAGAAATTGTTGATAGGATTCTGATAGCAGTCTATTTGAAATTTAAAGGGAATTATTAGAGAAGGGCAAAGTGGTTCTATTATATTTTTTCATACGTGTACAGTAGACTCTCGTTATCGTGCCTGGGACTGTAGGGGAAGGGAATTCGGACAATTCAATTATCTACAACTACCCCCCACCACGCGCTCGAATTGAATTTGTTCATAGCAAATTCGAGTATAAAAGAAATTTAATTTTTGGTTTAATTTTTCACGGAATTAGATTCTTCACTAAACGATACAATGTTTTATATTCATTGATTATATTTATATTTTATATGGATTGTTTATATCTCCCAGTCCGAAGGTAGTAGTTGAGGAGAGATTCGACTATAACGGGATTCTACTGTATTTCGATTTATTCGGCTGTCCTGTTTCAAATTTTTAACGCCCTGTCCAAATTATTCTTTTCGATCTTCATTGATCCGAAAAAATGTGTAATAACTAATTAGTCTCTGTCGTTATTTTAATTTTTTTTTTAGAATATCAAGGGTCTGTTTCTGCAATAAAATTAATTTTCGTAAATTCATTTTTTGGGCTTTTTAATGCAACACATCAGTAGCAAAGAGGTGGAAACATCCAAGTAAAATAGAAACATCTAATAAACAACTCGACGGTGCCCCAAAAAATTTTATTGAAATTCTATTTGTTATTTTATCTTGCCATTTTTTTCAGTTTAACGGTTATTGACGTTTATTTATTAAAAAGAATCTCTTGGGGAACTTAAGACACAAGCAGTTTTCAATAATCATCAGCCCAAAAACAAATAGAATTTTTTATTCAATTCAATGGATTTTTCCGATAAGGGAATCTTTTTTTTATTAAATAATTGACTGGAGGTTTTTCACGCCAGCTTTTGATAGTATACTACAATATTGGAATTTCGAAAGAGAAAAGGTGAATTTGTCCCGCAACAGAAGAGATTGAAAGCCGAAACAAGAACATCGAAAAAATATTGATAATTGAAATAAAAATTATCACCATCAAATTGTTTAAAGACGAATGCGTTTATATAATCCCTTGCAGATGCATCTCTAATAAATAATTTTTAATGCAGGGAGATCATTAGAGATGAATGTGTCTTTTAGTGTACTTTCTCGAACAGTATTCGTAGAGTAATATGAGAAGATGAGTGATACTCACGTCTGTCTGAAATTATCACGTGAGGAAAAATGTAACGGAACAATTCATTGCATTCATGTAGGCAAACTATCAAATTCACGTGAATTTCATTTTCCCCTCAGAATGAAAACGATTTCACAGATAAAATCTATGGATTTTGATTGTACACAAATTATGCTTTGAGAATAGTTTATAAAAGAACTTCCATTTGTTTTATAAAAATTTGAATGATCTATCCGAATGATTTTGCTGGATGAGAAATTGCAGGAATTTTTAAACTGAAATCAGGCTACACCAATTTTTTCATTACATTTTTCTACGCACGATTCTACGGAAAGGAACAAAAAACCTATGTAACGTTAGACAACATTAATCTCCAAAAAAGTTTAGTAAGTTATATATTTATGTAAGCAACATAGTATTTTTGCTATAGGAGTATTTCTCAGACGATCATAAAGTACTGTAAGGCAATTAACTAAACTGTCCCTCGACAATTGTTGTGTTGTTATTCACAAATATGGGAATAAAGTATCCAACAGACGAGATTATATCATTGGCGAATTCGTTGGAAACTCTTTTCTTCCTCAAGATAATTCCAGAGTCATTCGAAAAGCTGCATTTTTATAAATCGAAATTTTATTTTTTCTACTAACTAATTTACCCCCTCTGTTGCTTCTGTAAATGACAAATGTTGCTCAAGTAGAAAATAAATGAAATGACATTGAAAAATTAATTCTTCCAGTTATTCAGAACAAAGTCATCCTTTTCACAGAATTTGTTTTGTTTGTTTGTTTTTCCCTTCCATAAAAATGTAATCAAATTGTTGACCAATTTTCTTTATCTCTTTTTAAAAAAAGCAGGTAACGTTTTTTGTCAGCTGTTTTCGATACATAGGCAAGCTATATATACATATAATATAATAAAATATACCATTTTAATAAAAATTAGTTGATATTTTTATCTGTATATAATGGAGATTATCGATTTGAATTTTCCCACAAATATTGTGATTTTTCATATAGGAGGCTGTCCCGGCTTCCGGTTGATGGTGGCCAGACCTTTTCCGGTCGTATTGCTCAGCGATCAAGATGGGTATGTGCATTTACGTGCAATTATTTAATTATTTTCGGTAATATTCCGTGTGAATTGTTACTAAATATTTAAAGTGCTCAATTGCTGGAATTCCTAGAGAGTTTTTCGTGATTGATGGTCGGGATAATTCAATAATTGTGGATTTTTTGAGGTTGTAGACCATGACAACGTGGTTAGGACATATTTCCACGCGTGTTTGTGATACGTAGAGCTTTAAAAAAAGAAAATTCCATTTCACAATCGGGAATTACCAATTTTGCGAGTGCAAAATGTTGATACTTGAAGGCCTACGGTCCCATTTTCAGCCATGAAAAATTCCTATTTATAATCTCAGAGAAATAATTGAATTTTCGTAATAATCTTTTTTTGTGGAGCACATTGAGGGCTGCAAATGAAGTCATAACAAAAATATTGTCATCTCTCTGAAGTTTATAAATATTAATTGAAAATTGGCTAATGGGCAAAATTAAATCGCTTCCCCAGTTTAATACTGTCTTAAGTTTTCCTTAGAGGTGAGATATTTCATAGCTAATTTGGGCCATAGGTAAACCCCGTGGTCTTCGCACTGCAAGAAAACACGTCAATCACAGACGCGACCAGCGCTGGAACGACAAGGACTACAAAAAAGCCCATCTGGGAACGCGTTGGAAGGCCAATCCCTTCGGTGGTGCTTCCCACGCTAAGGGAATTGTTTTGGAAAAAGTGTAAGTATTTTTTCTCTCTTCTCATCACCACAGTGTAAAAAACAGAAATAAATGCCATTCTGGGTTCATAAAAATGTGTAAAATTAATATATTTCTGAATTTTCCACTGGATTAAATAATTGTACATTTTTTTAAAGAAATTTAATCGAAAATTCAATATTATTGTAATTCCACTCTCATAATTTAATTATTTAAAAACCGAACAAAATTTTTTTGGCCAAGGAATTTGAAAAGAAAAGGGGTGTGATCAATGCGGATTTTTTTTTTCAGTGGAGTAGAGGCCAAACAGCCCAACTCTGCCATTCGTAAGTGCGTGAGAGTGCAGCTCATCAAGAATGGAAAGAAAATCACAGCGTTCGTACCCCGTGACGGTTGTCTGAACAACATCGAGGAAAACGACGAGGTCTTGGTGGCTGGTTTTGGTCGTAAGGGTCACGCCGTTGGAGATATTCCCGGTGTTCGTTTCAAGGTGGTGAAAGTTGCCAACGTATCACTACTCGCACTGTACAAGGAAAAGAAGGAGCGTCCTAGGTCATAAGCCATTTTATTTCCAAATTATGTATTTTTCACTGGGGTTTTGCCAATAATCATCTTGAAAATACATTGAATTCGTGTTTTATTGAGAGATCATTGCCCTTAGAATACAATAAGTATAGAAAATAACATTGAAAAATGTACCATTTTAACCTATCAATATTACTGATTGTGTTAGAAAATTCAGTGTGATTAGACAGTCAATTCTTCCTCTCTTGCATTTGTTCCCTCTCCGAACGAAAATACGTTAGATAAGAGATAATCAAATGAAAAATAATATTACAGTCGACTCCCGTTATATCCGCGTGCATGGGATTGTAGGGGAAGTGAATTCGGAGAATCTGATTATGAAACTACCCTAACACGCGCTCGCTGGAACCGTAAACCGAATTTTTTCATCGCAAATTCAAATACAAAAGAAATTTATTTTTTGGCTTTACTTTGCCTAGAATTAAATTCCTCGCCGGACGATACAATCGATTTGTTTACTGTTTAGTCCGGAGGTATGTACTAGAATGGGCGAACCGAAAGATACGCGTAAAAAGAAATTAGGGAGAAGTGCGACTCTACCGAGATTCTGTTATAATATTAATAGTATTATAATGATCATAATAATATTTATAATATTAATATTCAGTTGTCATTTCTATCCGTGACTTTTTGAAGCTCTTCTAGACCGATCACTGTATCTTGGATAATTTGGTCCAGTGGATACGTTCCTGTGTCTAGTCCTGTGGGAATAACTGCCTTGAGGATCTCATTTTTGTTTTGAAGAGTCTGGAAACGGGACAAAATACAAGAAAAATCATTCATTCAATTATTCAGCAGCGACGTATATATCTTGTATTTAAAAATAATCCTAAGAAATAAAATGAAAAGAGAACTCGACTTAGCTTCTAGATTTTTTGTACTTGAATCTAAGAAATGGTACCTCATTTAACGTAGAGAAATTACTGTGAATGTTCTCAATGTAATTATCTATTAATTCCGTGGATGTATCTCTGGACTCCTCTGGAAGTTTTACCCACTTATCGATATCTTGAAAAGCAGCGCAGAACTTCTCGACAGTTTCGGCAGATGCAGAAAGTGTTTGTTCATCCAATTGGTCTGTTTTTCCCTCTAAATCTTGGGGATTATCGGTTTTCTGTGGAAGGGAGGAAGTAGCTTAAGGATCTGTTATATTATTTTTTCGCTGTCTCCTTTTTTTGTTATAAATCTCATGCCATGGGATTATACAGGGAAATTTTTAAACAGAGATAAAAAAAAATGGAGTAAGCATTGCTGAAGATAATATCCTCTGGAAAAATTTCTTACGTCTATAGAGGCAAAAGTTGATGGAGGTGCATGTTCCTTCACGCTCTCACTCAACTTCTTCATGTAGCGTTTAGCCTCGTTGTATCCCAGTTTAGTCGTTAATTTACAGGACGAGGGAATCAAATTTATTTCGGTATTCAGGTACCTGTCTAGAATATTCTCTGCTTCCTCAGGGATCACCTTCTTCTCACCGTTAACCCCCAGGACATTCATTACGAATCTCGTCAGTCTTATGAGAGTATCCAATTGATCTTTTATTGGACATTGACCCTGAAAAATGCCTGCATTTTACGATTCCAATTCCAATTCCATTTTTTTCGATTGCCAAATGAAAAAATTATTAAAGGAGACGAATCCAAAAATAGCCCCTTTCGACTCCTTAAACCACTTATTTTTATTAAATTTATTCAATTCCCCGAGAAAATTCAGTCATTCTATTTTTCCTTGGAGAATTTATCGATCAGATAAAAAAGTCAAAAAGGACAGAAAATGTCTCATCATCTCCTTCTAATAAAAAATGATAAATGACGTTTCGTTGTTTACGAACCAGAAGAGCTGCCTTGTTATCGCAAATGCCTAATTGAATATACCACTTCACTAATGATTCTGCAATGGAAAATACACAAATGTCAAGACGAAAATTACAACTGATTCCTAAATTTAATTAACCGTTGCAAATTAAATTAATGCTAAAAAATCAATAGAATCTTGCAAAGGGTTCGCCAGGATCCCAATACGTGGAAACAAACTCCACAGAATTTCAGGGAAAGCACAAGACGTATCTATTGCAATTTCCATGGAAAAAAATCTGGAATAATGAAATAGAGACAGCATACCATCATCAGCTTTGGGTTCATCAGCAGTTGAACTAATAGCCCTCAAACTCTGCACCAACAGCCAGTGCAATAATTTATTCCTGTCATTCTGGGCCAAAAGAGTATTCTCTAGGTCTCCACATTCGATATTCGTTACACCAGGATATCTCACCTTCACGAGGGCCTCATAAAGCCCATTAATCACTTCATTAATATTGGCCACTGTCAAACCAAACAGATCAACAAACACCATTAGGTTATATGTTCAATATCAAAATAATAATAAAATAAATAAAAACATACTTTAAGAAGATAAAATCATAAAATTCAGGGCGTAATACCAAATGAAAAAATAATCGAGGACTGGGGAAGGGATCGTAAATAATAATAAATTGAAATTAATGTTTATATTTTACTACAGTCTACCGGCTAGGGATGAGCAGCTGCAGTTGTTTTTCGAAGTTATCAACCGGAAGTTCATTTTCACATGCGCGCACTTCAAGAAGCGACCGCGGGCAAATTTGAAAGTCTTTACGACTGTTGAGAGCCTATTGAACAATTTATAATACACGAAACATATTATTAAATAAAAATTGTCATGAGAATGGGTTTTATGGTCGTATCAATTGAAAATAACGTTTCCATTTCGATTTCTCAAATCGTTCAAGTCCCTTAGTGTTCATTCATTTACTTTCAATTTTCGTTCCATTACTATTTCCTTTCGTTGTCCGTCAAAGACTTTCTATATACGTGAATTCCTGAATGAAGATAAATCCATGATTTATGAAATTTTTTCTAAAAATATTGATTGATTATCACAGGAAGAGGAAGGAAGACATTAGGACATTCGTTAGGCATTTTCAGTGAGATGATTGACCATTTTTTAATCTTAAATCGTTAAATCTTCATAACTATCTTAATAGTGGGGAAATGAATGAAATAATGAGGGAATGTAGCATTATCTCAAATATAGAAGCAGAACAATTCTTTCAAACGATGTGATTGATCGGCCAGGCCCTCATGACACACATCAGTATGAGAGTGCTAACGGTATCTGAGGTGACCTACTCTTATATATTTTTCCATCTCACTTCATCAACTGAAGACAGCACTTTTGCATCTCCCTAGCATGTTCTTCCTCCGGTCAAGCGAGTGTGTTTCACCTTTTTATGAAAAAAAAAAGGGAAAAAAGAGAAATAAGAAGGGGAAAGAGAAAGAGCCACTGTGGAACAGATTGCACGTACTTTTTCTGTGGACACACTGGCACAATCATTTGTTCCTTCTCGTACCCCTTCTTTAAATTTTCAATTCTCTCGTTTCTTCAGGTTCATATCACTCTGGCCCCTTCCACTATTTTCCGAAGCTATTGGACAGCAAAGGGGATTATAGATAGTTCTTTCTCAGTGATGAAAGCATCCTTAGCCACTGTGGAAGTATTTCTGTCGGCCAAAAGTTTACCGGTGCTCATTTTATTTCACACTCATCGGTATCTCGTGGCCAATCTGTTCGTCGAGAGAACGAGAAAAAATATTTTTTCAATAAAAAAATTTCATTGACTTTTTTTCGTACTGCTAGTTGTTACGATTGCCAAGTTGAGAATGAAGTGCTTTAATTTCCCGGTTTTTGTGGTAAGTGCATTCAGTATGCACTTTGATTTAATTAATTTATATTATATTTGTTTATCAATATATTTTGTTTATCAATCCGGTATTAATCCTGGCTTTATTGAAATTTATTATCTAGGCAAATACCACGTTCACACGAATAATACATCACGAAAAAATTATTTTTTGGCGAGTGTTTGAAAAATTGTACATTGTGTTACTAGTGCGCAAAGTGGAATTTTTTCGTACGCGCGTACGAAAAAGCACGTGCTGTATTTCGCAATATCTGTCAAAGTTCACTTTGAGGGATTAAATTTGGTGGAGTTCGTGAGAGAAAATTGAAACCAATTATTATGTTATGTTACAAGTGCGTGAAGAACCGTTTTTTTCGCACGCACGCGTCATATGTAATGATTTTTGTGATACTTGATGGGTTCTTCGCCATTTAACGCACGTTAAGCAGTCCGGAAAAGTGAACTTTTAAAATAGTTGTAAAATAACGTATTCCATTTTTAGGATTTGAATGAGTAATTCTGGGTTACAGTTGATATTACTCCCCACTGTTATCGGACAATTGGGCACTGGGGGATCAGGGACTTTCAATTATGATGCCTCATCAGCCTGTAGCAGACCTTATTCGCGTAATGGTAGAGAGCACTATGAAAAACTTCCATGCGACTTTCGCCGACAGAATTGGTGCACAATTGCTGGCAGCAATTACCCATGGTATTTGAATCATTCATCCCAATTATCTCTTTGTTTTCTTCTGTCTTTACTGATAAAAAGAAATATTTTCGCCAATTCAATCTCTTGGCGATAAGCGATAAGCGATAAGCGATAATGGCGATAAGCGCGTCAGACTCTTTGGTGAACTTTTTTTGCAAATAATTCCCAAACGAAGGGAGATAATTAAATTTTTGATAAGAGCGTTTATTCAAAGTACCTCGAGGGCTACAAAAAAGTTTATACAAAAATTTTGCTGTCTCCTTTTGTTTAGGAGATATTCTTCACCGACACCGAAGATCTTTGGGACAACTAGTCTGATTTGGTGGAAATAATATTTTTATCAGGTGGTGTTGTATTCAATTTTATTTTTGAATGGATTTTTTAAGGCACGCGGTTAGACGATTTGTCTACGAGAATCAGGGATTAATGCGGCGGATGTATGGAGATGAGAAACATATTAATGTTCTTAAGGATGAACTTGAAAAAAATGACATTCAATTGGAATATGAAGAGAATTATCATCACAGATACTTTGATGACTTCCAGTGAGTCAACCACTTAAACTTCAATGAATTGATTTCTATTTTATTAACTCAATACTTTAGAAACAGTTCGAGCAACAAATAGCTCATCGTATTTATTTTTTCTGTAGGCGTTCTATCCATGACAATCAATATGACTTGGGAAGATATGAAAAGGAGAAAACTAGGGAATATCGAGGTCGCGCTTTTACAAATGAATCACCCAAACAGCCGGCATTCACAAAACTCTACTTCCGTCCAACAGAAACGACAACTGCCAGCAGTAGTACGACATCTCAAACAGAATCACCCGATGAATTTTCGACAGCATCAGAATCAATAGAAGAAGCCACAATAAAACCATTAAAAAAATTACCCAGCGATCAGAATGAAACTGAAGATAAATCCGATGGAGGAAACTCTACATCAGGGGGAACATTGTCTGAAATAGCTCATGTAAAAAATGCCACTTTCAACGAAATTCCTGAAACATTGAAAACGCCTAAGGAAAATGTTTCAGGCAGCGCACCAGCAGACTGGCCCAGTAAATCAACAGAAACAGTTTATGTTGAAGCGACTTTAGAATTAAATGGAACAGCACGGCTGCCCGGAGTTTCCTCGGCCGATGGGATTGATCAATTCACCACAGAAAAGGATAAGGAAAATTCATCTTCAGATGGTAGTCAACAAGAATTTAGACCGCGTCCTGAGTATCGACCGCCTGAACCTCAGGCGGGCACCGGGTCCAGTGTCGAGGGGCAACTTTTTCAAGATTTTGTTGTTAAAGATCAACAGGAACAACCGGTGCTTAAACTCCGTGGGGTGTAAGTCTCGCTGTGATGAATCTTCAAGTAATTTTTATCTACCTTTTGGAATTGTTTAATTATCTTTTTTTATTCCTCCAGGAATGCTTGTCCAGTTAAAGATGAAGTTGTCGCTCCATTCTGGGCGAATAATACAAAAGGGGAAATTCTCGCTTTACTCAATCTTTATCCTTTCGAACAGTTTCTTCACTGGGAAAAATGCACGTAAGTTGGAGTGTCTTTTCTATTTTTTTTAATTTGAAAAAAAATTGAGGCGCCGTTTGGACTTTGTACTACAATTTTATGAATGATTTGATAATTTATTTTCATTCGTGAGTTATTAATGAATTATTTATTTCTTGTAGACATGAAAATAAGCAAATGTACTGTCGCGAAGGGTGCAAATGCGAGCAGCAATACCGCCTGTACCGGCTTCTTGCTTATGATCCAAATAACGAGTGTCGTGGTATATTCAGCGATTGGTTCAAATTTCCAAGCTGTTGCGTATGTCGATGTTACGATCTCCCAATAGAATTTCGGGTGACATCGAGATCACCACGTACCCATAAGCAAATACTCAAATTAAATCCACCTGGCAATTAATTTTTCATTCCCTTCTAAAATTAAGAGAATCCGAACACTCAAGGCTAGTGAATTGAAGAAAAAATGCTAATAATGTTATATTGATATGCCATTAATAATTTATTCAATTATATCACCTAAAGTAACATTATATATACATACAAATATACATTAAAATCACTTGAATGTTGTCAAACTTTCTCACTTGGATGTATTGAAAGTTCATCTTTTGCGTTATTCTAATTATTAAAACGGATGAATTTATCAGAATTAGTTTTTATATTAGAACAAGCTGCCATACTCATTGTCAGTACCGATGAATTCCATGCGATTAATCGTTTATTTATTTATTTACTTGCGGATTTAATTGTATTTTTAATGATATTTTTTTTCTCTCTTTGTTTTCGATATTTTATGAGAATCCATTATACTGATTGAATTCCGATTGTTGATAATGTTTTGTTTTATTATTTTTGTTATTTTATTTGTCCTGGAAGGTGAACATGAAAAAATTGTCCGAACTGGATTGCCCATGGGGCAAGGGTTCATTGATGTTACAGATATTTTATATACATATATAAACATTGAATATGTATGCACAATTATTATTTATTTAAGATGATAATCTACGCACGAGAAAGCCTTTTATTGTGTATATGTGTTGGAGTATCATTGATGAGTAGTGAGTTAAAATATTTGGTATCAGAAACCATTGCAGGAGGAAATATCGAAGAACGGGTGAGTAAATTCACTCAATCGTCGTATCTGGTATTAAATCCTTGCGACAATTTTAGGACGACATATTGGGATGAAAAAGGCAAATGATTTAAAAAATTGACAGGCAGTTATTGCTTTCGTAAATCATACCAATGATGTGTAGGAAATACATGTGAAACATTTCACCGCGGAAATTTTATTTGCTGATTGTAAACATTGAATATTTTCATAAAAAATATAGAGTAATATCGGAACAATTAGTCAATTATTATATGATGAATTGCGGAAAATTGTTCATTATCATTGTAGTGTAGCATTAGAAAATATTCATTTTCCGTTTCGTCTTGTAAAATTGACGACTGAAAATACTCGAGTTATAAATTTCAATTGTCATTTTATAATGATCACAACGGTTTATTTTGAGTGAGCATTAATAGAGCATTTATAATACTGCGAAAATCCATTAATTCTTACCAATATAATAATAACTCCACAACGGCGAAAAAAAAAAAGATATTCTCGACAAGTTCATGTGCCTTTGCTCTTGAAATTTTATCCTTTACCTTTATTCCACTCGCAGCGCAAAAATAATAATTATCCTATTGACGCCTGTTTATTTACTGTCGTTCACACAATTACAGTTGATAATAAATATGTTTATATAGTGAATATTCATAAAATTCTTATTGCTCAAGGGAATTAAAATAACAAAGACGGTTGGTGTGAGTTTAACATCTCAAGAATTCTCGAATTCTCGATTTTGACTCCACAATTACATTTCAAGAGCGCACAAATTTATTTTTAAATTATCGAGCGATCGATTCCCAGTGGGAATAATTAATGGCGCAAGCAACTCTTCTCGTCACCCTGTGGCTAACGAATAATCAACAACTGTAGATTTTTTTTTATTTCAAATTCAAGTCGCTCTGAACACCACTAGAATTGAACATTTTCGTAATCCCTTCTTACACATCTCACCGAATCACAATAATTAATATGATATTGTTTCAATTGATATATTTCAAAAGGATGTCGGTAAATTTATAGAAAAATTTATTACTAGATAACTAATTGGTCGTGATTGATTACAACAATGGGAAGAGTCTCACGATATGTTGAAGCAGTATTTATGTATCACAGTGATGACTGATAATAACATCGAAATCGCATTTTTATTTAATTATTATTCATGTTTTTTATGGCGCTGAAAAAGTTGTATTCTTTCTACACGTTTGAATGATCTATTGATTTTACTGAGAGGAGTGCTCTGACAATTATCAAATTATGGAATAAAAAAATGAAATAAAAAAATCTTTAAAAACACTAGCTGAAAATTGAGAAGTATTCGTGAGGATGGCACAGAAACTTCACACTTATACCAGTACTGCAATTATATATGCGCCTAACACTTTTTTTTTCGAATAAACCAGAAACACTCTTGGCTGAACAAGAAATAAATCTGATGTGTAAATTACGTAGATCACTCACGACCCACACGTCAATGAATCTTCTGGATTTTGACAATTTTTTATTCATTTAAATAACAAATTAACTCTACATTTTTCTCGTTTGTACAGTTTATGTCCTTAATTTTTGGTCTCGGTGAATTAACTTACGCCTAAATATTGTCTCTCATTACAAAGCTATAAAATTCCATTATTCTTTTTTCTTATTATTTTCGGTTCCATGGAAATTGCACCTGTTATAACAGAACAACAAGCAGATGCATTTTTCCGTTGCTCCAGTTAAAAATAACAAATAGATAAAAACCGCCCGCTAAGGCATTGATCCCACAGTAAAAATATTTTTTGTTTCTCCCCATATATACCATTTTTAATTATAAAAAAACTCTAAACTAAAAAAAAAACGCATATATTATCTCTACGGCCAATTGATTCAAATCAGTTATAAATAATATACGAATATCTAGCGTTAATACGTTTTCAATTAATCCACCCACTGTGTAGACACTCTTACTAGCACAAAACAGCATGTGACAACTGCGTTAAAACAGCTTTTAGCTGATTAGAGAAAAAACGAGCTGGCGACTAGTTCAGTCACGGCTGTAGAGTGACTTAAACACTCTTAAAAGAGTTTTTTTTTCCATTTTCGTGTTATTAAAATAAAATATGTAATTAAACTCGAACCGTGTCAATCTATCCTCCACTCCAATAGTATTTCCCTGCTTTTTCTGAGGAACTCTCGTTGATTGTGGCAACAATCAGTTGAAATTCTAATTTAAATTGGCAATCTTCTCTAATTTTTGAGTTTTTGAGATATATTGAATAAAAAATCGTCGCCAGTCTGACGAAATATATTTCCATTGATAAAGTTCTTTGTTTTTCGTTAAATCGAACTAGGACTCCCGCAGTGAATTTAGATTGATTTCCACTGTGGCTTATGGGAGCCCCCCCTTGGATGTCAGGGTGGCCCTCGAGGCACCCATAATGCCTTACTCTGCTCACAATCGACAGCAGCTTTGACTTGAGTGCAGATATAAGCTACATTAACCCCAGCCTGAATAATATCAGAAACATAGTGTTTGTACTCAGCCTCTATTTTCAGGGACTGTTCATGCATCTCTTTAGCAGCTTTGGCACTTATTTTATCACTTGGATATCTGGAATCTTTGACTTCTTTTATTTGCTTGACACTTTTAAATTTAATAAGAAGTACTATCGGATATATCTGATGCCTGTGGAGCCGTTCGATTGAGGCGATGGATACGTCCAAAATGCAGTGTGAATTCTAGAAATTGAAGTTAAATTTGTATAAGAAAAAAAAATTGGGGTAAATGATAATGTAAATTGCATGAATAATTATTGCAAATTAATGTACCTTAACGCACACGTCTTTGACAGCTTGTACAGTGGTGCACTCGAAATAACTTCCTTTCTTTCGATAATCAACATAAAGTGAATCTCTGAGCCCCTGCTCCAGGGTAGATTGCGAGCAGTGCATAGCTTCAGGAAGACACCTTGTAAATTCCCCAGGACAGTCTTGCATTAGTTTAGTAGCAACGCATTCACTGAGTGGACCAATTATTAAAATTGGTCTCAAAGTTGGATAATCAAGTCTCTCGACTCTTTGATAGCTCGCAGGTAAATTTTCCTCATTCAATGTTCCACTGTCACTGTACCAACCGAGACTGACGCCAGTGAGTTGAGAGAGCTCTTTGCTGTCTCTACTAGAAGATCTGTGATGTTTTTTTCTGCGGAAGAAGCTTCTCCGAGCACTAGTTGTTCCTCGTTTTCCCGTGTCTGTCTCCAAGTCACCGAGGGATCTCCTTAGGAGTAGTTCCTCTTCAATTTTAAATTTCGACGGTATAATTCCACATTGCTGCCGCCTACCAGCCTGATCAACCAGCCATGCTCTCCAGTGACCAGGTGTACCATTGAACATGGTATTATCAACATAAAGAACATCATCTTTATTGAACCGAAGTTGTAAACTATCACCAACTTCACCAACACGATCGAACATTGCTTTGACGTAAAAACTATCACCTGGTTTATCCTTCACTTCATTGTAACGTTCAGGCATGTATTGAGCAACAAGTGTTACTTTGTCAGCCGGCCTAGCTAATTCAAGTGCTGCCTGTTCAGCTGTTGCCTGTCTTAAATCGACTCCATTGTATTCAAGAATTCTATCACCAGGTCTCAATCCTGCATCCTCGGCCAAACAGCCTGGCTGAACAGAATGAACGAATATTCCAACACCATTACCACCAACCAGGGATATCCCCAAATTTGAGCATTTACGTGTTTCTATAAAGAGATATCGAGGTTCAATCGTTGGTGGGCTCTTACGACTCTGTTCTTCTTGAGTTGGACTTCGAACAGTTGCATTTTGACGTTGTAGAGTTGTCACTGCTTGATTCATCTGCAATCTCGACATTGTCGATGCTCCACGTATCGAATCTATAGTCGCTGAATTTCTAAGCTCTGGTTTTCTAATATTTATGTCAAGTGATGCTGAATTACGAATTTCGCGTGTTCTTTCTTGGGTGTCGCGTACCTCCATCGAAGCAGAAGCTCGTACCTCACGTTCGCGAGTCACAGGTGGCATCAGAGTTGTTTTGCTTGCTGCTGCTGTTGTTGTGGATGTTGCACTTGCTGTGGCTGCGGCTGCTGCTGCTGCTGCCGCAACTGTCGCTGCAGCATCTCGCTCTGGCTCTGAAGTCTCATGATGCTCCAGGCTTGATTTCCTGGGGACCTCAGGACTGTTACATGGCGTTGGTGAACCACTGTGACTTCCATCTCCCCCAGCACCTGGTTCTGGGGAGCTCGATGAACCTGTCCCTTGGAGCTCGTTGTATTCTATATTTGCGGGTAAAAAAGATGGGGAAAAAAAGAAGAAAATAAAAATAAAAAACAGAAAAAATATGGTGCAATGTAGAAGAATAATTAACGTTAAAGGAGGTAAATTTTTCATAATTGTGAGAATAGTAATGATGATAATAAAATTGGGAGGAAGTCTGTGGGAGGAGCCGATCTTTACATGTGCAAAAATACTCACTATGTGGATTGTACTGGACTTGCATAGTTATAGCACCAGTACGTGCATCCCTGAGTACTTTGGCAGCACTGGGATAATCAGCTGTTCTCAGATTGATGCCACACACATCTAGCAATTGATCGCCAATCTGCAAACCGACTTTACTAGCCAGTGAATTTTCACTGACAGCCGATACGAAGACACCCTTCTTCTCAAGGCAAAAAATACGTATTCCCAATGGCTCAACTGATTTATCAATTTTTAATCTGCGAATTTCTCCAGGTAAAGGTGTGAAAGTATCATCACCAGGACTGGTCATCCCTGTTCTAGAAGTCAATACATCGAGACGAAAGGTATTTGGCATTGGACTACCTCTTTCAGATGTTCGTTCAATACTTCCAGTGGACAATTTTCCAACGCTGCTCTTGGACACAACACTTGGATTCGATGGTATTCTAAACCTCTGATTCTCTTTTTTTCTCGGAAATGTACCACCCTCGTACCAATAACCTGGTGGTGTATAGGTTGTAGGTACGACATCGTAAGCACCACCGACAGGATGTCCCCTCAATTTTTGATAGGGTGAGTCTACAGAGGGTGTGTGCAAATGACCAAATGCCTGGCTGTGGCCAGATATGTAGGGAGGCTCAAAACACCAAGAACGATCAGATAGTCCAATGGACTCACCTGATTGTGCTAATGGGAGTGACGGTGGCGAGGGATAGCGTGAGGGCAAGGAATTTTGTTGGTGAGGATGTGGATGTGAGTGTGTATACGGGGGAAATGAAAAATTACCAGACAATTGTTGTTGTCTTGAAGCAGCTGCTGATGATTGAGAGAGACCCGATGTTGTAACAGACAGAGTTGTTGCTGGTGGATAGAGTTGTGAGTGTGTACGATTGTGTTGCAATGTATCTGGCTGGCTTTCATTACTCCCATACTGCCTGAGACGTCTCTTTTGTATGGGATGGCTGTAATCATTGGCCGATTTAACTGAATAATCAATACTGCTCTCAGATGGTGCTTGACTCGAACTGAGACGTCCTGGCTCAACTGGCTCAAACTCCGTACTCGCTGGCTTTTTCTCCAGCGATCCAATATCCTTTAATTGAACAGCAGGTGTAAATAACTTTTGCGTTCCAAACAGTTGACCTGATTTACTAAATGACACTGGACTCTCCATAGCTTTATAAACAGTATGACGATTGCTTACATTTGAAAAATTACCCAGTGGAATTGGATTGGATATTCTGTTGTAATTGTAACTCTCGTATTTTGGTGGATGATTGATAAGAACACTCAGTGGTAATCTCTCCTTTGTCTTTCGAGGATGCAAAATTGTTCCGGTGCCATTCTGAATGAGTGGACCACCTCGTACTTTCGGCCATGTACCACCGTCTTTCTCCATTTTTTCATTAGCTCTCAATTTATTTCTCTTCAACACACTGCTAGCATTCGCTGCTGATGCACCAGCGACAGCAGCACCTGCTGCTGGCGTTGCTGTTGTTGTTGTCGTCGTTGTTGATGTCTTTTTTTGATGATAACTCTCGATAACCGAATCCAATTCAGCTATTGCGTCTTGCTCCTGCTCAAATGTATTAGGACTGGAATTTCTATGGCGTTTTTTCTTATCGTCACGATCTTTGCTGTGTCTTCTACCCCTGACGATATCTATCTTTTCACGTATATTGTCCCATGCATGACTGATACTACTTGGCTTCTCACCACTGACTGATTTTGACACTTTATATATACTTCTGTCATTGAAATTCGACGCCATATATCGACGCTCGTAGTCGTCAGACGTTGCTTTTAACATCATGCGTTCTTGCTCGGTTTGAGAACAGCTGTTGACCATTTTTTGAGCCTTATCTGTACCATAAATCATACCAGTATCGGGCATTGTTTCTGAGCTCGAAGCCAATGACAGTGGAATTCCTTTGAGTGTTGTTATTGTTAGAACATCAGCAATACAATCATTCAATAAACTCATTGCTTCGTGAGCTGAAGTAACACTATCCATTGGTTTACTATTGATATTTAATACACGATCACCAACTGATAAATTGCCATCTTTAGCTGCTGAACTGGCAGGTGATATTTTTGATATATAAATACCAAGTTCGAGAGCAATGCCATGAGGTATTGAACCCCCAATAGGCAATTGAATTGTTCTGAGATATCTTCGGGTTGATCGTTTACGACGAACAGTCACGGTTGCCGAGCCAACAGTACACGCACGAAGTGTTTCCAAAATCATTCTAGTTGATACTGAAGTGCAGTCGACATTGTTAACACGAATAATACAGTCATTAACTCTCAATTTACCACCAACAATACTTCCTTCGGCTATTTGTGCAACATAAACACCTGTATCATTGGGATAATATGGATCTTGACGTCCACCAATCAAAACAAGACCCAAATCACGCTCTGAGTCTTGACACAATCTACTTAAATCGAGATGTATCGTTATTACATCCCACTCTGCCGAATTATTATCCTCGTGATGACCGTAAATACTCGATCGCGTCATTAAATCACTCTCAATCATCTCTTTGAGATCCTTGAGTTCCTTTGACGCTTCGTTCCTCTGTTTCTTAATATCATCCGAATCTCTAATTGCACTTGCAAATTCTGAAACCGCTCGATCTCTCTCTTTTCTCAATCTATCACAATTCGACCTCAGGGCCTCTCTTTCGAGAACTATTTTGTCACGCTCGCTGAATGCCCAGTCACGACGACGTTTTGATACCTCTGCCTCTTGAATCGCCTCCTCGAGTTCCGTTTGAACGGCTTCAACTTGTTTTCTAAGTCTATCAATCTCCAAATTCGCCTGATCTAGATCATCCATTCTCTCTTTATCACGTTTCGAATAATCTCGAGTGTTTGACTCACATTCTGCCTCTTTTGATGAATTTATTCGTTCGCGATTGTAAGAGTGAATTTCTAATCGATTTTTGTAATCTCTACTTGCTACCTCGGAATAATCACCGAATTTCTGGCGGAGTACATTGCACTCTTTAAATGCCTCATCTCGATCGAGAAGCGCTGATGAAATCTCGCGACGCAGCGTCTCAATTTGATAGGATAACGTTTTTTTCTGTAATTATTATTTTTATTATCATTGCGAAACTATTAAAGTATCTCTACCCTCCGGCTGAGCTACCGTGGAATATTTTTCGATATTATTATATATAATATGAAATGATGAATAATTTTTTATAATTTTTTTTTACTTTTTATGATAAAAAAATTAAATTATAATCTTTAATTGAAGTGGAAATATTTATTTTGTCACTCGGTGGAAAAGAATTTGGCTAACGATTATGTTACGTTGTGATACATTGAAATTGAAATGCCAATTGTGATTGTAATCCATTTGTTTTGAATTTTTCTAGCATTGAAATGTGCGGTTTTCCGCAAGGGTAGAGCTAGTTTAATAGAAAAAAATATATATTTTCCCTCAACTTACCCCATCGACCAGCTGTTTATTCTGATTTTCCAGATGAGTGATCTTCGCATAAGCCTGGGATAAATCATCACCCAATTTCTCCATTTCCTTGTGAACAGTATCACGTTCTCCCATTATTAAAGTATATTCATGAAGTGCCGCATTCCGTTCCTCCGTCAGTCGTTTCATATCTTTACTTGTTTTCATGCGCAGCATCATTGCTTGATTAATCTCCTTCACAGCATCTTCATGCTGCTGCTGTACTTTCGACAAAGCTTCACGATATTCATTTCGCTCTCGCATTGCTATGTCCCACTGCCTTATTGCCGATGTGCACTGCTGTTTCAAGCCATTTTTTTCCCTGAATGCTGCATTTCTCTCTTGGAGTGCCTCTTCGTATTGTTTTTTAAATCTCCCTGCTTCCTCTTGTGCCAACTCCAACTGTCAGCAATGCAAAAAGTCATTATTATCAGTAAACAGTAATAAGAGCATCAAAACATAACTGGCTAATTGCATTTTTATAGATGAGTATCATTGTTGCTGAATTAAAAATTTGTGTCGAATCAATCAGTATGGATAAATAATTCAGGGGATATCGATGTTAATTTGTTAAGCCATGATTAATTTTTTTTTGTTATTATTTCATTGTCCAGATCGTTATACAATAATTAATTTCAATCTGTGTCACTGGATAGAGCGGATCAAAAATTCTGGAATTATGGGATTCGATAGACTGCGAAAAAAAAATCGAAATAAATTATGAAGGAAATATATTGGGACTTTCTACGCCATATTTAATTATTTAAATAATAATCTGTACCTTATTAACAGCGGAGGAATGTGAAGACAACAAATCATCATATCGTTTTTTAAGCGAATCATACTCATCCTCAATTGCTTTATATTTCCTCAGAGCTGATAGATAATGCTGATTCATAGTATCACTATTACCACTATCAGCAACGAGTACGTCTTGATTTTGGCGCCTCAAATCTGATACCTCTTTTTGGAGAGCCTGAACTTCACGATCCAATCGCTGTTTATCGCTCACGAGATCTCCATATGTCCCCAGCAGAGCTGAGCTTTCTTGTGAAGTTGCCTCCAGTTGATTCATCGCGACAATGTGCTGGCCGCAGTAGTACTCCAACTCTTTCATAGTGTGATCACATCTGTAACGATAAATCTATTCAGAAGTGACAAAAGAAAATAAATTGACTAAATCCAAACTCTCCGATGAATTCATCAAAAATATCTCGAGAATTAAATGAGCCAACTTTTTGTAGCTCTCACTTCTACCAAAAAATCTCTTGAAAATATTTAATTATCTCCTTTAACTCCAAATATATCTCGGCAAAACCGAAGAATCGAGTCAACTAATCTCCTTTTCCCACTTGGCTACACATTTTTGTTGCAGCATAAACAATTATTCTTATAGAATTATTAACACTTCAAAAAAACACTTCAAATTACTTGTAGTCATCATGATTCGTAATGAAATTAGTACGTAAGTGACAATTTCACCACTTGAGTCTATTTTTGAGATGAAAAAAAGGAGAATGGGAAGAAATCGATACCCTCCTCGATGGCCAGTCATATTCAACGATACCACGGAGAAGATAAAAAAAAATGCCCCATGAGTTATGAGTTAAACATGTGGAAAACCTAATAACACGGTTCGGGGATGAGAGAGGCGACTAGGCCACATGTTATTGTTGGATGAAAAAAATGTATATGTATATATATATATATATATATATATATATTGGTACAAAGAATAAAAATAAAATGAATTGAAAATCAGGTCAGGTGATCTGATCGATGGCTCAACTGAGTGTGAATTGGAAAGCATGAGAGAGTCTAGAAAAACAGGTGCAGTAATAATTGAAGGAAAATTATTTATAGAAATGATAAGGGCAGAATAAAATAAATTAATAAAACACAAACCGTCTCATCGAATCGGAGTGCTTATGTCTAATGAGCATCGGGTGCAAACTTTGATCACGTTGCAAGCCATCGTAGTCATTACGACAATCGGGACCACCTACTGGACTTTCAACACTGCCATATCCTCCATTATCCCGTTCTGAATGCCAGCAATAATAATCCGTGCAAAATCACAAACGAAACATAAAATAAAAAGCAAATAATAAATTATTCTCTTGAAATCATAAAGACCAATGACGGAGATCTTTCTCTGCTCCATGTTTTTTCTTTTTTTTTTTTCAAAACAAATATTTCTGAAGCTTACCCATGTGAAGGGCCCCATCTGTAAAAAAAATATATTATCATAATTAAGAGACCATTCAGAGATCGATTTCGGAGATTGAATTTTTATTATCATTACTCAATTGAATTTATCATTACTCTGAGCATCAAAGACAGCAAAAGTGAATATTTAAGAAAATTAAAAGTACTTCATTCTGTTAGAAATATAACAGGAGTGATTCACCTGGCAATCAATACTGTACGACTAGTTAATGCTCATTGTTTCAGCTTTCACTAAGAAAAGAAACTCTCAATCACACTTACGTTAGCACCTGCAGAGCGCTTTCACAATTTATAAGTTATGTGTGATAATAAAGACAAAGACTACACAAATCATCGTGCAAATTCGTAGAGAATCGAAATCAATTGACTATGGATTTGTTAAAAATACTTAAAAAAAAATACGCACCACTGCTAACTGCACTGTCAAGAGAAGATGCTTCAGAAGCCATTTCTTCTCGTTCTCCGCAAGCTCCTGTATTATTCTTCCAGGTATTTTCTGAAAGTCAACAGAAATTACCTGCATATAAATATATGCATGAACAAATCAAAAATCTTCATTTAAATATTTAAAAACCCACAATCTAACAACATTTGACAATTACAGGATTAAAGAGCGATGGGTGGAGCACTCTTTCCATTTACCACAGGTGTACATCAAATGATTGATTACAATATTAAAAGTAATTCTCATGAAAAATCCTCGGTCATACAATGCACTGAATATCACGAGTCAACTTTATACCAGTGCTGAGTGACCTATGTTTTTTGAAAAGTTTGTAACTTAGAGAGTCTAGTATATTCCCGATGGGCACATGATGACGTGTACATTGTTTTGAACATTGAAAAATATTGGCAAAAGTTGATGAACTCTTTTTTACTGATGCCCTTAATACCCTTTTCATGACAAGACATTCGGAATAAAAGTAAAGTATCATTTTACCGAGGGGGAAATCTCGTCCGTTTCTATCTAGTGATTTCTATGAGATGATCATTCTATCCACTTGAAGTAAACATTTATACCTTGTGACAATTAGCGAGAGATGAAGATTCAGGGGAATCAGCGGATTAATGTTTATGGAGAAATGATATTGCAGGTCTTACCTGGTACACCGACAAGTCTGACAACTCGCCATTTTCATCGATTGCTCACAGATCTGGCCGATGTAGGATGTAGGGCCCCAACGGAAGTGAAGCTTCAACTTCTCAGTGTTGTTTTTCCAAATCCTATTTATCCCCCTGTGTCGCCTTTTATGTGACGACTCCACGTACACTTTTAAATTTATAGCTTTCTTATTTTTACACTGGACATTGTTATGCACATTATAGAGGTTACATATCCCGTAGGAACACAGAATTAAGACTGAGCAACAGGGGGCTGTTACTCTCTGTCTCTTTCCTCGCACTCTTCTTGCCGATAAATCAATCTAAAGTGAACGAGCAATACCAACAGAGATTACAGGGGAGATCAGAGAGGATTGACTAAAGTAGAGGCTCAGTCAAAGAGGATTGACTAAAGTAGAGGCACAGTTCTGGGGGGTGCGAGTGACCCCAGCTGCATCGTAGTACTGCACCCCAAGAGAGGGAGGGCGCCACATGCAATGGGGGTGTCTGCCCGTCAGCCGACTCGGTAACTTTTTTGCCCCCATGTGACCCTTAACCAAGTCCAATTAAGCCTTAACCAAATCCACTAACCCTTAACCAAGTCCAATTAAGCCTAAACCAAATCCACTAACCCTTAACCGAATCCAATTAACCCTTAACGAGAACAGTTAAAGTTCCAATCAACCCTTAACCACGTCCAATTAAGCCTAAACCAAATCCACTAACCCTTAACCGAATCCAATTAACCCTTAACGAGAACAGTTAAAAGAGATATTCATTATACCTCTTTTAACTGTTCTCGTTAAGGGTTAATTGGATTCGGTTAAGGGTTAGTAGATTTGGTTTAGGCTTAATTGGACTTGGTTAAGGGTTAATTGGACTTGTTTAAGGGTTAATTGGAACTTTAACTGTTCTCGTTAAGGGTTAATTGGATTCGGTTAAGGGTTAGTAGGTATTTACGGAAATATGAAAATTCGAGATTTTTGAAAAAATATCAGGAGAACATGAAAATCGAGGAGGTATTCACTGAAATCGAAAAATTCGAAATTTTCAAAAAAGTATCAGGAGAGCATGACAATTGAGGAGGTATTTACTGAAATCGAAAAATTCGAAATTTTTAAAAAAGTATCAGGAGAGCATGACAATTGAGGAGGTATTCACTGAAATATGAAAATTCACAATTTTCAAAAAAGTATCAGGGGAGCATGAAAATGGAGGAGATATTCACTGAAGTATTATATTCAAGATATTCACTAGTAAGCAAATACGTAATTGAATAGATTTGAAATTCTAGTGCAATTAGGCGATAGTGATGGGCGAAGGAGAAATGAAGAGAAAATTAAAAATTTTAATGTTATTCTTTAATAATATTCACATTACATGTACATTTTTTTCTTCGGAAGTAGTAGGTATTCGAGTACGGAATTAACATGAGTTTCTACGTTCTCTTATGAGATTTTACCACCATCTAAAACTCAATAATTGGGATTGTACTCATCCTTACTATTTGAATAATGCCAAGACGTACACACAGATTTTTAAATTAAACTTTGGTATGTGTTATGTGTCGTATTACGGGATAGAATGACGGAAGGAGTAATAAAGTCAATAGAAAAAATTCCAGGTATCATTACACAATGACTACAAGGAAAACTAAAACCTTTAAAATATCGATGAAGGTATCCAGAATAATTACAAGTCAATCCTATGCATTCCTCGATGCACTCATGTTCCATATTAGTAATAATGGAATTCTCGAATATTTCCTGCGATACTTTTTCATACGTTGATGCTTATCGATTATTCAATTCCGATGGAGAACTGCATGAGTAATCTTTGAGCATTGTGCGGAGTCGTAGAATCTCTCTCGATGCAACGGTCAACTCTGATTGTAATTGTAATTCTTTTTCGCGCAGCCGTTTGATGTCTCGTTGACAGGTCTGGAAATAATGATCAATTGAATTAACATACAACTTGAGGATAGCACCTAGAATCGAAACATTTCAAAGTCACTGCGACGAACGAAAGAGTTGGATAAGGAAATGTGGATACTAGTTTTGAATAATCCTCTGAATTGGATGATATCTATTGCGACGTCATTTGCAGGGTATCACGACAAAAACCTTGTCATAATCCTTCTTACAAATGCTTTGCCATGAGACTGTTTAAAAAATTGTTTAATGCATTAAATTTCTTTCTTCGATTTTTCTTGCGACAATTATGCATATCGATTTACTCCAAGGTATCTCCATTGCCCGGCCTTCCTTTACTGAATTATTATTCAGTTGTCCATTAAAAATATTAATTGCTTTATCAATCATTCATTTCAATGATTAAAATGTTTTTTTTTTTAATTGAACCAATTTTTTATTGACCTACCACATTCTGTCTGAGCAAATCCAGTTTATCACACTTGAGTCGAGTAACTTGTTGTTTTAAACTCTCATTTTCGTTAATTCCATTATTATTGGATCTGACCTCGTGAGTTTCAGCAGAACTCATTGATTCAAGCCCAGTATCACTATCAGGGTAAAGAATTTGGTCTAGCTCTAATTCACTGTTCAATGAGCTATCATCACTCTCAGACACACCTCTCTGCACAGGTGTGGTAGTTTTATCTAATTTATCACTGCGTTTCTTCCACTTTTCCTGCGTTACTCGTGGAGAAGTGGGTATCGATGAGATTTTTGGTTTGTTTAAATGAACTTTAGGGGTATCTCTGACAATTCCAACATTCTGCATCGAACCATCTTCATTTTCTGTTCTATCAACATCATCACCGTGAAAAATCACAGCATTTGATTTACACGTATCATTGTCAGGATTTACTACACTATTTTCCTGTCTGCGTGTGCTGAAACTCTCTTGCTCGAAATCCGGAGCTAATACTGAATCTGATAACCCTGAAGGACTTGTGGGTTCAATAACGAGTTTTCCCAGAGGTTTCGATGTGGATTGACGATTACTCGATTGACCACCTTCAGATTGACTCTTCTTCGATAAATGCTGAGGCATTGACTCTGTCGATGCATTTTTCACCCTCGAAGTGAGAGCCTTTCGAACAGTATCTATAAATCGTGAGCCACTTCCGCTGCTACCTGATGTCGAGCTGTCGTTTGCAGAAGGACTCATTGGACAGCTTGATAATCCACTAGATCCCAGTCCAATTCCCGAGCCCAAAAAATCGCTCGTTTTAGATTGAAGCTCTTCAGTGAGAGATTCCAAAAGTGCAGAGCGTGTCCTCAACTCGAGTTTGGCAAATTTTTCGGCCTTGTACGCCGCATTCTCAGCATTTATAAGTTTAGTGAGGAGAAATTCTTTGAATTCAACACTCTTAGGAAACACTGAGGGTATCGGCAATGCCGGGCCAAACCAGGGAACATCATCACGTCCTGTAATGCTCACTTTATATCTGGTATTCGATGTGCACGGTTCAATGACCTGTACTACGATGAATGCATGGAGAAAATGACTAGCGATCATGTCCGGGCTGAAGGGGGTCGGTTCTTCCTGGAATATTATTGCTACGATATCATTTCCAATGTGACGTTTACGTTGCAACTGCTGAGGGTCACCAGGACTGTACGGTAAAAGAGATGCCACGTGAAAGAGAACTTCACGACCACGAAATACTTCGTAAACTGCTGTGTCACCTGTTTGGCCATGTTGTGTGTCAAGACCACCTCGATATCTGCAAGCAATTATAATTGATAATTAATTAATTCATTCATTCATCTGGGACAGGGTCAAGTCAGATAATCACCCTTTGTGATCTCTCAGGTCAATCGTTTGTCCCAGAAGATCCAGAAATTCCTGGAAGGCCGGTGTTATTTGACGATTACCAAACAGCTGTTCTTCGGTGACCTGGCCGGCTCTCTGATGTAGCACTCCAAATTTAAATCTACTCACTAATGCGTGCTCGTCGTATCGAGCTATCAAGCTTCCTGCACCGGAGCAAACAACCGGCATTAACGTTGTCACACTGAGGGACTCATTGATTGCCTACGAAGAGAACAAGTATGTTACACTTAAGGCTGAGAACTTTCCACTTCTCTCGCGCTCTCACTCCTTCAGTAAAGTTGAGTTGCGTCTCCTTGCGAAAAATTTCACAGTGTGCACTCCGAAAATACTCTGGGTCATGTCGATTTACCTTAATCATTTTGGCGGGTGATACATTCGGTCCGAGATTGGCTGTCGCGACGAGTTCATGTGTTGAGCCTGTTCGTAATCGCAGGAGTATTCTCCAATGTTCCTGTCCAGCCACTGTTTCTGCCTTCACTGACAGAAGTACAGGCCCATTTTCATTATCTCTGCCAACAAGATTCACATGCTCCTGCAAAAAAAATTGTAATCGAAAATCGTTATTTTTGGGGGATTTTGTGGGGGTGATTTTTATTCGGGGGAATAACTCCTAGAACCGGTATTCGCACTTTCATTCCATTTATTTCCATCGTATTGAAGAATTCTCATAGTAATATTTCATAATAATACAGCAAGATGCACCCACAAGATACCGAAAACACTGAAGAGTGGGATGGAAAAATATATTCGCTAAAGAATGAACGGTATGATAAATATTGTGAAATGCAGTGACGATAATATGATTGACTGTGAGAAGACATTTCTAGGTATTTGTGATAAGTACAGTAATGAAACAGAAATTGAAAGAAGATGTTATCTACATTTACGCCTTGGAGTAGAAGCGTAAAGATAGAACGTACTAGTACTTTGAGAATAAAAGGAGAAGGAGGAAAAAAAGGAAGGATGAATTGTTCTTTGTGGTTCACACTGAAAATCTGAAGAATACACATAAGACGCGCAGGCATTGAATGATCGTGGAAGGGAGTAAACGAAGCATAGAAAAGATAGGGTGGAAGAGGAGTATGAGAATGTTCCCACTCCCACGCCTAATTTTTTTTTATCTTGATAGATCTCTTCCTCTTACCCCTCTCCCTCTTTTCCCTTCCTCGCCCCCTTTCAATATATAACTCAAAAATCATGATAACTATTTTTAAATACCCATGGGAAAAAAACTTGACAATTTTTCGGAGACCGGAAAATGAAAACAGCTGTTCTATTTTTAAAAAATTCCACTTTTCAATTGTCTATGAAAATTCGGGAATTTTTACTACGGGCTTGAAATATTATTTTTAAATAAATTAATGCGTATTTATAGACTATATTTTTGAAAATATATTTATACCAAAAATTGTCTGAAGAGTGTTTACGAAAAATTGTAAGATATTTGAGAGAATTATGAGAATTGCGGGAAAATTTGGAATTAATTGAGATAGGAACTGGAAAATTACCCTGCCGACGAAAAATCGACGATAGCATTTGGCGGTGTCATCCTGGTCGATCCTGGGCTGCCATGCGGACTGTGTCGGCAGCATTGCTCTACCCGCAAAATCAAAGACATGTCGATGATCTGTACCATCTACCCAATAACCCGGTGGTGTCACAACTAGTGGCAGCTGCTTCTGAGTATCACTATTGGCTTGTTTGATTACCGCTTCCATCAGGGCACGTCCCAGGGGTTCATCACCCCCTGGCGTTGGCGAAGACAGGGGTGTAGGCAGTTGTAAGGATGGAGTTGAGGTATGAGATTCATCTCGCAATGTCTGCAAAAATAAGATATTACTAAATTACCGCAAATTCGAGACGAAAAACTCTTTCAATAACAATTATAGGTAAAAGCAAGTTTTTTAAATTATCATGTAAAGATTATATATCCATTTAAATATTTAACTCGATTTATTTATTGGAACTTAATTCATTAATATTAATAAATATTCATTTTTTCGGTATTTATAAACATGGAAAAATGTTGGGTGAAGAAAGTATTAAGTTCATCAGTTCAATTAATATTAAATTCTCCCCAACATTCTCTAAGAGAGAAGAGGCGGATTTTCCTGTAGGGAAAAACCCACGTCAGGGGCGGTATCTGGGATTTTTGGACAGGAAAGTGACTCGACACATAAATTATTATAACTTTCTTATAAAAGATTCACTCATCCTCAATATATTCCCCCACGATATGACAATAAGAAACTCAAAGCATAAAAGGTAAATGACTATTAGAATTTTTTTGGTATCTCATCAGAGAATGGAAAGTCTCTCTCACACGTGTCTTTGAATCGACTTTCGATTTGATTTAGAAAAAAAATAGATTTGATTTTTCAATTTTTTTTCAAGTCTTTCCAAGTTTTCCAAGTCAAGTTTTTCCAAGTCTTCGTTAAAAAAACTCGTGTAAGTGGAAAGTTAAGTAAAAATAATAATTTTCCGGATTCAATGCAGACGAAAATTTTGAAGATTTCTAGAGAGATTTAAACTGCATAATGATTAGTATTGGGGGCATAATTTTCACCTGGGTCATGTGTTTCGGGAGTGCCCTAGTATGACCGTTAGCTTTTTGCTGCTGTTGCTGTTGTGGACCGCCATCCGATCTAAGATCGTATCTCCATTTCAATACCCCCATCATAACTCACAATATTATTAATTTAAAAACACTGAATTAATAAACGAAAACACACCCATTAAAGGCAATAAAATTCCCATGAGTCATAGATGGAGAACGACCATCACTAATCCAGAACAACATGAAACTTCACCCGAAGACTCACACGCGCTTCTCTCAACATCATAATCAAGTAACAATACGGTATTATTTTTTAGCTCAACATTTTCATCCACTCGAAAGAACTGGAGTCACTCGAGTCAATTAAAGAGAGTCAATAATTGAGCGCTTCTTGAAAATGATCAACGATTGATGATTAATAAAGAAAGCTCAATACAAAACCATTCCAACACCACTCCAACACCATTCATACACTTGAAAATGTTTTATAACTTTTGAATAACGTGAACGTGAACGTGAGTAACGATAAAAATCCAGCACAGATCATCGGGTCGTTGTATATTTGATGACTTTCTACATTGCGAAATAAAAACTAAGATTTATAATAAATTATTTGACACAACACTGCCAAGTACAGGAGCGATGAAGCAACTGGGTACAACTGGCGTCGAATTCAACTCGTTGTTTCTGTGAGGCCACATATAGCTCTTAGGAATATGTACATTCACTCTGAAGCCCCTCTCCCTACCTTTTTCTATATTTGCCGCGCCTCCACACCTGGACGCTTACTACCAAAGACTCACACATTCAACATTTAAACACCCAAATGTGGAAAACCGACGCCATTGCACTCCTCATGGCCACTGTATTTTTTTTTAAACCGAGAATATGGATAAATGGGTCGAGAATTAGATAATCCAACAGGTGAATGAACCAGTTGGATTATCGATACAAGAGCAAATACAAAAGTTCGTATTTGCGTGGCAATAAGTCATGATACTAGATAATTCACATAGTGACGACCATGGGATGGTTAAATAAATTAATTACATGTCCTTCACTCGTGGAGATAGCATTATGCAGATGTCCTATAATTATTAATGGGTGGTACTGAATGATTTATATTTTAGAGTAATTTCTTTGCGATTTTTTACTTCAATTCTGGGAGATGAGAGTTGAAGAATGGAAATGTTATTATTATATTATATATAAATCAATGTCATATTTTAATTTTACTATTGAATTATCAATTTCGTGGAGACAAGACGACAGGAGTGATGGGAGTAGCGGTAGTTATTTCCAGAGTTCAGCGGAATAATTTTAGTTTTACTTGGAATACGTGGTACATCGAGTAAGTTAATGGCATTATTTGACTTAGTTATTGAAAAAATTCCGCAAAACTTATCATTCGTCTTGAATTTAACGGATGTCGTTTCGTGGTCGACTTATTTCAGTCGTATATGCGCCACTGGTTTCCCGTTCCTTTGTAACATGTCTGGTCTCCCTTAACCGCCATCTCCTCCCATCACTATCGTTCCATTTCCTGCCCACACTAAACCAAGTCGTCGTTACAAACCGAATAAAAAATTATTTCAAGCGCAAACCCAGTACTTTCCAAAAATTCCACCTTAGGAATGCCTTCTTAAAACATTAAAAGAACTAGATTCTCTATTCATCTCGACGAATTCGAGCAGAGAATACTTATCAGTAATAATAAATAATCTCCAAAAAATAAAATAATAATACTGATGTGAAAATTTTGGATATTGTACAAAACCTGGTACTTTCACAATTGTCTTGAATTATTTTATAAATTTTTCTCATTTCCTTTTTCGTCTTCTTCTTTTTAATTAATTTTGATTTAGTTCAACTGGGGCTTGTTATTATAAGAAAATTGCAATGAGATATTCACCTGATTGCAATTGTAAGCAGGCAGTACACAGCGTTGATCGTCAAGCCTAGAACTCTGCACTTTCGCCAATAATTCGAACAGATCCTGTGTAGTATTCTGAAAGTAGGTGAGATTTAGGAGAATGTATGTCGAATTATAATAATGAATGAGAGCACACGTGCTCCCCTTTGAAGAGTTAATCCAAAAGAGAAATTTACATTTTTAAAAACGGAGGTATTCAATAAAATTGCAATCACAACCAAAAAAATTCTAGACTGAGAAAAAAAAATTATTATCTCAATATATTTAATGACTACAAGAAAATATATTTGGCATATTACCATGTGCTATAGAAGTATATGAAAATATATTTAGCGAAAAAAAAAAATTTATTTCCAGGAATTTATTGTGATCGATAGAAGGAAATATAAATATAAATGAATAATAAAAAAATTGTCTCGTAGAGGAAGAGAAATTTATCGAGAAGGAAAAGAAATTCGAAAGGGAAATTTTTGAGATTATGAAATCGTGGACTTGGGATTGGATTTACCTTCACGGCTTCAGGATCATCATCACTTGCCTCCACAGTGGATTCCGAAGACTCAGTGGACTGCGACTTTGACTCCGTTTCGTTGAATATTGACTGGGCGAGTTGTTGTTTTCTATAACAAAATCGCAGTGGTATTCATTTTTAAACCATTATCCCAACTCATTAGTCCTCAATTCAAAAAAATTATGACAACGTACTCATCGCTTCGGAATCACTTGTAATACAGTGCCAGAAGAGTCATGCCATACGATAGGTATTTCTCGCGGAAGAATCTATACAGCGGTGTGATTAAAAACTGGAATATAATCATGAGAAAGTCGGCAGCATCACCGTATATTTTACCAACTGTTACTAACCTGCAGAACGCGCCACAGACTTGAAAAAAAAATCTTTTCCATGAAAGGGCGACTTTTTCGATTTAAACCTCCAGTAAGGACAAGATCTCGTTTACGTGCATTCGTCAAACAATTTTAAAATTGAGATGTCAATTTTTTCAAAGAGATTCGACGCCCTTTTTGATAAAATGTACGTTTTTCATGCGTTTTTTTTTCAATTTTGTAATCTTTGTGGTCTTTTTAGAAATTTATAGATTTATAAATCTTTCCTCGAAACAGTTTTTAACGTCTTCAAGTTGAAGCGGCTTAGAATAATTCGTGGACCGAACGAGAACAGTTCCTCGCAGACGTTTTACATGTCCATTTTACCCTGGCTATCCGTATTGCCATGAACACATGGAAAAGTGATTTCATCACTGGATGATCCACGTGATAAAAACTTATATGAATCCGCCCACACTCTTATGTATTAAATCTGCGTACATAACTGTTTCCGTCCATTCATTTTCGATTCGTCTCGAATTCATTTTTAATTCCATGAAAATTCATTCATTCCCCCGATTCCAGGGATTAATATGAAGACGTTTTAATTTAAATTAATCTAATAGCAATGAAGACTGTTCGATGACCGTTTAAAATTTGATTAAATAATATCGCTATTTGTCCATTTATGGATGACGAAACATGAAAATTCTGAATTGAACAATTATTAATTGGTGTTCCGATTAACCCAAGGTGTCCATATTACCCCAACTTCCCTGGCATATGACCAATGTTCCACACCGGATATACGTGTTGCGTTCGCGTTGCCATATACAGATTTCAATAGGGGCCATGAATAGAGGAAAAGGACGTCCCACTTGTCGTAAACTATGTACGTATTTTATCAGCACAAACTTCGAGGTGAATAATTTCCCAATCAGAGTAGAATAATGTATTAATTCATCCCCGAAATCTCATCTCATCTCATCAAAATGACACATTCGCCTATTCACTTCCTTCTCTTCTATTTTGATCTATTTTTTAACAAGTGTTCATGTTTTCAGTTATTTAAATGAAAGTATTTATACCCCAGCAATCAATACCCAAATCTATTTCGATTTCCCTAGTATTAGATCTAAACTAAAAATATTGGAAAAATCCATTTATCCAGTAATAACTGGAGGATAATTTTCACTGATATTCGTTGACTTGGAAGATATTTAGAAATTAATGAAGATCAATGAAATACATTATAAAGGTCGAGCGAATTTCAGTGCTGAAAGTGAAAACACGGTGGAGAGAAATACAACAATAACATGTTGTCCCACAAATGATAGCATGAATGGTTGAATTCAAATATTTACCGTTTCTTGGAAAGCAGGGTATAAGACTCTTTAGACGTTGTAGAAAATCTCATCCGCATCTTGTGAATACGTTCACTAGTTCGCTTCTTTGCGACACCACCTTCAAGCACTGGCATTCAGATTGTTTTATCACGTTTCTCTGTAAACGATTGAACGTCGCACAACTTCATGGAATTGACTTTAAAAAAAAAATCAGCCAATTGTCCAATTGTATTCGATCGATGATAACAATCAATAAACTTCCCGACAAATTGTTTCACCTCTTTCTACTGTCCATATTCCCGAACTGCAGAAATAAATAGTTCATAACTGGTCAGTAAATAATTAGCAAAACTTTCCACTCATTGGGTCACATAAAAATTGAAAAATATATTATAGGATATGTAACGAAAATACCTCGCTCTTCTTTTCTTTCAGTCATCAGAAGAAATGAGTGATTTCATTGAATTTTATAAATGTTATTGTGAAGAGCTGCGCTGCTGATGAATGAATGCGCCAATTGGGAATGGAAAGCGAATGGTTTGCAAGTACGATGTAAGCAATAAGTGTATATAGAACAAAATACACATTGAGAGTGGAGAGAGACGTTGCGTGCACTCGCGCGCAATTACAGTACATGTGTGACCTAAAACGTGTGTCATTGCTCACTGAAACCTGACTGAGGGACCTGAGTCCCCAGCCCCGGAAAGCACGAGGAAGCCTTCGACGTAATACGACAAATACAAAACCCTATATGTGGAGAAGGGGCGACTCTGGCGTGAAGTAGTGAGGGATCCTCCAGTCTGAAATTTTTCATTCTCACCCCACCATCTCTTTTTTTTTTCTCCTCCATTTGGAATTGAAACAGTGAGCTCCCAGTTGTGTGACGCATCGAGTGATAAGTTGAGACTGCACGAGATGCAATGCACATTTTTTCATACAGCTGGAGACATTTTTCACCCACACTCAACCTCACACCCGTAAAAATACAAATTTATAGTGACTATTTAGTTTTTTTTTTCATTTTAAACAATAGAAAAATATTTATTCTCCACAGGGGTTTTCGGCCTCGTCGATTTATCAATTATAAATTACATTTTGAGATACGCCTATTAAAGGACAGAATTTATGCGAGAAAGTTTTTCAATTTCTTTTCTTTGCTTATTTACACCGATGGCAACAATGCATTTCAGAATGCGGTCAATGGGGTCTACGCTGTCCTAGCACCTGAAAAGTGAAAAGAAAAATAAACTAGAGGACTCTTTATGGACATGTAAGCATTGGATGAATTTTAAAATAAGCCCGGATGGCCTGCAGATTAAAAGTCAAATGTGACGGACTTTTCTCGGGAGATAAATAAAAGAAAATTCCCAGAATTCTTTTTAAAAGCCAATTCCATTCTCTAACAAATTGTTGATCGGATTGACGCGAAGAATTATACAATTTCCGCATTTTATTATTTAATAACTCCCAAAATGTCGTCATCGTCTAGTAATATTATTGCATTTTTTCCAAACTCATAGAAAATTTAATTTTCGATTAAAAGTGGAGAGAACACAATTGATAAGAAAAATAAACAGTGATACCTCAGTAAATATTCGCCACTCGGAGTCTTGGAGAGATTGCTTAATCTTGATGAGAATATTGGCAGGAATATCCGGTGAAGAAATGGGGACATTTCTAGCCATTGATATGTATTGAACCTGCAGCAGTTGATCTACTGAGGGTCTCGCCTTTGGGTCATGCTGAAGACACTTTTTAATCACATCGATGAGAATAACAGGAACGGCTTCGACATGGGGTGGCAGTGAATACGAAATTCTCGGATGTGGATTGGTGATAGCATTGATTTTCGCCCACTGCTGACGAATATTGTGAAATGGAGTGATCCCGTAGACAAGACTGTACAATATGCAACCGAGTGACCAAACATCTGATTTATAACTGATTTTGTATTTAGTATTCTGATGAGGAGAGTCTCCAGTGCCTCCAACATCCATCAGTGCTTCTGGACTTATGTAGTTAAGCGTTCCAACAGTTGTACTTTTAACAATCGACGTCATTTCTGCATTTAAACTCGACGATATACCAAAGTCAATTAATTTAAGTCTACCTCGAACTAGTAAAAAATTTGCTGGCTTCAAATCCGAATGAATGACTCCATTATCATGAATATGTTTAACTGCTGTGAGCATTTCTGTCCAATAATAGAGAATCATTGTTAAAGGGAGTGTTCTCTTCTCGGCAGATACGGACTTGAGAAATCTACTGAGATCCGTATCGCCCATTTCCATTACCACGTATATCGAACGATTTGACACTTCGTGGTCGTACATTGTTACAACACTCGGTGCTTGAAGTTTGTTTAACATTTTTATCTCATTCAAGCAGCTCTGCGCACTCTCGTGATCCATTCGCGCCAAGTTAACGTATTTTATTGCTTTGAGCTCCAAATTGGAAGTATCCTGAACCCTGTAAACCTCTCCACTCATTCCCTGCCCCAGGGTTCCAAGAATAATGTACTCTTTTCCCTTAACTGACATTTTCTTACCATATTGGCATGGTGGTGCAGCAGAAATGGACATTGGCTGGAACAGCTTGTTGTCAGGCTGTTTTACCAAATTTTTATTGTTATTACTATTAGCAGTACTAATGGTAGGTAATGATTGGAGGGGTTCTGGTGTCGCTGGTACTGCCACTGATGATGATGTTGGTGGTAGACAATTTGTTTGCTTTTTGTCAAGTTCTCGTGGAGGCTGCAGTTGATCAGGCACTTTTGGTGGCAGTTGGAAAGACATTGGACCTAGATTTTCTTTCAAGTCGTAATTCACATCGTTGGAGGATTCAACCAATGCCGACGTTGTCTTTGATATCGGAATTATAGGAGTATCCAATACTTTTTGTTTGACGAAATTATCCACTCCAGTGATATTATCTTTTTGGGAAAAATGGCCAAGATTTTCATTGTAAAGTCGTGATGGCTCTGGTGGCATCATGGTTTCTACCAGCGGTCGTCTGACTCGTTTTGCTGAATTGTCGAGTTTCCAGGGAGGCTTATCAATCTTTGAGATAACAGTTTTTCCGGGTGTTTCTTCAATATCAGGTTCAACTCTGCTGTGTAAAGAGGTGTGCATTGTATTCCCATGTCTCCAGGTGGAGAATATAGAAGCTGGTGTTTGCTCATGGGGTGTAGGAAAATCCAT